AGAGAGAGAGAGAGAGAGAGAGAGAGAGAGAGAGAGAGAGAGAGAGAGAGAGAGAGAGAGAGAGAGAGGAGGACAGACATAAACATAGACATCAGCGAGAGGCAGTCAGGTCAGTCAAAGAGACAGAGGAGGGGTGGGCATGGCAGACCCAGACAGTGCATGACACCAACTCCTCCACTGCTCTGATTTAGGAAAAAGAGAGAGAGAGAGAGAGAGAGAGGGAACCAGAGAGAAGGGGTTGCTAGGAGACCTTGCCCAATGCAAACACGACACCATCTGCTGCAGCGAGATTTGGAGTGGGTTAGCCAAGTCGGACAGAGAGATCAGTACAGGAGGATCATTTGAAACAACACTACAGAGAGAGAGAGAGATAGAGAAAGAGAGAGAGAGGAGGACAGAGTACAGAGGGAGGAGACAGAGGGGTAAAGGATGATAACTGGGATGAAAGGGAGGAAAGGAAAGTAAGATATGTAAGCAAAAAAGGAGTGGGAATTGGGAGGAGGGAGGAGTGAGTGAGTGGGCGGGAGGGAGGGAGGGAGGAGGAAAACAAGTATGATGGGAAGCCTGATTAATGTATGACTAACAGGTGTGACTCTGACACCACCCTCACATAACCCTCCTACACACACACACAGTCACACACATAGCCTTCATGTCTTTAAATTCTCACACTATGAGCATCATCATCTTCGCCTTATTTATCATATTTCAGTTCTGCTGCTACTGGTGTTGTTTTTCTCTTTTCTGCCAAGTGTAACAAGGCCTGCACTGGTTACCATAGTGACAATAAAATGGCACCATCAGATATCACAGTTTGTGCCTTAATGCCTGGTCAATTCACACAAACATCCACTCGTGTAAGTGGATGATTCCTGTTGTTATTTGAGTGTTTTAAATAGTAAAGACTATCGCTCGAGATCTGCTTTCTCATCTCTCATGGAGCTCTTAGACTGAAACATGATGCCTTCAAAAAGACCTTCTCTAACAATACACTTACACACCAGATAATGGAATAATGATATATTAAACCATTTGTATGATTTGTATTTGGTCACTATAAGACTGGAGATTTCCCTCCATTTAATCCAGACAGAAATTGTCTTCTAAATCCAGTAAATCCTTGACTTCAGCAAGTAGCCTATATCCGCTGTGTCACACTCTCTTACAGCGTGGAGTTAAACTCCTGAGCAATAACAAAAACCATGCTTTACATTTTGTTAAGGCTTTGATGCAGTCCTTCTGTTCTGGTACAGCAGCACTCATGTTGTTTGCTACATGTTTTCCATAACTCATGACATAGCAGGCGAATAAAACTACACATTTGCTCAAGGTCAATGAATCAGTCTTTTTAACCCAAACCATGTACATACATTTACGATAAATGTAATTCATAATAAAGTTTACATTAACTGTTATTTTTTTAATGGAGAAAACTTGAAACAGCGATAGTATCACTTCTGATTAGAGGTGGTGACATATCAGAAGAGAAGGGATGGTATAGTGAAGAGAGAGCCCAAGACAAACTAGTCGTCTTAGGGTCTACAAGCCTAGCTAGCAGAGAAGTGCCAGCTGTCATTACTGAAGCCTAAAAATCTGTCATTCAAGGACTTGATGCATTTAAGCAGGTTTTAAAAGACAAATTGAATTCAGTTAAATAAATAATGGTCGTAAATAATGAATTATTATGAGTGACAATGGTGTTGTTATGAGTAACCCCATATCTCGAATGGTCAAGCCTTCACTTTTTGTGGATGGGCTTATTGTCCTTCCTTTTCATCACACTGTTAAGTGCATTAAATTTGATTTTGAAGTTTTTTACTCTTTGACACATTGCAACTTCAACTTCAATTGCAACTGTTCATATTGGTCCGTAAGTCCCAAAAGGAGTGTATGTAATTTCCATCACTTCAACATGATTCTGTTGCTGTAAATTTATTTGTTGATGTTGCATGTCAAAGGCCATGACCCTTGCTTTTAAGGCATAGGAAAATAAACTTTTTCAATCTGGATTATTAACCATAGAGTTTTGGCCTTTAAATGTACCATATGAGAAAGTTTTTGTGTTAGAAAGGTGAAACCAGTCTAACAAGCAGGGATGGTTTAATGGACAGCACTCTTCTCCTACAATGAAAACACTACAAATGTAGGATCTTATGTTTTTAAGGCTGATCAACACTGAGGTTATAGACTTTATAGCAGAAGTCTTTCCTGCTCTTATTTTGAAAATCTTTATCCTTTTTCACACAACTTAATCAAATTTTAATGCTGAATCCATTGACCCACATACCAAGATTTTAGATTACACGAGAGAAACCGAACACTACATACTGTACAGTTATCAAGGTGCATTTTATTAGATGAAGATCCAATGATATATAGTCAACATCAGCATCCTCCTTTACAAAAGACATTAAAATTGAAACATTTTCAGTAAAAAAGTAGTATCGTACAGCCAATGTGTGGTACCAGAGAGAAAGCATGACATGACCTAAATCATATTCATTCATCATCATATGGATAAGATAAAACACAATACATTAACACTATTTACAGCCTGTAACACAGAGGTTGACATGAATGGTAATCCTCATAGTGAATACAGTAAATAGAATATATTCATATATTAAGATCTTTTGTTTACAAAATAATAATGCATTATATATATCACAGAGAAAGGCTATCCACAACCTTGGCTTTCAGCTATACACACCCCCATGTTTAGCAACACTTTGCCCAAGCAAAATACGTTTTTTGTTTGGTCAATTTATTGTTGATGGGTGAGTTCTTTGGTTGTGCTGGGTTCAATGTGGCAGCCTCAAAGTGAGCAGTCTGCTGCTTTAGGGAGGAATTTGTTAAGGTTTGCTTGCAAGTGAAAGGTGTTGAACAGGACTCGCCAAATAATTCAGGGCAACTTCTCGAGTGGTGTTTGTCGCTCCGGGCCACTACTTTTACTTTTCCAAACCAGGATCATGTTTAAACTGCAATGCTTTAGTGTCATCCCAGAAAGATTTCACAGATCGAATGGACTGAGATTAGATGTTATTTTACAGCACAAGATTTCATAGCCACTTTAATACACAAAATAATGCTCCTTTCACAGAAATGTGATGAGGACCGAGCACAAAACTGGTCAGAACACTGGTTTTGACTTTGTGCATGCATTGAACATTGCATTACCACAGGATGGGGGCAGCTATGATGGAGTCCCTCAACTGATAAGAAACAGCTGCATCAAAGACTGACACATCCAGCATGTTAGGGGCGATCCTGGCCTTAGCAAAGAAAAGTTAGCATCAATGAGCATCCTGAGCAGCACTACTGTACCCTCAAATATAACCCAGGTCATAACTTTAAAACCTGTGACGCACAGCGAAAATTGAGTTAGTGAACTCAAATCAGCTAAAACATCAAAAGTTTTTAAAGCTGGGGCAAAAATATGTTGGTGTGTTGAAAAATAAAACAATTCCCAAGTTAGCTATTTCATACTGTTATGTTGTGATGGCAATTTGAGAGAGCCAGTTGATGAAGTTCAGGGTAACAGCAGTTACAGGAGTCATCCCAGACTGAAAGAGGGCCTAAGAGTGATTGGTTTTACCTTTCACACACTTGCATGTAGCTGAGTAAGTACCTCACAAAATCAGTAAAAGAAATAACTTACTTTTTGTGACTTCTTTGTTAGTAGTATTTTCCCTTGGCCCAAGAAATCAGTCACGCATCTGCCATTTTCTGTCACCTCCCCCAAAAAAAGGAAAAATCAAACTTTAATTTGAATGATAGCAGGATGGCACTGTTATTTCCTGACTGATCTATAGCTGCCCTGCTGCGCCTGTACAACTTCTCCACTTTCACAAATTGACGTACGAGGGCTGAGAGATGCTCACAGTGCTCATGAACCTCTGGGAAAAACCCAAACAAAGACATTCATCTGAGACAGGCTTACATTGTGTAACTATCTGGCCAAGTAGCAAAGGTGGGCGCGGTGATGCGTCCCCCTGAAACCAGACATACACAAGACCGCAGAGTATCTTATATAGTTTGTTTGGTTTAAGGATAAATAAAAACCCAAGGGAGTGTCTTTGCTGCTGAGGGGGCAAATTCCCGTAAGGTTTTAGGACAAGCTGGTGGCTGGATGCCTGCCTGTATCTCTTTCACTCTCAGCCCACCCTGCCCTGTCCTGAGCTGCATTGCTGGCAAGTCATGGAGTGGATCCAAGCCAAAAGCCATCAAAGCCACTGCATAACTGGATCAGAATCTTTCTCCCCCTGCAATGTTGAGTGAGCGGCCGGGTGGGCAGTCCCTGTGACCCACCCACCCCCACACCTCCCTCCCTCCCCCACGCCACAACCCAACACCCATGTGCTCGAGCCTCAGTGCCAAGGCTCAGCGCCAGGCCTCATCACTGGCCCAGCTGGCATGGCCCTGATCAGCTGGATTTGCTATAATCATCTTAGGTCATCTCATTCAGGCTGGTGACAGAGTGAATGCCTTGCAGCTCTTTCACCAAGGCCAATGAACCTTGTCAGACTGGCCCCACTGGCCTCTTTCTGGCTAAATTTCTTCTGGATGATTTCCTAGCAGCTATAGAAGGAGTGTTGCCACCTTTTTAAAAAGCAATCATATTATGTTACACTGAAGGAAAAGAAGAGAGCTAAAATAAGAGATCTTGTCTTGCTGGCCAGTCACCTAGTCCTGCTAGCTGTGTACAAGCCTGCCTAGTCTGTTACTGTCAAGCTGGGATGTCTGGGACCTTGATGTATCCATATGTGTGTCTGTGAGTGTGTCTGTGTGTGTGTGTGGGCATGGTGGGGAGGGATGGGCAGAGAGTTACAGGGGTTAATGGTAAATAAGCCAAAACCAAAGTCACACACTCACCCACCACGCATGACCCCCTCCCTCCCGCCCTCCCATCCATCCCTCCAACCATTGTTGGTACATCCAGTCACTCAGCGTCCCCCTCCCCTCTCCCCTGCTGCTGTGGTCGTATCCCGGCTGTTCATCCCTCAGTCCCAGCCGTTGTCCTTGATCATGTGGGCCAGCTCAATGATGAACTTGCCCTCTTTGTACTTCTGACTGCTCTCAAAGGCATGTTCCTGGAGGGAGTGGCAGAAGATAAGGGAGACAGAGCGACAGGATTTAATACAAACAACAGAAAAACAGAGAACAACAATGTGATTGTTACTTTGGCAGGAGGCAGGAAAAAAAAAACAGCTTTTGGTAGTCTTTTTTAGCTGTGTTTTCAAATCTTTGGCTCACTCATTGTCTGTCTGTGCTACTGGCTCACTGAAAGCTGGTTATATAACAGTCAGTCAGTGAGCACTGCAGAGGAGCCTGCAGAACCAAAACTCTGACAGGACCGGATAGTCATACCTTATGCAGAAAGAAATCTGTCACTGTCCACAAAGAAAACAAAACAAAAAGAGCAAAAAGGCACAGGTCTGAGCCTCGCTACAGCTGTTCACTAAATCTGACATAGTTGGGGTCTAGTGAAATCTATCACTGTCCACAAAGAAAACAAAGAAAAGCAAAAAGCCACCGATCTGAGCCTCACTTCAGCCATCGAAGATTTGCGTGATCTAATTTAGCAGGCTGCAACATGTATGAGGTGTTTTATCCAAGTTCCACCAGAAAGTCAGAATAAGTCTTAAAGAAATCCCAGCAAACAGAAACTCAAACCTGTTCTGCTGTGAATGGTACCAGAGGGATCTGAGAGCTAGTTAGATATGTGTTTTGATTAGTGGAAGGGGGTTTCCACCAACCATATTTACTCCTGGCTTCACCAGCATGATCTGCCAGCTCTCAGCCTTTTAGCTCTTTGCTTCATAATGGAGGGAGCTTTGAGGTGCAGAGTTTATTTAATATAAAGCCAATGGATGACTTCAACATGTAAAACACATGGAAATCAAGACCATAACTGGAATCAGCTGAGCTTATTTTTCAGCAAGTATTAGGAACAGGAAACTAAAAGCTCAAAGTTTACATCACAAGTTAATGCAAAGTTGCTGCTATGCAAGCTGTGATCTCCTTAGAGCACATATTAACCATGTTAGCATGCACACACAAGGGGTGGGAGAAAAAATCAATACAGCATAGTATCGCGATATTTTGTCTGGTGATATATCGTATCGTCTCATTTACCAAGTATCGATTTTTTCAAATGAATTGTTAATATGAAGTCAAATCTATGATAATAGACAAATAAAATCAACTGTTTGTCATGTGCAACATAAAAATAAAATACCATGTTAAAAAGACAAACATAAAGGAAAGACAAACACTAAATTAGCTAAACAGTTGAAAAATTTGAATTGCAATATATTGTATCACAATACTTACTGTATTGCAAAATGTTAAAAACCGCTATAATATCGTATCGTGGCCCAAGTATCGTGATAATATCGTGTCATGGGGCCACTAGTGATTCCCACCCCTGGCACACACACCACGACACAACAGAGACATAATGAATATCAGGTTTACATGAGATGAATCCATAAATAAACAATGTTATTGAGATCATTTTAAAATGTTTATATTAGAATTTAGCTCACTAGACCCCAAGTCTAGTGACACGCACACACACACACACACACACGCTCCTTACCTCTGATATACACACCCTCTCCCTCTACCCCCCCCCCCACCCCCCCCACCCCCACCCCCACCCATTGACTGAACCTGCACTACATCACTTTATAAAACAAGTTGCTGCTTTCATCTGGAATTTTAGTGCAACAGGGCTAATTTAAGCCTTACTTAAATTTGTTTACATTTTGCTTTTTGTTATTGTTTTGTATTTTATCTATTGTATTGTATTTTATTTATTGTATTGTATTTCATTCTTGGCTTGGAAACAGATCTGGGTACTAATTTCGTACCACAGACTGTCAGAAGCGTGGCGTATGACAAATAAAGTTCCTTGAATCCTTGAAGTCCTGATTCTCCAGAATGAATCTTCTCAAAAGCTAATTGTCCTTATTTTGATTTTTTTAAGAGTTGATGTCAATTTAGTTCAGTTATGTTTCACATCATGTGACTGCTGAGACTAATCCTATCTAAAAGTGTTCCAGTTCCAAATCCCTTTTTCCCAAATTTGGGTACTTCTGGTCCTCATAACAACAAGAGCAACAATCAGCTTACCCAGTCCCTGAGTCAAGGATGTTTGTTTTGTAAATGTAGATGTTAAATCATTACAGTCAATGTAGTAAAAATGACACAAAACAACAACTTCTTCTTCCCATCCAAGTCCATTAGCAACCTTAAGTACTTGCTCCAAACCACCCACTCGCTCTAGAAAACGGTGTCACAGTAAGTAGGCTGACACAAATGTTCTTCGACTGTGGGGTGTCTGAACCTTGTTTTGTCTTTGTCTATTTTGGTTCAGAGCTGCAGGGGGAGCGTTATCAGATTTCTCAGTTTAGAAGTGCAGTAGGTCAAGCCTCTCAATGGAACTTTGATGGCTGCAGAAAATCAATACTGCTGCAGCTGATATTAATGGCAGGCCTCCATTAAGTCCTATCTAGTGTCTGTGTGCGCTTGTAGATGACCTCTTTGAGTTCCTGACAGGAATAGAGACTACCCAGAAAAGTGTCCACATTTACAGCTGGTTGACCAGGTGTTCACTGGGCATCACAGGGAAAAATAGGTATTTTTAGACTGAAAGATTAAAGAGTCCGGTTTGGGGCCGGACTTTCGGGGTGAAGTTAGAGGTTAGGTAAAGAGTGCTGGTCAATGGGCCTTCTCAGGAGTCAAACAACAAGGGCACTGTGCTTGCATGTGTGTATGTGTTTGCCCCTAAAGGATACAGTCACGTGCTGTATAGTGTAAACTCTCACCTCGACACTGACAAGGTTCACCGGTGACAGCTGCACATGCTCAGCTCGTTTGATATATGGAGGCAGCTAACAAGTGTTGATCCTGTTCCGCTCACCCTGACATAGAACCTTAAAATACCCCCAAACACATCCTGCACGTGTATTTTGACATGTTCCACCACATCCTTGACCACAATATTGGCTCTCAAGAGTGAAAAATATACTTTTTTTTAAAATTCCTATAATGCAATGAACTCATGAGTCACTGCAAGCAACAAAGACAGCTGCTTGATATTTCCATCTGCTAAGAAAAAAGTCTTCTGCATTAATAATTCATCCCACAGCCGTACCACTGCATTGACCCTGAGGGGAGAAGCGATCCAACTATAATTAGGGTGCAAATAAAATTAGGGGGTGCTATAAAAACAACCCCCAGGTTTATCTTCTCCTAACCTTGGATTTGGGTTTTGAAATACTGTGCGTCAATTAGTCTAGGACACTTACATATTTCCAGCCCAGAGTTGTCTTGCAGTTCTCACAGTAGATATCTGCTACAGCATGCAGGCCTGTGAGCAGTACTCTCTCCTCTGCAGGGCCACACCCGACGTTCACCCTGAGAGGAGGATAAGTAGAGAGGAAGGGAGAAAGAAGTTAAAAATCAGTTATGTGCGAGCGGCTCAAGTTGCCTGTACTGGATGATTTGTTTATAGTGAGTCACAGCCTCACACCCACTCTTACAGAGGGGGGCATAGATTACAACAGCCTAATTTTCACACTCAATTCAGCTGATAATGACAGTGCTCCGAGGCACAGGCTGCACAAGGCCTTCGAAAACAAAAGCCTGGGCATGCACGCTCATTTATTTCTTTTCTGACTCTTGCATGCAACACATTTTGTCCTCACACATAACATCAATTGCCGAGACCAAGTGTGATGAAATCTTTTTTTTAGAGGGATACTCACACTGAGTTGAACAGGTAGGCTCTGCCTTGGCTGCCCTGGAACGACTGCAGAGGTAAATGTGAAAAAGCTGAAACAAGAATCCTCTTCAACAGTGTAACGACTCTATAAAATGATGCAAGCATGCCTGAAAGCCATAAAGCTCAGTCAAACACTAAGAGCCTTTTAGTTTCCTCATAAAGTGCCCCCGTTGATTCAACACAAGCCTTCACTTCACTGGAGTCTCTCATTTAAAAAAGGGTTGACTAAATCCATCTTAACATGTACTTTAATGAGCCTGCCAGGTTACAGCCCGTATGAAACTGGTGAGATTACTAAAGACAGAGGCAAAGCTTGCTGCTCAGCTAGCAATGCATGCCTTTATTGTAACAACACTAAAGCTGCTACTGCTAAGAGACACATAACGCAGATTCATGCAGCGCAGCTGTTACAACCAGCTGAAGGCATTTGTGCACAGGTGAGCAGTGTTTTCATAACCCCCAAGAGGAAAAAAGTGATAGTGCATTCATAATCCAATTCATAAACCAGCTTAAAACATAATCCATCCACAGGCAATAGTGTGGTGGCGAATGACAAAAACACAGGTGTTCAGCCTGTTGTTTATTCGTGTAATTCCTTATCCAATCTTCAATCTTTGCTTTTTTTTGGTGGAGTAAACCATTGTTAACTCAGTAGTATTTACTGTTTTATGAATTGAACAAGAGCAAACCCACACTGAAGATCTTTCATACCAACAGCCATCAGACTTTATAAGTCTTGTGTAAATAGTAGATAACTTTTGGAGACATATTATGAGAGACAACAGACAATTGAATTTCCCTTTGGGGATTAATAAAGTTCTTCTTCTTCTTCACTGTGAGTGACTTGTCTTTGGAGTAAACAACAAAGATAAATAAAACATGAAAGTTTTATTGATTTCAAAAAAAGATCTATCTATCTATCTATCTATCTATCTATCTATCTATCTATCTATCTATCTATCTATCTATCTATCTATCTAACTCTACTTTTCAGTCACTGCGCTAACGGTTTCTAGGGGCAACACCTGATAAGATAAGATATAAGATAAGATAACCTTTATTGATCTCAAAGGGAAATTCAATAGTAATAGTAAGATGAGTCAAGTTGGACGAGCAAAGTGTCCTTGTTGCTGCTTGGTACCTTTGAGATGAGCTCATCATGGTTGGCCAGGTGAGCTCGGCAGTGAATGCAGCTGTAGGTTCGGTGGCAGCTCGGCAGGTATGCCTGAAAAGTCTTGGAGCGCGTCATTCTGACCATGGGCGGAGTTGGCGGGCGGTGCAAGAAGGGACTGCCAGCCCAGGTCGGCTCACAAGGAAAGCACCGCAACACACAGGTGAGGGCCGTGGTGGGCGGTGGGTTGGGAGGCGAACACCTGTGCACAGGGAGGAGGGACAAGAGCAGCTCATGGGTACGTGTTTGAAGAACAGCTGCCTCCTAAATCTGGTGTTGGAAACCGAGCCACAGGTGTATAACTGCTGATGGGATTACAGTCTGCTCTGCAACCTGCTTGCCTCTGTTATTCTTAAAACATCCACAAGTGATGGGGACGTGCATTATGAATGAGCCTTTGTCCAAGACTGTCACTATGTTTTAGGTTCAAACTAAACGTTTTGAAGAAATCAGCCAGGAAGATGAGATTCACATGTGGTTCACATAGTTTCATAACATTTGACTGTCTGCCTGTTGGGTTCCTACTGGCGACATACAATTACATTTTCATTTGGAAGATATTATTTTACGTTTCCTTGATTTGTCTCATCATTCCCACAGCAACGCATTTCTCATCCTCAATATCATCACCACCATCATCATCCACGCCATCAGCAGCAGCATGACCATCAAGCGCAAAACAAAAGACTTTCCATTTGAAGGAGGTTCAGCTCTGTGGAGCAGATGTGGTTTGGTAACTTATTCCACCTTGGGGACAACAGAGGTGAAGAGTTTGGCTTCAGGGAGACCATGTTCCCAGAGAAGCTTGTTTTTTAAGCTTTCCTTAAAGGTAGAGAAGGACTATGCAGATCAATCAGAGTTGGACAATCCACTCCACCAACAGAGACAATGAGAAGAAGAGTCTAGATAGTGGCTTACGGCCTTGTGTGATGGGAGTATCAGACGCTTTTTAGTGGCAGAGCACAGTGGATAAGTGTTAGACCTGATTACAGGTGGGCAGGAGCTGGTTTTTTTACTGTTTTGTAACACACACTGATCTGCCAAACATAATTACTTACCTAATATAGTAACACACACCCCCACCTAAATACCACAGAGCTCTGAAGGTGTGCTGTGGTATCTAGCACCAGAAACCACGCTTGATTATTCAGCTTATGCAACAGAGACTTGATTGGATTGAGATCTGGAAAAATTGGAGGCCAAGTCAACACCTTCCTGGACCCATTGCAGGTGCTTTTACTGGCCTCAGACGGAACTGCTGGTGCATAGCCCTTTACAAAGTTGTGATGTACTGTGTGCTCTGAGCCAGTATTAACCTTTGCAGCAATTTGAGCTTGAGTACCTCTATTGTTGGATCTAAGCAATCTTCTCAGACCATGCAGATTATTCAGGTTAACTGCTCATCACCTTATAGCCTGATAATAGATTTTCTTCTCTTCACATTTGGTAGGTAGTCCTGACCTGCACAGACTACACATGCCCCACAAGAGCTGCAGTTTTGGAGAGGCTGAGACCCAGTCAGCTAATCATCACAATTTGGCTTTGCTAAAGTTGGTTCAGTGGTCATTAAGTTAAAGTTGATTGGTGTTTGCTTTAAGCTCAAAGCAAGCTGCTAGCTCAGGTTCAGTTGGTGCTTGTTGGCATAAAGATTGAATGATTCACATTTATTATGTAAGGATGTTTTCCCCTTTGATTTGTTTTACGTCTCAAAAACAGGATAGTATGATGTGTACTGTCTGCTGTTTTCCGCGATAGGCAATTATCAGATAATCCATTTAGAAAATAGACAGTAGCTTAAATTGATTATGAAAACAGCCATTCATTGTGGCTCTCTCCATTAAAGCTGTGGTCAAACCATTCTTTCCTGACTCCCAGTTCAGTGCAGGACACACAGGCAGCACTGCTAGCTCACGGTCTGTGTTTAAGTCTATGAGGCTGCAGAGATAATCTGCTTAGCCTAGCACTACTGCGAGGATCGTGCTCTGCTTGCTCCATGATATCCGAACAGACCCAGCCCTTAAAATACTTCTGCTGTTGTGCCCTGGTGACTGAGCAGATTAGTGAGCTGGCCTGGGATCCCATCCCAGACTCTCAGGCCGGGAGGACAGGAGTATGCAGTGTCTAATGGCTCACGATAAACTCAATGCTTCAGAGCTGGTGCTCTCTATCTCAAAGGACAGATGTAATCATTGTGGTTTGATTGCTTAATGCAACTTTAATTATAATTTGAACGCATAGCTCCATCTTTCAGGGCATTTAATCTAGCTTTATTCCTCAGTACCGGTTTCAATAAAGTGCTGGTGCAGCTTCACTATTAAAAATGAGGTGAAATTGTTTATTGTCTTCAGGCTCTTTTTAACTGTTTACTCCCCGACTGAAACCAACAAAAGCAGAGTTATGACGCCATAAACTTATGTTATTACTGCATTAACTAACTTTTTAGGGGTTGTTTTCACCTCCTTCACAAAAAGCTGTCTTGTTTTGTCTCCTCTCCTTCCTGTCTCTCTTTCTTTTACCATCTGGAAAACCTCATAAAAGTGAATGGGAGCAGGAGGCCTCAGTGACTCCAGGACAAACACAAGCAAGAAGTAGAGGCCTCTATTGTTTTGGTGCCGTGTTTGGTGTCCGAAGGAGGCTGATAACAGCGACAGTGCTGATGGGAAGGACGGGAATATGAAATAAATAAGACAGTGAGACATGCCCTTGTTTAGTCTCCTCTGACTCGATGCCAGCAGCGTGGGATAGGGGCACAAAGACACGCTCAGTGCTGTTGTCAAAGTTGACCCCTGACACCCTAACACACACACACACACACACAGAGTGATGTTTTACCCAAAGTGGCTTTTATCCTCGCGGTCATTTCAGGACTGAGAGACAAATTAATTTAGCTCTGAGTCCCCTGAGATTTCTTCAAAATATTGCATCCTAATAAAAAAAGAAATATGTAAGAAGAAACTTTTGATTCTTCCTCGTTGTAATGTGTAAAATATATTTTCAGACTGTCAACTTGCAGACTGGTTTATTGTGAACTATGATCATGATGGGACGAATCTAAATTTGAAGGTCTTGTTGGATCAAGCTCACACCATCAAACATGGACATTTTTGTAACTGTTTGTCGACATTTTGCAGACCAAAAGATTACTCAAATTAATCAAACCCAATCTCCTAACTTTTGCACAAAGCTGCCTGATTAAAGCTTAGTAATTACTCTAAGGTACTGTAGGTAATCTACGAATGTAAGCTTCAAACTTAAGCTTCAAATTTAATTACACTAAATTAAAACTTGTCCTCCTAAGCCCCTAGGCTAAATCTGCACGTGCTGCGAGTCACTCAGGATAAAAGAGATGACTGAATGGCTAAAGTGTTGATGCTTTTTGTATGGTGAACAATGAACACCTGAGCTGTTTATTGAAATTACAAACGTAGAAAAACCTCTACGAGAGGCTGTGCCAGTCGACCCACATATAAAGGAGTGCATCCCAGCACTAATGTGCCCTTATCTGACAGACAGTCTGCAGCGGTGATGGATTAAAATATTGCTTCTGTTACTCATCTACCCACAGGTCACATATAATCCATGTGGAGTTCTCTGTGTGTATAATCTGCAGTCATCTGATGAATCAACTCAATTAGCAACAGCAGCTTCAACAGTAGGTAACATATATGGTTGGAAATACATTAAGATATATGAAGTTAAAACAGAAGAAGTCACAGAGATTTCAGGGACTGTGTTGGCAGATATGAGTTTGCACTTTTTGGAATTTTCAGAGACAAAAAATGAAGCAGTTCAATTAAAAAAAACATCAAGCTGACAGATGAAGACAAAGGTTGTTGTTTGTAGCTTCAGACTTGCTTTTTTATGCTCAGTGTCACTTGACTGGCTAACAGCTGTGAACAACATCAAAAAGTAACAACAACAAAAAAGTTTAAAAAGTAGTAGAAGGATGGATGTAAATGTCCCGGACCGTTAAAGGCCGAACGGTGGCGTTTTTTGACCTTTTCAAACAATTAATTTCTAAGAAGAGGGGAGCAATCTTCTCAGTGGGTGGACATGCTTGAAAATCATTTTGCAAGACAACATTGTTTTGTGGGATGCTGACACGCTGCGAAACGCTGACGCAAAGAAGTCAACCGAGGCAGCTTTGAACTAAATAAAAACTCTGTGGTGAAGGAGAAAATTGCATAAATGATCAGATGACTTTAAGAACTGATCACAGTGATCCAGACAACAGCCCTTAAGATGTTACAAAACTGACAGGTCAGGATGAGGCACTGTCTGCATAACTGTCTGTATGCCTCTTAGCCTGTTAGTATATTTATTTTTCTGCTGTCGCTCCGTCTATTCATCAGTTCGGCCGCGGGTTGTTTGAGGTCACTGAGCTGTCCTTTCTGGTCATTTCTGGGTGTCATCACAAAAGGCTACGTGCCACGAGTCTCCACATCAAAAAGGGCCCTTGTATCCTGACAAAAAACCTTTGTTATGTAACACGCTGCTGCTGCTGCTGCTGCTGCTGTTTCTGACAATGATGGAGGGCAGGAGAACAACAGAGGGGAAGACGGGATACGGAGGAAGAGAGGATGGGAGTCAGTCGGGGGCACGGAGTTGGCGAAATGAGCAGATAAAGAAAGAGGGAAGGAGCAGCGTGTGACCCGATGGTTTTGGATGAGCTGCGCGTCCTTTCCTGCCCACAAGCTGCACGACACGATCTCTGTACTTCGTGTACTTTCATCCTGTTCTTCATTCAGTCTTACACCGAGGCCAGCAGCATACAGCAGCATGACATCACTGACTGAAGGAGGAAAAGCTCCTCTCTCCTCCCCTCGCGTATCGAATCTCACTGATGAGGCGATGCTCTTGCATCCCAGGTGTGTGTGTGTCTGGTTACTGTTGCTATGTTTCGTTCCTACTCTAATTTCTGCTCGTCCGCCTTTAGCTTTGTTCTTCAATAAGGAAGACAGCATGTTTGTGAACAACAGTCTGAACCAAACAATCTAAAAATGCACATCTTATGACACCCCGGCGCTTCTGTGTAGGGCTGTCAGATTAACAGTGTGCAGTAAAGGAAACAGATTAACCCTGTGGAGTCGATTGACACCCCTGAGCATCAAAATCACATGACATATTCAAGAAACTTGTAAATAGTCCATGTATTGCCCACATTTTAATGAAAATGGTGGTAAATAACTGTGTTATTTGCTAAAATTGTATATATGTTTTGAAGTTTACAGTTTATATTTGCAGTCTAAGTTATGAAAATGTTTTTTAAACATATTTGTGGTTTTTACAGTAAAAAATGTTACTTTTTTCCACTCGGATTTGTGTTTTGTGTGTGAATTTAGGTCCTCTGTGTTAATACAGTGAGTCAAAGTGATAAATTAACTGTAAAACCACACAAGTGAGGTTGTGCTGAAAAAATGATACCAAGCAAGGAGAGGTAAACCGTTTTTAAGGGGAGATATCAAAACTCCAGAGGGTTAAAAACAAGCAGGCAGAGTGACCTGTGAAAATGTAGGCGCAGACTTACACAACTTTGTTGTTGTTTACAAGCGCTGTCTGAGGAGAGTCACCTTTCAAGGCCTTTCAAGGGAAACACCATCTTCAATCCCCATGTGTTGACTCCGAACACAATCAATAACTCTCCATGTGCTTTACACTGAAAATAGACCCCAAATGTGCCAAAGTTCAAGCTTGATAGGAGTGTTTGTTCCATAATGTGGTTCCATAATAGTCGACCACCTGCTGGTCTGACTGTCATTGACCTGTATAGGATGGAGGAGCGCCAATAATCACCTGTAGTAACACATTGAGAGGCTAAATATACAAAAGCAGCGACGCCTCTCATCTGCAGTGTTTGTGTGTGTGATTATTGGTATGAATCAGGTCACAGGCAGTGGCGCACTTCATCTGGGGCAGAACTTCAGCCACCACACGGAGCACAGATGGCGGGGATGCCTGAGATCAGCAATGCTGGAAACACACACACAGAGACACACGCATGCACAACCGCGCGTACACATTTAGCCTACAAACACACCACCCACGCTCTGAAGAGCTTTAACATCTGCAGTGACTCTGACAGATCGATGCGAATCAGGTGATCGCCGTCACAGTAGGTTGTCACATGAGCTAATTATATGATAACCCGCATTGATCACTGCTGACGTGCACGATCACGGCAAAGCAGGCGCGCGCACGGGGGTGATGGCGCAGCTGCCAACACAAACAGCATGTGCCCCTATAATAAGAACTAGGATCTGTGTGTCTCTGCTATAGAGTGGACTTCACCATCTTATCAATAACCAAAACATTGGCCCAGGTCTGAAAATACTTACAGTACTGATGATGAGAGGAAATACTGTAAATGTGTGTTTTGCTTTGGATAAACAGTATCCGCAGCATATCGCAAAAGTTCCCTGTTCCCTTAAATTGTCTCAGCATCAGGAATAAACTTCATGAAGACATGCTGTGAGAGTGCGTGGCAGCAAATGCACCTAAGTGAGGAGAAAAAAAACAACGCAGAGGAAATCGTTTTACCTTTGAAGGGAAGAAAAACTGTTCTCCTCCACGTAGCCTTGCAAATGTCGCACCTCCTCGTTTTTCCTTGTGGCAATGCCAGTTCCTAAACCCTCTTTCGCATTCCTTTCCCCAAACAAATTTCCGCTTCTTCTTCTCTCTCCCTTTCTGTCTCCGGCCTGATGAGTCCTGCAGAGACGCAATGTTTTGACGCGAAATGATGCCCAGCAGAGTTTAGAAGAGGCAGAGATAAAGAGGGATGAAACAGCCAGGTGGAGCGAGAGGACTCACTGTCACCCACTTCCGGTTTCGCGGTAATCCGTTATACTGTCGGGACAGAGTCTGTTTGGCAGGAATTGAGATTTTTCTGTTCAGTGTCACAACTTAAATTAAAACTAGAAACACTGAATGAAAATTGAGGACGTCTATGATATTTAAATCTTCATGTAAAGACGTTCATTTCCGAGCTAAACGGTTGTACTCGATTTGCGCATGCTCACTTCAAGCCGCATTATTTGTGTACATAACTGAAACATTCTGCGTTAATTCGGGTTTTAGTTTATTTTCTAAATTTTGGTTGCGCCATGGTGGTACCCATAGACTGTATATATAAGTATATAGTATACTAATATACATACAGTATACGTATATACAGTCTATGGTCGTACCACAACAAGACCACCAAGAAAATATCAAAACAACTGTGCTACATTCACAAACGGTTAACTTAACAATGTCCTGGACTTCATGTTTTGTCATTAAAAATACGCTAGTGGTAAAACTTTAATTTATACGTGATTGAGAGTGGTCTTCTGCTTTGTAAATTAACTTTTACCGTCGTCTGAACTTGATGAATGAATGGTCCAGGCGAGTGAACTCTCTTGACGGCTATGTTGACGACCGTTGCCAAAAATCACACTTACTGTTGACTTGATAGTAATTGACAGCCTTACCAGCCAATCAGCCAGCAGATGAAGCATAGCAACACTGAGTGTATTGGTCAACGCTAAACGCGATTGACCAATACGCTGACTGTAATGTCACATTTTTATCCATATTCTCAGAAGTAAATCAACAGTGTGGTTTTACTAAAAACTATTATTACTTGGGGGTACACCCGAAAACTCCAGCGTAAGAATTTGAAATCAATGAACCAAAATTGAGAGGTAAGTTTCTACATAATGGTACATGACCAGCATCACAAAAGTCACCAGTCAACAGCGCCCCCTCCTGTCAGTCTGTAGGTAGTAAATAATATCTATTCACCCAAATTGACCACTACTTGTTGAACAAAGTAGGAAAAGTTTCACTAATTGCCTTTTTTATATTTATCTTATTGCAAATTTTCATTTCATTTGTTATTTTACGTCTTTTTATATATTATCTCTGTTCTTAGTCTTTTTCTTAATTCCTGTCTTAGAGGTTTTTACTTCTTTTACCCCTTTTACATGGTAAAGAGCTCTTACTTATCTGTTCATTTAAGATTATTTTTTTGTTTAAGTCAATCAGGTTTTGTATTTCTTTTTACCATTTTATTTTGTATCTTTATCTCCAGTGTTTCCTAAAGGTAGCTCTTTCCACACATAATGTCTCGGTGGCTGGCCACGTCTCTTAAACAATATACCTTAAATTCTCACACTGTGTGCGCTTGTGTGTGTACGTGTGGGTGAGTGAGAGTGGGTGTGTGTCTTTGTGTGTGTGTGGGTCCATAGGTGGGTGTGTGGGTTGGGTTTTATTGTTGTTAATTGTTGTTTTTAGCCTCTGTGAGGAACTTTGAACTGCTTTTTTTTGTCTGAAAAGTGCCATAAAAATGAAGTTGAAAATATGTATTTAAAAAGACAACTGAAACAATTCAGTACTTATTCTTGGTTTGATAGAAGTGTGCTTTTAATAATCTCTTTGTAAACCAAAATAACACTTCATGTGGGATAAGGCATTTTGATAAGTTTTAGCAGCCAGGTCCCACAACCTGTAAAAGTCACAACATACTCAAATAGAACAGCTTAACACATACTCATGAAGGATACACATTCATTTCTGCATGCAAAACTAATGCAAACTCAGCACATCACCAGTTATATAATCAAAAAATTTCCACAGTGTATATACATCAATGTAAATGATTTATAGTCTTTTACAACGAAAGACTCACCAGACTGACACCAGTGGAGGTTTCAGTCAGTGAGTTCAGTAATTGGTCAAATACCAAATTTCCAACTACAGACTTCAAGAAATGAAACTTAAGCTATAAAATACCAAACACCATACAGTACATCCAACCAATACTACATTCATGAATGGCCCTCAGTGTGTGGTCACAAGTTTGGATTAGCAAATATCAGTGGTATGGTAATCCTGATGGTTTTTATACTTCAAACTGCTCTGAACTGTGGCTTTACAGCCAGAGAAATGCTGCCATTTGAAATTCAAAAGAGCAATAACACAAAACGTCTCAGTTCTTCTGCAAAACACTTAAAAGCCCACACATCTTCATTTTCCCCCATCACTTAGGGCCGAAGCACAAAATGCTGATTATGAACATTTACAGAGGCGACAAAAACAGCAATCCTTTCTTATTTTATGCAAAAAGATTCAGTAATAGACAAACAACTCCTCAGTCCTTTCAGCAACTGATGAAAAATGATATAGAGACTAAGAACCCATATATAAATATACAACAACGCTGCTTTCCAATATAAAACTGTTATTCTTTTTAAATAACACATCTTTATAATGCTTTTTACACAGCAGCCAACATTAACACCCAGTGTGCCTTAGAGTTGTAAATATAGAGAAGTGACATCTCAGATCTCAAATAGCTTTTTGATACTGGATAAATCTGGCAAATTTAAAAATATCTTCTCAAAGTGTATTATTGCATGAGCTGAGTGTACAAGAAAGATAAAAGTCAAGGCTCAAACCATCAAGCTGCTGGGAAATTAGAACAACCAACATGTAAGGACATGGTCTGGTGTTTGACTGGCACAATTATTAGAAAAATAACCTATTAACACTGAAAATTGTTGTTTGGTGTCCAAAACACTAAAATAATCAATAAGACTTCCAACCACAATTCAGCAGCTGTTTTGTCTAATTGTTAAGGTATTGTTTTAAAGCAATATTACATTTTATATGAAGAGGCTGTGTGAAAATATATATTTCTCACACTGTTGTGCATTTATATATCTGTATATGTCCAACAAAGGTATAAAGAACCTGCAAAGAACACTATTCAGCTAAGATGATAATATACTGTATATGTGCCCTATAGAGTATTTTGTGTCATGAAAAAGACATCAGCATCATGAATATGATTCCTTAAATCAGTGCAGGTTGGAGAACATGATGGGGGTCCCTACCAACAGTCAAATACAGAGTGAGAGCACCCTTGCAGGAATGCATGGCATGAAAGTGGGGTGACTGTGGAGGGCTGGTTTTGGCAGGTCAGTCAGGTTGGAAGATAATCACTGCAAAGTGTGCGCGTGTGTGTGTGAGTTGGGGGTGGGAGTTGAGGTAGACTTTGGCAGGTCACTGGGGTTTAGAAATGCCATTCCTGTCCATGAAGTCTTTAAGCCTGGTGGGAAAATCTGTCATAACTCCTGTAGCTCCCAAGTCAAACGCCCTCTGGAAGTCCTCCTCATCGTTCAGCACCCAAACGTACACCTGAAACCAGATGCAGGACATGTACAGTTGAATCAACACACACAAGGTGGAGCTTCACAGAGACAGAGAGAGGGACAGAATGCCTCTTTGCTCTTACAGTAGCATTGGCAGTCACTCTGGCCTAATTTTGAACTTCTAGAAACTTCCAGCGAAGATAATTCAGATAAAGTGACTTTATGTTTGTGTGAATCTAGAAATACTTTGATTTTCCAAAAATGCAAAATTTTTCAACTCCAAAAATGTCCAGAGCTGGGGGAAGGAGTGCAGACTTTAAGAAACACTTTGATCATTGATCATGTGCAGTGATGAAAAAACTGAAATGAAAAAGCTGATCTGTACCAATCTGCATCCACTCTGCATTCATCTCATCCCTCTTCAGAATATGTAAGTTCACACTGTTTACACAGACGGTGTGCACAGCTTTACCTGTATTCCTCTGGCAGTTAGGTGCTGAAACAGAGCTTTCCTCATCAGTATTCTGCAAGAGAAAAGTAAACACTGAGACACTGCGAGTAAATCAGGGGCAGACTAATGTGCTGTGTCACATTTTTTAAAAGGCAACTAAATATCCCTAGTCTACCTATTTCAAAAACCATTTCTCAAAATTCTTGAAAAATACTTAAAAAGTAGAAATGCACCAAAGATGTTGCAAAAAATTCCAACAGTTAAATGCAATGATTCAGCTACTCTGATACTAACATAAAGAGGAACAAGGGCTTTAGATATTTAGAAAATCCAGAGACTTACCTGTCTGCTAACCATGTGAGGACTCGCTGACTTCTGGTTAAACTTTCAGGATCCTTGAGTCTGCAAAAATCGAGAACAGAAAAACATCAGAAAAGTTCCTCAAACTGAACCTCGCTCAAACTTGGAAAACATCTGTACCAGCATTTTTGTCCAACACTCAATTCTTTCTCTGGGAGGAAATATCAAACACACAATTCAGTGAATTAACCAATGAAGTGTCAAGCTTCTCCCACAGCACACTAATGATGATACATGTTTGAATACATACTCAAATAACTATTGAATAAAGCATAAAAAGTAGGGTGGCTTTAACAGATGTGTGTTATTAAACAATCTCCTCAGCCTAAAAAAATGATTGGCACGAGTAATCTTCTCTGTGAACTTGAACCTTTTGATCTACTGAGGCAAAAGGTGTGAATGTTTCACTTAATTATGACGTGAGATCATCTTTCAAACACCACTGTGGTCTGGATAACAAGGGACAGGAAGGACACACTGAGCAAAACTATTTTAGAAATCACTATTCAGATTACTTTTTTTGCCTCCATAGAGTTGTCTCTCATAACACTCATTACAAAACTTCAGACAAGTGGTAATCCCCTTGTCTCTGGTTAAAGTTTGTCCTTGGTGGCCAACTACTGATGGAGGCCACTAAGTGTTGCTGAAAATTCAGGAAGAGTCATTAAGTATTTACAGGTACAATGTGTAGAAATAGGAATATTAAGCAATATCAAGCTGTCAGATCCTTGATTCATTTTCTAACTAGTACTATTTATGTGGACAGCGACCATACAGAAATGTCTATGTTAGTTTATAGCAGTGGTTCTCAAGTCCAGTCCTCGAGCCCCACTGTCCTGCATGTTTTGGATGTTTCCCTGCTCCAACACACCTGATTCAAATGATCAGTTTGTTATGAAGCTCTGTAATGGCTTAGTAACGAGCTGATCATTTGAATCAGGTGTGATGGAGCAGGGAAACATCCAAAACATGCAGGACAGTGGTCTTCAAGGACTGGACTTGAGAACCACTGGTTTATAGAGACATGACTAGAATCAAGATTCTACACACTTTATCTTTAAGTTCAATTCCATAAATTGACTTTAATTACAGGTGAAACCAATGACCAGCTGTTAAAAAGTGCCACCCCTGACTGAATAAACTGAGGCGAGATTTTATAGTAGTGAGTTGAGCACAAAAGGCTGTTTCTCTTGACAAACCATAACTTGGGATGACTTTTATGTCAGTAACACTGGTGCAACTAATGACATATTACTGAGGGTTTGATCCTGCTTATCTTGGTCCTGTCTCAGATAAAGTATCGCTCCTTCATTCAACACCATTTGTAATTCAATATATATTTGTTATTCCTACTTGGTGATAATCGAGGGCATGGGGATTTCCAGAAACTGCTCCTTGAGCGGAATGAAGGGCAGAAGGCCGGTGTAGAAGAGACCCAACAGCTGCAGTACTCTTGGTAAGCTGAACAACACAGGAATACGAGGGTTCTGTGAAACATACAAGACAAGACTTATGACACAGTGTGCAATTTTACTCTCTTAAAGACTAAGAACACAAAATATACAGAATTTACTGTACAGTAAGCCTATTATAGTATTTAACGGATGTAGTGCTGCTCCAATTTCACCAAAGATACAGGAAGATTAAAATTTCAAGCACCTCCTTGTAACACTTCTTCACAATCTGGTTGCTGGCGTTGCCCCAGACAGTCAAGTGCTCTCTGTCATACTTCACAACCAGCTCGGAGACCTGCAAAGAGGCCAAGAGGTGTTATAAAAGAAACTGCTTCAGAGACAGAATAAGAGTGAGTGAATTAGAAATCTTTCATTTCCACTGTCTGCTGTGGAAGTGTAACTTTTTTGTAAAGAACAAACGAAACCTATAAATTAAATAACACACCCACCTTTTTAATGAGTGTATCATTGTTGACCTTGATGTCAATGTTGACAGGCGTGTTAGGGAAAGCATCAAAAATGTCCCTGAGGAGAGGGATGCGTTTATCCTCTCCTCCTTCGCAGAAACACTCTGCATAGACAAGGAAAGGTTGAAATAACAGCCCCTTAAGATAACAGTCAACATGATGAGTGAGGGCACATTGACCTAAGCACGTCAGTCATTTCAAATGTGGCTAAAAGCATTTGCTACAAGGACTCATTTCTACTTAAGTTTCAGATATAATGGACCAGTTATGTGCACATAATGCTCACCTTTCTGAAAAGTTACACCCAGTTTGCAGAGATATTGAGGCAGCTCCTGAAAAATGACATAGAGATAAAAAACTGCAAGATTAACATAAAGAACTCTGTACTTCAAAGCTTGTTAATCAACATATTAGTGTCATTTATCATTTTAGGATGTTTCAAATGAGCTGCATTTTCTACATTAGAGTTCTTGGGCTAATGTTGGGACTCAACTTTGTGGGGCTTACAAGAAAAATGTAAAATAATCTAATTCTTTGTTATTACTAGAAATTACTAGAAATCATGAAAGCTTAAGACAGCATTTTTTTGGATGAAAGTAAAAGACTATCATTCTGCTACTGAATTTCTGCTGAATCAGACTGTTCTTAAAATCAGGCTGAAGTTCATCATGCATGTGACATATCAGGTGACTTTGTATGGACCTCATATGATTAAGGCACGTGATCAATCAGTGTTGTTGCCTCATTGTTTGACCTGGTTTGTTTGAACGTAAATGTCTTTGATAAGCCTCTCTGTGGAGTTTTTACGTGACTAACAACCAACCAAGCAAATGATGCAAATCCATGAACTTCTAACTCTGTGACTTCAGTATTCGACTGCTTAGAGTCTCCTTCCCTGCTTTTTTTTATGCAATGGAGTATATCTTGACATGTTTTAGTCCAACAAAAATGGCTCCATAGCTCTACTGGACCACATAGATTCTTTCATGCTGTTGCAAAATACTCTTATCAGCAGTTTTTGGATAATTAGCAAAAACTGCCTGGAGATGGGGAGCAATTCATGGAGCTGGAAGATGAATGATAAAACATTGAGGGAGTGATAATTCACTTTTCAGGAACAGCAAATGAAAACAACAACAACAACCAAATAAAAAACAATTGTAACTCACGGCGTAGGTCTTGTCGCAGATATAAGCATTGATGCCGGTGGATCTACACAAGTTTGCATCGTGTGAAACCACAACCTCTTCATCCTTAGTCAGGTGGCAATCTAACTCCAGCATATCAGTGCCAAGTTCCACAGCGCTGAAACACAAAGTGCACATTCATTACTTATCACCACGTTTCAAGGACATCAGGGATTGTTAGTCCTTCTACAAATGTGGTGACTCAGAAATATCATAAAAATAATACATCAGATTTTTATAGTGTTTTTTGTCGGTGACCTCAAAGCACTTTACGTTGGATACATCATTCATTCACTCACACAATCACACTTCGGTGGTGGTAAACTTCCTTAGTAGTCACAGCTGCCCTGGGGCAGACTGACAGAAAAGTGGCTGCCATTTTGCACCTACGGCCTCTCTGACCACCACCACACAACACTCACATCCATACACCAGTGGAGGACACACACTGGGAGCAAGGTGGGTTAAGTGTGTGTCTTGCCCAAGGACACAATGGACAGACAAGGGATAGGGCGAGGTATGAACCGCCAGCCTTCTGGTTATTGGTCGCCATAATCAAAAATACAAGCTTGAGAGATGTTTAAGAAGTGACCCAAGTTTCTACTCACTGCCTGAAAGCTGCCATTGTGTTTTCCAGGTTTTCCCCGGCACCTGAGATACAAAAGTAAACATAAAGTTAGGTGTGGTGATTTATTTCTATTTGCACTTCTATGGAACACCCAGCTGTGATAATGGGAAATGGCCTGTTGGAAGTAAAGACTTAAACCAAACAATTCTGTCTCAAAGTCAAACCTAGCCTGAAGTGAATTAAGTAGCCAAACACTAAACAGTCGGAATCAAACAAGGTAAAAAATCCCCATCAGAATGATCCAGTCACCTCCTCGGTGAGAAATGTGCCTGCTGAGGAAAGTCTCTCGCTTCCTGCGGTGAAGAAGACTCGGGCATTTCAGGAGCAGAGCAGAGGTGAGCACATAGCCCGTTACTGTTGACAGGACATACACCGCGGCACACATCTCCTGTCGATGAGCTGGAAAACCAACACAAAACACCAATGTCAACATTGAATCAGAGCTACACAAACAAACAGGCTGTGTTTTTTTACCTAAAAGAAAAACAAGCCTGGTCAAAGATGAGCTTTTGCAATGAGGGGAAGTATTAAACAAATGACTTTTTACTAACTTGCATGCTGATATACATACACACAGTCTGAGTGAGGGACAGTATTCAGAGATTTCCTTTTTTAGATTTTATACTATATAAGTTATGGAAATATTTACCTCTCATTAGAAAAAGATTACACCTCTGTTGTAAAGCACTTACACACCCCATGACAGATGGATTGAGCACTAGTTTGCTATGTCAATTTACATGATTGCAAGTCTTTGTCATTTTTACACCCCAAACTCTTATTTAAAGATACTCTTTGATATTTAATGTATTAGTTTCAGCTCTTGTTTTGACATTATGTCTCATTCATTAACAGTGAGACGGTAGGGGCTACCTTGTTAGCAGGGTAAGAATAAAGTTTTATTTCACGGAAAACCACAAATAAGATCACAGTAACTACATATTTTCTCCTTTTACGCGTTACCATTAAAAATTAAGAGAAACGTCAAAAGCAAACATTTTGTCAAGCCACCAGACGACAGCATACCTGCTACATCAGCTACAATAAGCTAACGTTAGCTGAGCTACAGACAAACTACATCATGTCTCACCTCTGTCATCAATTTTTCTCCGATTTTCTTTCTTTTTCTGATGACTAACCCAGGTTTTCCCGTATTAGCTTAATAATGCGCAGTGATCCACCTGTAATATTCTCAAAACGGCGATAGCTTGTTTATCCTGCCCTTGTTCTCTTCTCTACAGCTCCAATGATATCCTCTGCTTCACAGCTGTCTCTGCAAATACATAAACCGGCCGCTGTCAGCTCAGGGCGCATGCGCAGTCTTGTGCTCAACATAAACAATAACACTTCCGCTACAGAAACCTTCAGAATAAGAGCAAAACACTTCTCCAATTTAAAACCGGTCAAGCAATCCGAAATTTAGGATGATGTTTTACTGCGGGGTGTCAAACTCAACCATAGCAGGGGCCAAAATCTGGATTTAAATCTAACCAGAGGGCCCAACAGGGTCAACGTTTAACCCAAACCGTCAGCCTCCTTCTGAAAATATATAACAAAATCAGCAATGATTATAAACCACTTAAAAATAAGAGCAATCAAAATATGCATTTTTTTGCACGCTTTCTGTATGATCAAATATATATCTTTGTAAAAAAAAAAGTAAAAACATTTTAGTGCTGCTGCTGATGTAGGCCTATGATTCTTACTGCCAATATGTCAAAGCTCCACTGCCCTTATGTGCCTCCTGCTGTGCAATGTGCACCGAGCATCCAAAGCGCAGGTAGTTGTGGGGCAAAACAATGTCGCTAAAAAGGACATATCCCTAAGGAGCAGAGAAAAGAACGAGGAGGAAGAGAGAAGATGCCAAGATAAAGGTATGTTTGCATGTCATGGAATGATAATCAAAGAGATTTATGAAGGTGTGTGAATGATCAACAATCAATATTATCGGCAGAAATAGGGGGCCCCAAATCAAATTTTGCTTAGGGCCCCATTGAGGCTTGGGCCGGCTTTGCCTATACCTTTTTTCCTTTTCCATTAAATCAGTACAATGTACTGATTTTACAGTTTACAATCAAAATGTACCTTTTAAAGGAAAATATAATAATATATTTTAGTCCAAAATGGTCTTTTATTATTCTAAATTCTGACAGCTCTATAATTCCTTCTTAATCTACAATATAGTGACTTCATATAGTGCCCCTCCACTAGGTGCTGCTATTGGTCAGCTGAGTAACAGCAAAACAAGATCAGAGAAGATAATAAACTCTGTCTGTGTGTCTTAATCCTAACTTGAGGAAAAAATTGTGAACCACAACTCTTTTTTCATAACATATAACACCATAAGTTTTCATATTATCTATCACTAAAGGTTCAATGGGTGATAACCTTACAATGTGATAACCAGAAAAGATCCACAGAACAATGTCCAAGTAAAAATCTTGCACATTCGTAGCAGTCAAAGTTCACCTTATGCAATAAACCGTCTATGGAAATGTGATACACACCCTGAAGAGAAATACCTGAACATAGCGCTATGTGCAAGTAATTTTTTAAGGTAATCAATCATCAAGGTAAACAATTTTAAAGCTTCTTTTTCTTTAATCTTTAAAGTGATTCTGGGTGTCGTGTCAGTAAAGTAAAAGATTCAGTGTTTCTAAAATGGCAAATGGTCTGACAAACATTCTTGAAGACTGGAAATCTTTGGAGGAAGAGTATCATCAACTTCAGGTAAGAAACAGATTAAAAACTGCTGATAGTATCAGAAAATTGACATGGGGCTGCCCTATATGTCACCTTTCACATAATATTTGCTTGCTCCTGTGTTACTTGGACGAAATGATAAAATGTTGTGAATAGCATGACTTCAATCTCTTGTCATAATCGTCATATTGTTGGTTTCCTATTGAATTGTTAGGCTGCGCTCAATACCGTATCTGCCATAACCAAAAAAAAAGGTGAACTGCTCCTTTCTATCAAACTTTTCTGTGATTATTTATTTCACTTTGTTCTTGTTATCCAGGAGACCCACAGAGTGTACTTACAAAAATTGGATGAAATTTCTAAACTTCAAAAAAACTGCTCTTCCTCCATTGCAAATCAGCGCAAAACACTAAAAGATGTGTCCCGTCTCGTGGAAAAGTAAGTACTGCGTAGATATCTAGGATTTACAGATGGATACAGTGCATCAGGTTGTGTAAATATGCTTACGGTCACAAGAGGACCATTTAGTGGACTCCTATCAAGTTATCACAAAAAAAAACCAAACATGTCATGTTGAGTCAGTGATAATGACTGTTTTATGCTGTTGTTCCATCCATTAGATGCAGCACAGGACCATCAGCGGACGATGTTAAGGCACTGGAGGAGATAAAAGAAAAAATAAAGACACGCCCAAATGCTTTCGCTGAAATGGAGGCTTTCCTTCCCAAGAAAAACGGGTGATGACCTCAATTCAGTCAAAAGCCCTAAATATGCAAGTTGACCTACATTTAGTGTTTTGTATGAAACAAATAAGAATAATACAACTGTTCTGTGTTGCAGGTTGTACCTCAGCCTTGTTCTTGGAAATGTGAATGTCACCCTCCTCAGCAAGCAAGCAAAGTGAGCATTGAACATCACAGTCAAAACACAACACAAATATCAAGGCCAGTAATAATTTCCACAGTAACACAGTCTGTTTGGGGCTAAAAACATCAAATTAATACCACTTTAGACATATCTGTGAGCTTAAACTCTGTGAATTTTGACTCAATAACTTCACCAAACACTTATTTGGCCAATAAAATCCTGCCCATTCGTTTTTAAGACCTTCATTAGAAATGCTGTGACCTAAATTTGCTGCATCCTTGTCAGGTTTGCCTACAAAGATGAGTATGAGAAGTTCAAGCTGTACCTCACTGTGCTCCTGCTGCTGTTCTCCTTCATGTGCTATTTCTTTGTGGACTACAGGTAAGTTGTCGGAGGTTAGATCAAGTTTAGGACACATCCACATTATGTACTTTATGTCTGAATCTAACTCCTGTCTGACTGTATTTCATTGAATTTAGATTTCTTGATGCACTCCTGAATTTCCTGCTGGTGTGGTACTACTGTACATTAACTATCAGGGAAAGTATCCTCATCACAAATGGCTCCAGGTTAGCACCAACAGCTCTCCAATATGCCCAGCAATTTAGAAACTGAAACGCTTTATACCTTTAATTTTTTCCTTTAAACTAGTCGTTTTTCACTATGTCATTAGTATGTGAAATCCATACATCTAAATATAGCATAAAATGTGTCCCCTATCATAGAATCAAAGGCTGGTGGGTTTTTCATCACTACATCTCAGCTGTTTTGTCCGGTGTCATGCTTACATGGTAAGTAGCAAAAACAAGAAACTTAATTCATTTTGATATATTCAAACTCAGAGAATTTCCACAGATAAACTGCACGAGCGGTGTGACATTTGTTCCTGTGAGATGAATAATAAGTTGTAAAAACTGAGGCTTTTCTATGCACAAACAAATCTCTTCTTTCGTCAAAAGGCCAGATGGAAACCTGTACAAGATATTCAGGAACCAGTTCCTTGCCTACTCCTTGTACCAGAGTAAGAACCAAGCACTCAAGTTTCAATCATGGTCCAATTTTTTTCCAAAGCAAAGCCTTAATGAGTGCTTCTTTCATGTGGCACCCACAGGTTTTGTCCAGTGTCTGCAGTGCTATTATCAGAGTGGGTGTCTGTACAGATTGCGAGCTCTGGGAGAAAGACACAACATGGATCTGACTGTGGGTGAGATACAAGGACACAAGATGCAGACACATTTTGACAACCATAGTGTTATTAAATATTAGGTAAACGTTTGCAATGCTATTATACAGGACTTGACCTATACAAGAAGAAAAAAAGAAATGAAACTCTTGACTCTTTTGGTTTTCAGAGGGATTTCAGTCATGGATGTGGAAAGGGCTGACGTTTCTGTTACCCTTCCTCTTTTTTGGTCACGTAAGTGCGGTTAATGATTTGAACTTGAGAAAATTCCACTGACATGAGTCAGGCTGCGTAAAAGAAAATATTGCTTTGTCAGGGATCAGACTAGGTAAAAAAAAAATGCTGAGAAATGTTGAGAAATGCTGATGTCACTCCAGACTAAATATTTTTTCTGAGACCGTGTTCGAGTTTTTGTTGGTCCCAATGACAGCTTAATCTTTGCCTTGTCTCTACAAACTGCATCAACTCACTGTTAACAAAACAAACCCTCAAGTCTTCATGTTTTGTCTTGTAGTTCTGGCAGCTCTTCAATAGTCTTTCTCTCTTCAAAATGGCTCAGCTCCCAGACTGTAAAGAATGGCAGGTCAGTGCTTTCACCAATAATGAGTCTGAACAGGTCATCCTGATTCTACTTTCATATTGTTAAAATATATATTGAATTCATCTTTCACCCAGCCTTATTTATGCCAAAAAGGCTAAGTATGTGTATCAACAGTGTTATTCATACACATAATATGACGATATCTTTCTGACATTTCATTTTTTGATGCACCGGTGGAGTTTCTTTGTGGAACCAGGACATTTGAACATTGGTTCAAATAGTTTTTGTTTATTTATTTAGTAACAATGACTTACTCTGAGTCTCACACTGATGTCTGTGTTCCACTTAATGCCAGGTCCCGATGTGTGGTCTCTGCTTCCTTATTCTGTTCATGGGAAACTTCTTCACTACTGTTGCTGTGGTCCGTCAGAAGATGAAGAGCAGGAGTCAAAAAACAAAGAGTCTGTGATACGTGTTCCTGTCCTGATTTAAGTTAAAATGATCGTTCATTCAGTCAATATTAATTTTCTGTTTCTATTCACTCACTATATTACAAGTCCGAAGAAAGAGATTGCATAAAGATTCATGTAGGTTCATGAATATGAAACCACTATCGTTATATATCAATCATCTTAAAGAGTCATTATGCTCCAAACTCTATGTCTGTATGGTTTGAGAAATCACTCTGACAGTAAAAAAAATCCTCAAAATAAAGTTGATAATTTGAGACACTCTACGGTTTGTGAAACTGTTATTTTTCTGCCTGCATATTATGCAAGTAGACTCATGTTTTTTCTCTCTCTCTCTCTCTCTCCTTAAAATGCACCTCACTCATCCTTACTCTTTCTTACTGGGTGAAAAGTTGGCAATCAGCTACCTGTAGGAATTTCTCTGTGGCAATTAAAAAGATAACAACCTTATAAAATCTGAATCATTATTGTAAAAGTAACAACCAAGCAGCTTATGGTTACTAAAATGAACACCACCTGCAGCTACAGTATGAAAATTAAGTGATACATAGAGTATGAATCAATCAGTGATGCATTGGCAGACAGTGGTAAGATAAGTGTTAGAAGTGTCAAATTGAGTGAAAAGGTTATGCAAGCTGTATGAATAAATAGGTTAGTATAAAATGTACGAATAAAAACCAAGTATACAGGGTTACTCGTTGAATTGTATGGAGGAGAAAGGGAACTCTGTAGGCCTATGCAAAAACAAAACTTGTGGTACTTTCGTATGGATGCCTATTAATGGTCTATCACTGATCAAAGAGGTGGGTCTATGAGTATTCTTTTTTTCATACATTCAGTCAATGAAGTTAATCCCATAAAAAATGAAGTATCAAACAACAACAACAACAAAAAGTGATATGCTAGAGTGAATTTTTTATACTAAGTGTAGCTACTTTTACCCAAATTATAACCTGACTACCTCATCCAGGTATCCACAGATTCCCTACCTATACAATACAGGTGTCAAACTCAAGGCCCGGAGGCCAAATCTGGCCCATAGAACAATTATATCTGGCCCACAAGATCATATCATATTTGTATTATTATTGGCCCACCAGTCTGCAGATTTCCTCTAGTATAATAATGTAAACTTTAGCACCATTATTTGTCCTTAACAAACCATGAAAATCTAGGAAATTGAAGAGTAAGGAAGATTTGATAAATAGTCAAGAATGTGGGGGAAAGTGTTTTGTGTTTTATTTCATGTTTTCAATTTTGCATTTCAAGATTACAAGTCAAACATGATTGGATTTTCTATTCCATGCTTTGATTTTGTTCAACTCAGTATTTGAACTTGTGTCATTTTTATACTTTAGATTCCAATTTTATATTTTAAGTCATATTTTGACCTTTTATACCCGATTTCAACGTTCTCCTCATGTATTTGCTCTTTCAAAGCATTATTTTTCTATTTCTAATATTGTGCTCTGATCTTTTGAACTAATCAATAAAAATAGAATAAATAAAAAATAAAAATAAAATATTTTTTTCTATCTCAGATTGCCTTTAAACTTATCTTTTTATCTTTTTAGAATTTCAAATTGATTTGTAATCATTGCTGATTTTGTTCTGCGTAGTTTTTAAAAAGGAGGTTGACAGTTTTGGGGAAATGTTGACCCTGTTTGGCCCTCAGGTTACACCTAAATCCAGATCATGGCCCTCGCTGTGGTTGAGTTTTACACCCTTGCATACAGGTAGTTAAGTCTTTCTTGTCATGTTGCTGTGAGAATAAACACCTTAAAGGGCGAGGACAGCATGTTTGATGAGTCGGCCTTTAACTCTGTCGTTGATATACAGTCTGTTCTGCTAACTTCATTACATAACCCTGACCCTTCGCCTGCTGCACCTCCACGCTCATTTTTTTGTCAGGTTACATGTTAGGGCCAGTGAACGCAGCAATAACTCACCATCGCAGATTTCAGCCAGTGAGACATCTCCCACGTGCGAGTTGTGACATTAGGTAATGCCTCTGTAGAATGGTCCATGTCGAGACACGTGTGTGCAGAAATAGAGTATTAATACCTTTGACTGTTGGGGGAAATTTGAAAGAATAGTATTACTCAGAAGGAAACACCAATATCAATCTTCTTAAATTTAAAGTATGGTTTAAAATTGTTTATTCGTTGTTCATATTGGAAAGGTCCACCCCCGCTGCCAGGATCGAGTTGGTTTGATCCTGCATGGCGTAAAGTTTCCTTCCGTGTTCAGCACAGTGTCAGCCTGACACAAAGACGAGAGACGGAGGTAAGCGTTTTACACAACTCACCTTTTGGGATTCTTTTACATCGAACTGTTGTCTGTGGCAGTGTGTTTGAGTAGATAGTAAAAAATAGACTCATAGCCTTCTAGAAACCTGAAAAGACAGAGGAAATGTCTGAAACATTAGCCTAAGACGTGCTGAGTAAAGTGTTATTACGCAAACTGAGAGTAACTTTTCTGTCCATTGAACGAATGACACGTCCAGCTCCTTACAGATAATAACTCATAAGTCTTGCATGTGTAATATTAACATAACACTGTTTTGTCATTGGACAAGCGTACGTTTTTATGACCACCAAGTTACAGCCAGTGTTGTATCATTCCAGGGACTAGCCGGGGCCCTCGGTCCATTCCCGGTGGATATCTTGGACATTTCCTCCTAACATTTAAATTTCGGGGTTATCTTGTGATTTTTAATGTTCGCTTGGACTCTGTCGGAGCAATTCCAGCTGTAGTCTACAGCACATGTTGAATTTTCAATACGTAGGGGTCGCCTTTTGCTTTTCCAGTGTTACACAACTTGCGTTATTTACTTAAAGCAGAAGAGGTGAATTGTCAGGGTGAACTCCAGTGACCTCAGTCCGTGGCAAATTATTGATCACTTAAACCTTCAATGGCAACAGATGTAAAGCTGTCTGTTAGATATCTTGATAGGCAACAAACCACAGCGGTACATGACTACACTTGGACATAGAGTGTAAGGTCTGTATCAGTCCAGAGTGTGTCTTTATCTCCAGTATCAGAGGTGGCAGTGGTCAAAAACCAGTTGCCAGTTGAACAACTTTTTGTTGGTCAAGCTGTTTATGTCATTTGTTTTGTACCATAAAGCCTATCATACAATATAATCAAGAGTTACTGTCTTGGGAATACTACTTAATATCTACTGCACCTAATATTTTTGACAGGGCAATCACCATTGTGTTCAAAAATCAGCAAATAATCATGTATTACTTTCCATATTGGTATGTTTCTTACTGATAAATATCCCTGACAGCTTACTTTGCACTTGTGTGACAGCACTGGAGACAGAGGGGGCTTGTGTTTTAAGTCAGCCTGTAATTGAACCCTTTGGGAGATCACTAAGCAAAGTTGTTGGCTTGGATACAATATCACAACAAGAGAGAGGACACTGAAACGGTCTGCGGCATTTCCGTAACTCTACAGTGATCAGACACGGCGCTGGCTTTCAAATTGAAAGGTGAAATTGGGATGAGAATAATTCAGCTAACTTTTGTCACACTTTTATTTACATAACTATGTTGATCAAAAGATACTGAATGGGATTTTTCAGGTTGGGTTTTTCTTGTTTCACCCCTTCACTAGTTTTCTGTTTGTCACTCATCAAAATAAAACAAAAACTACTTTTAAAATACAGTTTTAAATAACTCGAAAGCCTGATGTTTAACCCACCATGATAGCAGGATTTATTTTCAGGTTTTAGCCGGGGTTATCAAATACACTGGCATCTAATGGATTCTGGCTTGCTCCCAATAAGATAGACTTCATAATTGTGTAACAGCACCAACTAGTGCTCTCTAATATCTATTACCCAATTTCTTGTCTTACTGGCATTTGTCGGCTAAAGAAACACAATAATGCCAACACAGAGATGCCAAAATTGTCTTAAAAGTCAGGAAATCCTGTTGCGTAAGAATATTAAATTTTTTATCTGTACTGTTCTAGATGAAATGCCAAATGTGTGATCTGCTGCAATTCAATTTCCCTATGGGACAAATAAACTACTACTACTACTACTACTACTACTGCTATTACTACTACAACTCCTACTTAAATATCTGCTAACATCATCAGACTTTTAAAACTTTCAGTACTATTCTTGTCCATTTAAATAAGCTGTATATGTGTTAAAATGCAGACTGTACCAACTGGTGTAGGCACACAGGTACCTTTCTAGGTAACAGAGTGAGTCAAGGTAAGAGCAAGCCAGCACTCCCTTTTAATAGGAATGTACACAACTCTTTAAGTTAATATCTCAGTAGGCGTGGGACAGTTCAAGTAAACCCTGTCTGAACAGTTTCCCTCCTAAAACTGAAGTGTAACTTGAGAGCTCTGGAAGTTGTGTTCACTTATGCTTGGAAAAAAAAAAGATTTGCTGTTGTGGATGCATGACATGATATGGAACTCAGTGGGTCACAGTGTAATATTATGTTGAGTCAACTGTGCGAAAATGCTTGCACAATAGCAATCATTGTATGGCATGGCATGCGGGGTACTGGTCACATATGTTAGTAATCACATTGTTCTCTTCAGCTGCTAAACCAGTTCTGACTCCACAGTTTGTCCACATCTTTTTTTAATGTCTAATCCCTGATTATTCCCCTGTAATTTATTATTGTCAAATTATATTATCTTTAGGTTTGAAATTATATAATGTAGGTTTAAAGTATATTATCTTAAACATAATAAAACATGATAATGTTCTCCAGCAGTTTCTAAAATCAGAAACTTGAATGTTTTGTTGTCTTTGTATCATGTTTATTTTGCTTTTTATGGTTTCTGTGAGTCAAATCCAGCAAAAAACAATCATGTAACTCTTTGAGCCCTTTTTTCTTATATGGTTAGCCCATCTAATTACCATGTTCCCTTTGTCTCCCTGTAGACTGTCAAAATGACAGACATGGAAGCTGATACTGCCACCCACACTGAGGCTATGGTGGAAGAAGAGGAGCCTCTTTTCAGCAACCTGGACCTCTTCCTCTTCTCCCTTATTGTCGGCCTGGTCATTTATTGGTTCATGTCCCGCAAGAAGCCAGAGCCCATCCCTGAATTCAAGAAGCTCGATGCACCGTGAGTACACAGTGTACTAGCACCGATCTGTGTTTAAGTAAAGAGAAAACTAAACGTTTTGTTTGACCAGGATCCAATTTAGGAGCGACTTCATCGTTATGAAAAACATGAACGCTGTTTGAGGGAAAAGCAACGAATTAGAGGCATTAAACTGCATATATGTGCATTTTCAGGGTAAAGTTAAAAGGTCTTTCTTTGTTCTTAGCTGAACAGGTAGACATTAAAATCTATTAATTCTTCTCGTTTCATCAAATTATTTTGATGCCACAACTTCATTACAACTCTTTAATGAAATTTCCCCATACACCTAAGTGTTAACTCTATGAGTCATATCGTTAAAGGTCCTGTAAGGATTTTTTAGTTGGTTTTGAAACAAACTGAAATGAACAGTGATGGATCTCTATTATGTACAAAAGCAAACAAGAACATTGATGAGAAGATGGACATTTCTATATTGTAATCTTAAATGCTAGTATCCGCTGTGAGGGAGTGGGTGCTCTGAGGTAAGAGCCTTGGTTGTTTCCCCACCGTGAATGTTTATGGTGAGTGATCAATGTTATGGTCAAAGACAACAGAAGTGCATTATTTTGTCAATTAACACGACTTTTTCAGGAATGATATCAAATCAGCATTGATAAAAGAGTTCCCCTCTTGTCCACAGGGGGCGCCAGATCAACACAAACAGAAAGCTCCCTATATGAGCTATAACATACGTTGATATGAAAAGAGACCCTCTTAAAGCCCTGCCACCACTTATCCATCATGAACTCTTTAACACTGAGAGGCTTTACTGTTATTTATTACAGATTCGGGACCCTAAAATCTTGGAGTAAGGGATTTTTCATTCACAAGGAGACTTTAAAAGTCCAATGATAGCATATGTGATTGGAAGAGTTGACTCAACCTTACTTCAGTCGGCCTAAACACATGTAAACACAGCCTACCAGGAAACTGCTGCAGCATGCCCACCCACCAATTGATCCGTGCCTCTAATTCTGCGAATGTTTGTAGAGCTCTTAGTCTGTACATTATTTTAACAGATGCTTTGTCCATTTGGTCATGCTACCTTTCTTGTAACCTTACACTATCAGTCATCTATTAATAAGGAATGAGATATGGATATCTTGTTCTCATTACAAATACAGCCAAGTATATTTCAAGATATTCACAGTTTGTTGATCATCATCTTTTCACATGATGATGAGTTATAAAGTGGTGAAGCGATAACTGCTCGTCCGATTCCCTGGATTTTTCACAGACAAAACAGAACAAGATAAGAGAAGCATTTAAGCTCCCCACCCTGAGGGAGGTGTTTCAGTTAAATAGCTAACAAGTGAATGTAGTTGATTGCTTTATATCACATGCTTGCTATGGAGGTTGTGATTCCTGTAATCTGCTTTATTGCGTAAAGACATTTAGATAGAAACAAATTGACTGCACCCCCAAACCAGTGTACAAAATGGGCCTTGGAGCAAGTGTGTTAGAGTGCACGGCTTAAGACTTGTAAATGTTCCACTAGTGGCGACCTTTGTTTCCAGCCTGCCCGTCCTGCTCTTTGACACAAACTCTCTCCTCTCAGAAACTTCTCTGCTCCCTCACTCTCTGCCAGCCTCTCTCTCTTTCTTTCTCTCTCTCTCTCTCTCTCTCTCTCTGTGCTTGTAGCCTCTCCAGCTCCTCCTCTTTTCCTCCTCCCCTCATCCCTTGTCGGCAGAGTTATGGAGGCTTGGCTTGATTTCAATGGGCTCTCCTTCCATTGGCCACATTTAAAGTCCCTCCTCAACAACCACAACACAGTTTCTTTGGTCACCAGAGTAAAGCCTCGGGCCAGAGCAGCCACGCTCGCTGTGTGGTTGTGTGAATGGAGACAGTTTAGCTGGAGGCTGAGTGGGGGAGATCCTGAGTATTTGTGTGAAAACAAGAGGCTGGATTGAAGAGGGAAAGACCCCTGCAGTGCATGTTTTGCTTTGCAGAAGAAGAGTATGTGTCTGCGGAGAGCAAGACTACAGGAAGGGGATGTCGATCAACACAAGCTGGCCCCCCTCCCCTTAAAGAAAGCAGTGATTACCTAACTGTTATGAAGGGGGCGTAGTCTTCCATGTCTTTCCTGTGCTTTTGTTTTTGGCCCTGAACCCCGTTTTAAAAGTTCCCTGGAGAGCAAACCAGGGAGGCGAGCCAAGCAGCCTTTGTGAGTCCTCTCCAAAGGTGGAAAGTTGAGGCAAAAGACAAGCAAGCCTTTCTTTGCCCTGAGTTACTTTTTTTTTCATTCTTCTTTCCCTTACTCCCCTGTTTTTCTTTCAGTACATGTGTGTTTGGGCTGAGCTGCTCTGCTATTGGAGCCAGGCTGTGTCACAAATGGAATCCTTTTATGATAAATGAGGTTACCATAGCAATGACATTCCCCTCTCTCCTCCAGTGAAATGGGGGCGGGGGATACTTCAGAAAAAAAAATACCATTCACTCACAGCTCTCCCCCCCCCTTCTCTTCTGGTCCACCCAATGAGTTCCTCTGATAGCTAGCCAAATCTTCAGAATGGATCTTGCGGACTTATTCGTACCCGACACCTTTTAGACCGGAGAGGAAAAGAGGCGGGGATGAAGAGGAGGAGGAGGAGGGCATTTTCAGCTTGAGAGTGTTTCAGTGTGTGAGTCAAAAGTGGAGGTTTGCAGCTCAGCTACATTTTATGGGAAAGTCAGTTTCCCACCATTGTGTCCACAGCAGTTGCCAGACATTGACAGGGCTTGTAGGCTGTGGGTCTGTGTATCTGTGTGTGTGTCTGTGTGTGTGTGTGTGTGTGTCTGGGGTGGGGTGGGGGTGGGGGGGCAGACGCTGCTGGTTTCAGAGAGCAGCACAGGAAGAGGCAGAGTTCAGATCGTGTTGGAGCCTCTAAGGTGAAGGCAAGCAGCTCCTCTTGAGCTGCGAGTGTGCGGCCGCCTCTCTGAAATGATTTTTATTTTTGGGTTGCCATCCTTTGGTTGTGGAGTGTTGACGTCCTGCTTTTGATTTTGAGCGCTGGTGGTTTTCCCGGCGTGACCTAGCCAGGGGTGCTAGTGGCAGTGGTGAGCTGCGGGGCTGAATGCCATGGGCTGTGTGTTTTCCCTGCCAGAGGACAGGAGAGATGCTGCTGAGAGGTCAGTGGTGCGTTGGATTTGTGCCCTTTCAAAGGCACAAAAAAAATCCGTTTGAAACTTTGAGTGAGCTTCCAAATGAAACAGCGGGGTTATAAGACATTTGATAGGAAATGTGCGGAGCGTACGTTTTTAATTCAACATTTTGCAAGGGATTTTAAGTTGGTGGCCTGTTACTAGTAAAATGTTTGACACACGGGGATTAGAGAGAGCTGTCTCAAAACTCAAACAATATTACCCAAAGGCATTGTAACAGCTGGATATAAAACCTCAGTTTGATGACGAGTTTTGTCCTCGGTTTTTCAGTTAACATGTTAACTTTCCTGATCTTGTCAGTAAAAACTTCACTTGTGTGAACATATAACATTCATAACACAAGTTAAAACTCTGTTTCGGTCTCAAAAACACAATGACTAAAAGAAAACAGCTGCTACATCCATAGTAGATCACATCTGCATTTATGTGAGCGTGTTATAGAGTACACTTATTTGTTTTAGAAGGTTTAGTTCTCAGTTGGATTAATGAATGGAAAGTTAAATTTGACAGTATTTTGAGATTATGAGCTCCAAACTATGTCTTTTTTATTTAATTCATCCCTTATTTAGAGTTTCCGAGCTGAGACAGGCAGCAGGACAGTTTACAAAGACCAGGCACACATACTCGCATAATCCAAGACAGGATTATAATACATCAAAAACATGCAGTAGAATAATGAGTAAATCCTGTTCATATCTACAGCCTACAGAAATTTGCCTCCCAGTCATTTAAAGCGACTTGAAAGCATCCAATGAGACCAGATCTTTTAGTGTCCGTTTCTTTTTACTTATTCATTTGAATAAAGGGTTCAGGAAACTTCCCTATCCCATTTCCCTATCTCAGTTTTGGCCTCTGGAACAGGCGGTAAGAAAGGTCCTGGGACCACAGATTATAAGTTCCTGTTGTCTAACTAGTGTGAAGGAAGCGCACCTAGAATAGACTTTAAATACGAATACACCAGTCTGTTTCAGTCTGTGTGCCACCAAAAGAACTTGTTCATAAACCAAGCACAACCAAAATCAATTTTATTATTAAAATGAGTTGTGAAATAGTGAGATTCATCGATGAAAGACATCTGTGGCATGAAACACACTTAACCTGTGTATCCTGAGAAGTTGAGACTGAAGGCAGATTCAGTCGCTGAGATTTTGCATTTTAAAACTAAAGCCACTTTTGCCACCAGCTAACTTGGAGAAAAAATACCAATACCATTACCATTCGTGTGTTATTGAAGTAAAACTAGAAGCTTGTAATAAACACAACTTAACGACGCCGAGGTCTGACTTTTTGATCGGACAGCTGAAGAGAGAAAGGAAATGTGTGAAGTAGGAAGCCGGGAAAGACATGGAGCCAAGGGTCGAGGCTGGGTGTGGAACCAGTGACCACTGCAACATACAGGCCCTTACTAAGTTCAGAGAGCTTTCTGGATGAACTATTGAAGGATGTATAATGTGCATTATTTCCACATGCATGCACTAGTCCGCACAACAATGACTTGTTGTTATTGTGTTCTTGAAGTTTGGCATCTTCTAACTGACAGGTCAGATGCTCTTTGTGTAATAGCTTTTGTTTTCCGTCAATGAAAGTAGATAAACACAGTGTTACTTAATCTCTTGGCTTTCATACTTAATCCTGCGCTTTGGGATACAAGAAATAAAGTTTATAACCTCGGCATTGTGTTTGTGCTTGTAATATTTGGAGCCTTATTATGCTTTTTTTTCCTCAGTCCAGATATAGTGTTGCAGCTGTCCACCTAACCCTTTGATGTTGAATGAAGCGGCGTTGCCTTTTATTCAGCCCCGTTTTTTTTCCCCCTTTTTATTTTCACTAACGCTGTGTTTGCACATGTTGTTTTGATCTTTTACAATCCACTGATTACTTCCAGGATAAATCCGAATCAAACTGTGGACGATCAAGATTTCTCACATGTGGTCAAGTGTAGTGCGTACTTCCACGTACAGTCAGTGTGACTGAAACTCGTATGGCCGCTGAGTCACTGCCTGGCGACTCCCTGATGGTGTAACACTTAACAATGAGCAGACAGATTTTCCTGCTGTGTGGTTAAAAAAAAAAAAAAAACTTCAGTGACATTGCATTTTTGTTTTCTCATGAATCAGGGTTCCTACGCAAGTATGGAAATAAATTTGATCAATTTCCATGTCTTTAAAAAGTATGGAAGATAAATAAAGTATGGAAAAAAATGTATGTTTCCAGACTATTACCACAGTTCTAAACACTGTTTTCTAAAATGGAAAAGTGGGTATTTCCAAATTTTTTTTAAAAAGTATGGTATGGAAAATGTGGAAATTCCAACTGTGTAGGACCCCTGATGAAATAAAGCATCAAACCTGTTGTGAGTGCAGCTCTGTCTAATGATTAAAGACCCTCTGAGGTGACAAACCTGAGCATGTAGTTCAGTGTTGTTTTCGTTGATGATGACGTTGACGAAACTACACTGCAGAATATATGTTTAGCGTTTGACTTACGAAATGCTCATGAATTTTGCATCTCTGTTGGTCGTCTCGTCAACATAAACGCACATTCGTCTCATCACATTTTAGTCATCTAAGACTTATCTTTAGCTCGTCAACGTCATGTATTCATTGTGGAAAAAAGGGGCGTTGACGAAATATTTTCATCAACGAAAACAACACTGATGTAGTTGACGTGTATTTCCATAATAAAACACTCTAGTTGTCGATCTTTCCCTTCTTGAATTTACTTGGAGGTTTACTTTGCATAACAAAACGATACTTTTTTACAAATAATAATGACGAAATCGAGACCCGATATAAACATGGTCAAAATCAATTGTGCTCTCAAAGACCCACAGCTGCACTAATTACCCACAGGTCTCACATTACATGTCTCCTCCAATAGGAGAGCTGCAGTAAAACTGCAAAAAGTAAAACCATACAACTGTTCAGTCTCTCAGAATTCTAATCAGGATAAATTACAAAAATTATCAGTTATCTGTCAAATTATCAGTAGTGCAGAAACACCTGTTACTGACTGAAAGTACAGTTCAACATTTTTGCTCACAAACCAGTTTTACTGCTGTTATTTCTTTGTTGATGTTAGATGACAAAGAAGTTGTTAAGCTGGTCTTGAACCTCTTCTAGTCAGAGTACAATCTACTTCTGCCTTGTTAGCCACGAGCTCTTGTTTGCTTCCCATATAGAGTTGAGCAGTAAATAATTCATTGATCATTAATCAGGTAATTCATCCACGTAGATTTTCCTGTCCTCACCTAAACCAAAGCACTCATGTTTCCTATCTGATGATTGGTTAAAGGTACATTCTGTGATTTAGATTGGAAACAGAAGTTGGAGCACGTTACATGCCTGCTGGACATTTCTAACAGCTTCTGGTGGTTTATTAACAATAGTAATGCGTGATAAGATATCAGGACAAGCCAATATTTCCTCTTACTACACTACTGCATTAGATCAATAACATCTTCATTATGTTGTGGAATCCACCTCATGTTTACTCTCTCACTAAATATTGAATTTGGCCCTCAGATAAAGAAAGTTAGACTGCACTGTTCAGCTGAGGTTCAGGTGGTGGTAGCTCAGTGGTAGAGAGGTTTCGAATTAAATCAGAAACCCCAAAATTCAGTAGTGTGGGAATATGCAGGAATGGGGTTGGTTAGTACTTATTGTCCTCCACTTCAACATCCTCTGCCATCACTGTGTGAATGTGACAACTACTGTGAAGGCACTTAAAGACGGAGACAAACTATAAAAGTTCCACACAGGCAAGCTTGCAATGAACAAAAAGCTTATTCCCCTCAAGTGATTATTTAAAAAAAAGTGATTTATAAAGGGGGTTGTGAAAAACTAAGTAATCAAGAACATTTTGAATTAAATAACCTTTTTTTTTTTTCACAGAGCACCCACCACACGAGAGACAAGTTTCCTAGAGAAAATGAAGAAAACGGTAAGCATGTTACTTTTAAATCTGTCCGTTTCTGTCATTTTTTGTGACAACTTTTCCAGCCTCCAGAGAACTTTTATTGCAGTTTTTATGTTAGGTAGGACTGAGGGGATTTTAAAGACGGCTGCGAGCCATTTGGACCTGCAGACGCAAAGTGTTTAACAGTGTTGTTTTAGTTGCCCCTCACCACATGTTGACGGACCTTGAAGTTGTTTTCAGCTGCACATACCTGTTTGATGTTGAGGTTCTGGCCAAAGTGGATTTGTAGTATGGGTTTTAATTTAAAATGAAGTGCTAAAGTGTGTTTTTTTCTTTTTAACGTCATGATCTCGGAGGGAAGAATCAAACTATCAGGTCTTTGTACTGATGTGACTCTGTGCAGCCGCAGAGTTAGAAAATCTGTTCTCTCTTTCAAGCTAGTCTTGAAAAAACATTGGTTTTGAATCATGTGGTTTTGCAGCAAATAGTTCAGATACCACGATGGTGGCAGAGAGGAGCTTTGGCCCCCAGTGCTTTTGAATTTCTTCTTTTTGGTATTAATTATCATAGCAACCCCGTTGGCAGAGACATTTTTTCACGATTCCCTCAAATACAGGACCAGCTGGAGATGTTTATGTAATGCTAATGTTAGAGAAATGTCTGGTTATGTTTTTGTCTTCATGTGTATTTACTTTGTAGGGACTTGAAGTAGTTTTACATTCAGCGCTGTCCCTATTTCATCTCCCCGTCTCATGCAGAAGTACTTGAGTTTGAAACAGAATCGACATTCAAGGTTTTCTGTTTCTAGCTGAAAGACAAAAATCATCATCTGTGTTTCTCAAAGCTGCCTGCAGGCATGAGAAATTAGGTGGTTTTTCAGTTACAAATGTGAAACACAGCTCCTCTTTGCATTATCTTCATCTTTTTTTTTTTTCCTCTGAAATTTTGGAACCAGGGCAAGAACATCATTGTGTTCTACGGCTCTCAGACGGGCACAGGAGAGGAATTTGCCAACAGACTTTCCAAAGACGCTCAGCGCTACGGCATGAAAGGAATGGCTGCTGATCCGGAGGAGTATGACATGGTAATTTGCCTCAGAGGGACAACATGAAAACCACATAATAATATAAACAGAGGTCCATTATGAGATACAGTATAACTTCAGATCCTGTCGAGGAGGTTTTAGCTAGCTAAGACACAGACTGAACGAATTTCTGTGAGGTAGATGTCACACTGAGCAGCAAATTACACACAGCAGAAACAGACTTTTTGCCATTTTACAGGCAAAGACTGTCGAGAAATGATCCAGTTTACTGGTGAATAAAGACAGGATGAGTTTTCTTTTTGTTGTGAAAATACTTTTACTGTTTTCTCTACAGTGTATACCAAAAGAGTCGCGATCAAAGAAATCATCACAGAGGCTTTAAGATAGGATACGATTTTCTATTTTCAATGAGCTTTATTGGCATGACTGTTACTACAATATTGCCAAAGCGTTTTAAATTTTTTTTTTTAATTTTTTATTTAATTTTTTATTTATTTTTTTTAATTTTTAACCCATTTTATTTGGGGCTTTTTGCACCTTTTTTGAGAAGACAGGACAGTTGATAGAGCAGGAAGCTGAGTGGGAGAGAGAGGTAAGGGTCACACAGGAAAGAAACCTCAGGCTGGAATCAAACCCAGGCCTCTGACATGAGGCCTCTGTAAATGGGGTGCACACTTAAACCGCCAGACCCTAAGAACTGGAGGATATTCATTACATGTCAGTGATTTGTGATGGAAAAGTATCGGCGCTAAATACTGAAGTGTGTGTGTTTCAATGGGAAAGGCACGTATTTACCAAACACCTCAGAGGTGATAATTGTATTTATCTAAACTGAGTCGATTTGATAATAATTTCATACACGTCTGTTCTCCAGTATTTTATACGTAAGCTAGGCTATGATCTCGTCCAGTTAATAACTCACAGCTCCAAAATATAACAGGCTGAGTCAGGCCTATGAAAAGCATTCGCTCCCATCAAAACATCTGATACATTTACAACAATACAAAGATCACTTCTACTAATAGTAATGGCGATACTGAGTCAGTCATAGGTCACATACTTTTGATGTGTTCCTCTTATGTAATAAACTGCATGTTAGCTGACAAAGCAACTCTGTAGACAACAAATACAGCATAAAAACAAACTTCATCAAGTTTATTACAGATCTACAAATTGTGATATCTCATATTTCAGGGGGAACTGGCCCGTCTGTCTGAGATCCCAAACTCTCTCGCCATTTTCTGTATGGCCACGTACGGCGAAGGAGACCCCACAGATAACGCCCAAGACTTTTACGACTGGCTGCAGGAAAACGACGATGAAGACCTCTCCGGATTAAATTTCACAGTGAGTTTTGACGCTTGTGGTTTTATGAAAGTATAAATGTGTACTTTTTTCCCATTTATTTAAATTATTTGTTGTATTATAGAACATCAGGATAGTCATTTTGCCCATAAAGCATCTCCACCTCCTTTATTCCAAAGTGAAGTCATATCTCTGTCTTGAGTTATTGTGAGACACAAGCCAGATTCACACTAACCCATTTCCACAAAACCACTGAAATACATTTCAACTCTGTTCACCGCCGCCATTTGCCAGCTCCCTTTTAGTTTTCATGAGTCAAACTATCTGTCTGACACACTTACAGAACACAGGGTTCCCTGGCTTTGTTTTCACTGTAAAAGAAGGACAAGCTTTGTGTGTCGTCGTGTCTGCAGTGTGTTTGTGTGTCTTTGTCGGGATGCAAGGCTACTGGCCTAATTTTAGAACGTGACAATCTAGTTTACTTCTTAGGCTCTGGCCATCTGTGCTGTTTCTTATCCATTGTGCTATCGGTGTTTTGTCTTGAATCATCATGCTAAGATATACATGCATTTCTTTTGAGGACATTATTAGACAGTGTAGTGTTGTAATTTGTTGCTCTGTACAAATTGCTCTCTTTTGTGTGTTCATTTACATGCGACTACTAAAGAGCGATTTATTGATTCTACTTTTTGTGTTGTTTGACTGTTATACTTCAACATTTTATTCCTCACTGTGTCTTGTTCTGACTGCAGGTTTTTGCTCTGGGTAACAAGACATACGAACATTACAATGCGATGGGAAAATATGTCGACAAAAGGCTGGAAGAACTCGGAGCCAAGCGCATCTTTGACCTCGGCTTGGGAGATGATGATGGAAAGTAAGTCATCGGTTCATCCTGTGAGAAAACAAAAAACGCTGTCAGTGTTCCAGACTGTAAGCAGCTGAGCTGGGATTCCCTCTTCTTTATTCTCACCAATAAGCTTGTGATCTAATAACCCTCTGATAGCTGATGTCTTGAGCTAAATATCAGAAGTCTAACAGAAGTTTTAGATTGCAATATATTCACACTCCTGCGGTGTGTTTCCTTTCCAACATTTTTCACATTTGTAACATGTTCATTGTTTTCCTCATTTGTCAGAAAAGGGCACATTCAAAGACCTGTCTGGTTTTGTCTTTTAGTCTGGAAGAAGACTTCGTTTCATGGAGAGAGCAGTTCTGGCCGGCCGTCTGTGAGCACTTTGGAGTGGAGGCTTTAGGAGACGAATCAAGGTTCACGAATCACAAATATTTTTCACTTCAGACCATTTTTTTACACCCTTCTCTCCTCTTTACTAGCACTTCACCCAATAAAACAGTTTGTAAACTATCTACCACCAATAGCAGGCAAAAAACAGATTTGTAAACACGGTCTCTAGCATACACTAAAGACTCATGAGTTTGGTTTTAAACGATAATCTACCCAGAATTTTCTTTCTTTGAAACATCCATATCTCAACGGAGACCTTTCAAGTTATCACAACACATTTGATTGACGCGAACTCCGCCCATCTGAATGAACAAACAAGTACCAAGTAATCATTTTAAAGCACCTCTACGCCTAAGTGGGTGATCTATCTTGTAATAGAACAAGAACCACTGTCGTCTTTTCATCAAGTTTGTTTTTATTTAATCGGTAATTAAACCAGATTTCACTCGTCTTTTAGCTGAAGAGGCTAACTTTGAGTTGCTTCCCTCCCCCCACAGCATCCGGCAGTATGAGCTGAAGGAACACACAGATATCAACATGAACAAAGTGTACACAGGAGAGATTGGCCGTCTGAAGAGTTTCGAGGTCCAAAAGCCGTAAGTACTGCAGCACAGCCAGAGTTCATGACCACAAGTCATTCATCAGTCGAGAGCCGTCTGCTCAGTCATTGCTCACATTTCACCCACATTCATAACCAGTGGCAAGGTTAACTTAAGTCACTTTCAGAGGAAAAACCAGAGGCTTTCTGCCCCCTAGTGGACATGAGGAACATATACCTGCGAGCTTTTGTAACACACTGATAGCTCAATATTACTCACTATATAGATCAAAGAAGCAAAGGACTCATCAGTGGTAACTACCAGCTTTTTTACCAAAATGTTTTAACACCCTCCTTCCTCTCCTTTATTTCTTCCAGACCTTTTGATTCGAAAAACCCCTTCCTCGCTCAAGTCACTGTCAACCGCAAACTCAACAAAGCCGGTGACAGACATCTTATGCACCTTGAGCTAGACATAACCGGCTCCAAGATCAGGTGAGACTGGAGAAATGCGTTTTCACTGTCCCTCACGCAATGCCAGACTTCCATAAATGCAGCTCAAAGTCTAAACGAGGCGCAATCTGTGTAATTTCAGGTATGAGTCAGGCGACCACGTCGCTGTTTTTCCCACTAACGATTCCGGGTTGGTGAATAAGCTGGGACAAATCCTTGGAGTGGACCTTGATGTTGTTATCTCTCTCAACAACCTTGATGGTACGTCATTGTAAGCATGCAGCACCTTGACTTCACTATCTCGAACCCTCTTGTGGAAACCTCCCATCGTATCTACACACAGTATCAGCTTACTTTAGCATATAAATCTGCTGTTGTTATACAACTGCAGTTACACAGTATTGTGATGTATGTTGTTAAATTGTTGTATGTCACGTGTTTCCTGCAGTTATGAAGGTCATCAAGTAAAGCTGTAATTCGATAATAGACAGTCAATAATGATGATAACTTCCTGATTGACCAGGAGCGATCCACTGAGATTATCCCTCTGTCATTTTTTTGTGGGATCATCTAATGTGACTCATAGAAAAGAAGACATTTGTTGTACGTGTTTATCAGAGCTTTAGATCAATTTTAGTGCTGTTTTTCCGTTGTTGTTTCTTTTCCGTTCGTGCTTTTCAGCATACCAAAATAGCATTTCTGTCATTTTTGTCTTTGTTTTTCAGAGGAGTCCAACAAAAAGCATCCTTTCCCCTGCCCCACCACCTACCGCACAGCCCTCACTCACTACCTTGACATCACACATCCTCCTCGCACCAACGTGCTCTATGAGCTGGCACAGTATGCATCCGACCCCAAAGAACAGGAGATGATGCGCAAGATGGCTTCCTCGTCACCCGAAGGCAAGGTTAGTAGTGAAGCTTGGAAGCAGTTATTCATATGAGCTGAAATTCATCTGTTAGATTTGTTTAATGAGACAGCTAACATACTGCTAAAGTGGGCCTCCACACATGCAGAGTAGAAGCTTTATTTTATTTTTCGGTTTGGTTGTCATTGTGTCTTCCAGGCCCTCTACCAGAGCTGGGTGTTGGATTCTTGTCGAAACATCCTCGCCATCCTGGAAGATTTGTCGTCCTTGAGACCGCCCATCGACCACCTTTGTGAGCTGATCCCTCGCCTTCAGGCTCGCTACTATTCCATCGCTTCTTCCTCTAAGGTGATTTACTGTTTCAAACCAGCTTTAGTGTCATCTGTTTCTTTTTTGCAAAGATTCTCAACCTGAAAACTAAAGCGGAAGGCGATTGGTAACACTCCCCTGCTCTCTAGGTTCACCCGAACAGCATCCACATCTGCGCCGTAGTGGTGGAGTATGAGACAAAGACCGGCCGCATCAACAAGGGGGTTGCCACCAACTGGCTGAAAAACAAAGTGGTTACAGACAACGGACACAAGTCCACTGTTCCCATGTACATCCGCAAGTCCCAGTTCCGTCTGCCCTTCAAAGCCACCAACCCGGTGATTATGATCGGCCCAGGGACAGGAATCGCTCCTTTCATGGGCTTCATCCAAGAGAGGGGGTGGTTCAAACAGCAAGGTATATACAGACACTCAGTGACACATTGTTTTTTTTCACCACCTGCCTGTCTTAATAACATCTGTAAGACCAGGCAGATGAACGAAAAGACCCTCAGATGTATTTGGTGCTCTTCTCACCTGAAAAGGGGTAATGTTTTACTCACAGGGCAGAAGTGACAAATTACTCTGCTGAAGGAAAAACTTCAGTTTACTTTATGAAATTTTATTCATGTAAAAGTAAAACTAACAGTCTTTGAACCTACTCAAGTAAAGATAAAAATGTACTTTACATGAAATATACTTAAAGTGCTGAACACAGTTTTTTTGACGGTGAGGTGATGATTTTTGTGGGGACTTCACCAGGAAGGCAAGTGAACATGGCTAAAAATGATCATGATGATCAAGCTTTGATTTACCATGAGCTGAATGACTTTGGAACCTTTATAGACACTTAACTTGACCTACCAAAGTAGAACATTTCTGTGTCTTCTTTTTTTGAGGGGGGATTTGCACTTAGCAGATGGTCCCCACACACTCACGTCACAGTTTGTGTTTGCAAAACCCTTCGTACTGATGAACGTCAGTCAGGGTGTGGGTATATTCCCAACTAACTGTGAACATGTTTCCATCTTTAATTGGGGTTCAAACTGTAGCTTGTGTGTTCCCCTCCTCTTCTTTGACTGTCAAGTGTTGTATACACATGCCCATCAGCAGGAAGTCGTATGGTTGATAGAAATCTTTCATCAACCATATCTTGGAACTTGCAGATTAAATCATTTTTCCTTTTATGTAACGTTTATGTGAACTTTGCTGTTTTGACTGTTTTGAAAAAAAATTTGAATCAAGTTTAAGCAACTTAATTCAGCATTCTTAACACAGACGTGGACTTGTAAGAGCATGTTTAATGCTTTTGTAACTAGGTCAGACAATTTCTTAATCAGTACAAATTACACTGGAATACATACAAACCTGTATCAACACCAAAAACAGTCTTGTTAAGTTTTGCTTCTCTTTATAGGAAAGGAGGTTGGAGAGACTGTGATGTATTTCGGCTGCAGATACAAGAACGAGGATTACATCTATCAGGAGGAGCTGGAAGAGGCAGAGAAGGAAGCGGTCCTAACAGAGCTTCACGTGGCCTTCTCCAGAGACCAGGGGCAGAAGGTACAGCTGTCTCATCTCACTGACGTTATTGTGTCTGAATGCTGAAGAAGCTGCTGATCAGCTGTGACTGAAACTTCAGCTCCTAGTTTTCTATTATTAGATATTTTTTAGCTTGTTACATGTTCCAGGATATTCTGGTGATGACAAATTTTAATAGTAGTAATTGGTTGATGCGATTAACATGTCTTCTGCTAATAATTTTTATTTATTTTTTCTTTTTTTAGAAGAGGATGTTCATGTGGACATATTTTTGTCTCTTTTCTTAAAGGTGTATGTGCAGCACCTCTTAAAGAAGAACAAGGAGAACATCTGGAAGCTGGTTCATACAGAGAATGCTCATATCTACGTCTGCGGGTATTACAACTAATCCACTACCAAACAAATCATACACGTACAGTTTGGTTTATTGGAGAGTATTCCTCCGCTTCAATGTTTTGTGCTGTGAAAATGCAGGAACTTTTAGTTGGTGATTGTTGTCCAAACAATGTGATATTTTAACCTTTTACATAAAGGAGTGAGGGAATGAACAGCTAACTAGAACTGATTTACACTCCTGGTTTTAAGAAATCAAAAGTAAAAAATCTCAGCAGATAGTAGTAGTAGTAGTAGTAGTAGTAGTAGTAGTAGTAGTCGTTTATTATGTCATGACAACTCAATCAATAATCATGTGTTGAATATTGACTGAAAAGGCATAGGCAGAAGCAGACTGCTTATAAAAGCCTATCCTGTATTGTCAACTTTTTAGGCTACTGACCTCCAGAAAAGCAAAGAAACCACAACAACAGATAATTAATCGCACTTACAAGCTTCAAAAATAGCTTTACAAACCATTTTCTTAAAACCAAAAAAGAATGACATGTTTTTAGATTGAATAAGGCTGAAAAATATACAATCACAGAAGACCAGACACTGAAGTATTTTCTTTCTTGATTTAGAGATGCAAGGAACATGGCAAAGGACGTGCAGACGGCCTTCTACGAGATAGCGGAGGAGCTGGGAGGTATGACCCGCACACAGGCTACAGACTACATCAAGAAACTGATGACCAAGGGACGCTACTCGCAAGATGTCTGGAGTTAGAGCGCCACAGACTCTGCCTCAGTCTCACTATTCGTGTGGTGGTTTTAAATTTTCTATTTTTTACTGTATGTCTTGTATTATCAGGACTGAACATTATAAAAAATACACACTTGTTCATCAACCTGGTTCATGAGAGCTTCAGGTAGCAGAAGATGATGAGGAAAACCCTACCTCTGCCGGTTGTGTTCAATAAACCCATTCAGTCATTTCATCCACATCACCTGTGTACACTACATTAGGTATCAAGACCACCAGCCTGTGTCTGCTGGGGTCCAAACAACCGTGACCCTGTCTGGTTTCATTCAGAGTCTCTGAAATACTCTACATGAATGAAGTGCTGTTATTGGGTGTGTGACTGCAACTCTGGGAACTTGCAGATCAGATGTAGAAACCTGCTTGTCTTGAGATTCCTCTATCAAATTTGAAATGGCCTCAGCCTCTGGGTGTAAATAATATAATTCCAATGTGTGAATGAAGATTTAAGATGAAATGTACAAATCTTGTTCCGTTTGATTAACAGGTTGTAGACCTAAAAACAAGCAGATGATATAATGTTGTTTCAGTGACTATAAGAAGTGTGGAGGTCTCCAGTCACAGTATGAACACAGAAAGGTGCTGCTTGAATTTTCTCTTAGATAAAATCTATACCTGCTTTTGAAGTACTCAGAATGCTTTTACGTTTAAGAAACATAAAAATATCCTGGGACGAGTGTGTGGTGAGTCTGCCATCATACTGTAGGTACTATCACGTTGAGTTTTGACAAGGGATTTTGTCTCTTATGCATAAGATGTTGTTTTTCTTGAACAGCAACCTTTTGAGAGGAATAGAAAATTATGCAAAGGAGAAGTATATTCTTGGAAAAATAATTATGTGCTCTTCTGTGTTCGGTTTCCCCCAAAAGCCTGCCATTAAACACAATGGGTCTGTAAACTGTGATATTTGTAAAATGTTTGGATTGTTTGCCTTGAAACCAGATTTGGAGATTATCTTTTTTATGCATCTGACAGCAGTGGATGATGAGGTGGGTTTGTCATGTAGCAGGAATACTCTAGACATTAGACATCCGCCCCTGTTTAAAAGGTATCTGTATGTCTATCTAATTTTATTGTCAAATCAAGTATGCATCATTACCTGGAGAGGATGACCACTGTATCATATGGCAGTACTTTAGAGTGGAAATGAAAGGTCAGAGGATGTCAGGAGATGAGTCAAAGTGCAGTCTGTGCCTTTTTAACACTGCCTTATGTTTTAAGTTAGCATTTAAACCCTGATGCTTCATTACCTTTTAACAGTTTACCTTTTCTTATGCTTTCATTTTAATAGAAAGTCACTTTACATAGTACTGTCATTTTTGTATTCATTCCACTTTATTATGTAATGATTCAATTTTATCAAGGCATGCATTTTTAATGAATAAAATTGAAACAATCAAAGTTTGTTGACTTTTGTGATCAATTTTATTCTTAATTATATCAGCTGGAAAAGTCATGGTGCAATTTTGTAGACAGGTTTCGGTGTAGAATCAGTTTAACTTGTGATATTATGATGGTATTATGTACAGTTATCTTTATTTGGACTGAATGTGATTTAGTTCATCTGTCATCAGACCGGAGCTCTCTGCTTCATCACTGTTATTCACAAGCTTCTCTTGTTAGATAAAAATCACGTGGCAGCCATGTGTGTTCCTATTTAAATTTAACTTGCCACAGCTCCTATCACGATGACTTAAAATAACCTTTAGCAGTGGCAGCCTGTTCCAAAAAAGAGGAGTATTGACACTGGCAGATATTAGCTAAATAAATCTCTTAACTGGTTAAAAACAGGCAGAAACTGAAACTTATGTCTTTAGCACTAGCAACATGACCAGTAATCCCTCTGTTGTAACTTTAATATCAAATCTTCTGTGTAGGGAAAGGTGTCTGATCATGATTGACATTAGGTTTAACTAAGAGACGTTTTTTTCAAACATTTTCCACTGTAAGTACTCTTGGTGGCTGATATAACTTACTGTTTGAGGAAAACAGGATGAGATTTTTGTCTGAAAACACCCCTTTCACATGCACAGATCAATTCAAATCAAGTCAATAAACCAAAAGTTCTTTACAGCAGCTCCAATCTACAAAAGGCTCTACATACCTGTCATATTTTGGTTTAAAAATAAGGGAAATTTGGACTGTTCTGTATTATAAAAGTAAAGAGAACTCTCTTCGGTCAGCCTACAGGAAATAACGGGCAACGTAGCAGCCGTCACAGTAATTGAAGTAGAAATTAAAATCTGATATTGCCCAGATCTACAATCTGATTTCCAAAAAGTTTGGACACTGTTGTTTCAACATATTTTGGTGATTTGAAAATCATTTTTACCCTTAATTTAATTAAAGATAGAAATAAAAAAATAACTTAATAATAATAATAATGATGATGATGATGATGATGATGATAATAATGATGAAAAAAGAGCAAATTTCCAATTTATTAGTTATATTAGTCATAAAAATAGTTACCTGGTTACCCTTAATTTGATTAAAGATAGAGCATAATAATAATAATAATCATAATAATAAAAATAATGATGAAAAAGAGCTAATTTTCAGTTTATCAGTTATAGAAAAAGAAAAAGGGCATTGAATAAGTGATACTTGCGATGTTACGTGCAGTTTTCAATGTTCCGACAAACATCTTAAAAATGTAAACACATAAATAATATATCAGCCAACAGACGAGTGGTGTCAGGAAACTACCAACGACGAAAGTCAAAAGTGAAATAAAAGATGTTTTTAAAAAATCGTTTTCCAATAATAGGTGGCGCTATAATAAGGCGCCTCTTGATGTTTGCAGCTCGTCGAAGGGAAAGAAGAAGAAGCAGCATAAACGCAGCGCCGCAGTGTGACCTGAGCGTGACTGACTGTGGAGTGTGGCGATGCGTACATGCTAACAAGTGTTTTTATCAGCTAATTTGGAGAAACAGACTTAATTTTTTAACTGAATACACATAAATTATCAAGATGGCCACCGGTAAGTGAAAACAGCCTTCTTTAAATTCCTAAATCTCGTTCGTTGTTATATTTGCTGATAGTGAAAAATGGGTCAGTAGCATTTTAGCCGACCACCGCGAGGCCTGACGCAGGGCTCTGTGTATTTCCTGGAATTAATTTTCAAATGATTATCAGTTCTAGCTCCTTGTGATTGCATAAACATATTTCAGTGCAATCTGTGCAAACCAGTTTGATTTTCACAACGTTCGCTAACAACAACTGACATCGGTTTGTAGTTTAATAGAATTATTTGTGAATTGGCAGGCCTTTTGTTGTAGCGAGCAAAGCTAGCATAGGTGTCGGCCAGCGGAGACGAATGCGTCTTTGTCTGCACTGCCCTTGTTTTCATGCTCAACCACAAACATTGTCCCGTCGGAGTGTGTCAAGTTTTAATGTAGGATGGGTTTGTCTTTAAGCACGCTTAAAAATACAGTGAAGCATGTTCCGCTTTGAATAGCTTGTTCCTAATCCAAGATTTAGCCCCGTCCTGCCTGATTGACCGCCATTTTCACAGAATTGGCGTGGTGGCAGCGGCCTGTTTGCGAAAAGCTGCCCCACTTCATTAACCCAGTTTTACCCTCAAGCTAGGAAAGCAGCATTCACATCTGAATAAAATCAGGAGCATTCAAAAATACTAAAAATATGTATTTGTGTGAAACTCATGAGACTTTCTTTCACTTTCAGATTCAGGCTTCGGAGGCTCTCAAGGGTAAGAAACAAAATTCAGACTTATTTGTAATGATTGACAGTTTTGCTGGTGGTTTTTCGTCATTTTAGTTAAACTGTCTCACTCTAAGTATGTGAAATTGCACCGGACGCTTCAGCCTAACACCTGATCTTTGTTTTCTTTTACTCGTGTCTGTAGTTATGGATCATATGGCGGTCAGCAGAGTGGACAGGTGAGACTCCTATTAGCTTCAAGAGCCTGTTTGCTTAGAGTTTACATCCATATTCGGTTTTTCCTCTTTTTGATTACAACCAGACTAACTGGGTCACTTCTGGTTTACAGAGTTATGGACAAGGAAACGGAGGTAGCTCTTATGGAAGTGGTTCTTATGGAGGACAGGGTTATAGTGGATATGGACAACAGGGCCCACCACAAGGTACAGTAAAAGTATTTTTAAAATGTAATATTTCCATTTTTATTAGAACTTGATTAGCCTATATACCTGTGTTTTGATAGAAGTCATAATCTTTTATTGTGCTCTGTATAATTTTAGACAGTTATGGTCAGTCTCAGCAGCAGAGCTATGATAGCTACAGCGGACAAGACTCTTCTGGGTAAGTTGTCAGCATCACTTTTGCACGTTTGTGCTATGCTTTGTTTGTGTAGTGGAACTATGCCCATTTAATCTGTAACAAAATAATGAAAATTCATAGCTTGAAATACTCAAACAGTTACATGTGCTAGCTTTCAATTCCAGCCTGTCTTCACAAAGAAGTGCAGGGTGTGCTTGGCGGCAGTGCAACAGCTCAAATTTTTATTTTGGCGTGCGTGTGATAAGAGCTTTCATACAACACACAGCCCTTGAAGTTATAGGAGGCTACCCTGTTTTTACTGTGAGTGGTTCTGAGCCGGAACAGAGAGTTTATTAACCTTTTTATCAACCAAACAAAAACATCTGGATCTATATTAAACATGGTATCCCTTCGTTATGCTTTGGACGGTGTACATTTTTCACACGAGGCTTAATTCTAAATGTCTTTTAGGGACGGTTGTGAAATGAGTGACTCCCTGGCAAAGCCCCTCATTCAAGAATCTGCTAAACTTGATCAAAAATGTCCTCAATCAAACAATAGCTGAACCGTGCTTCAAAAGTATCGGGTTACAAGCCATTTTTCTTCTTGTGTGATCTCCCCGCATTCTCAGCCGACTCTTTCTATCCCTTCTGCATATACATATATTTCTTTTCCCTTGATGTCTCTGTGTCCAATTTCTGTGAAAAAGGTTGGATTCAATGAGACAAGCTTACAAAAGCCTCTCCTCAAACCTAAAAGAATCCTCAGGGGAAAAACGTGTTGAAAATCAAACATTTAATGGCAGATATTTTTCCAGTGAAGTTATTTTCCTCTTCTTCCTCTTTTTTTGTTCCCCTTCCTCTCTCTCTCTCTCTCTCTCTCTCTCTCTCTTCCCCACACATTTGCTCTTAAATCTTAAAAAAAAAAAGGGAAACATCTTAAGGGTGACTGACATGTATTTTATGTACATGTATCAATATTATAATCCGCAGATCACCGACCCCTTCACGGTCTTCCTCCAATTGATCTTTGTATTATTCTGACGAAAGTTTATGACCACGTTTTAAAGCTGAAAAAAGAGTCATGGTCTGATGTGAAACTAACCGTAATCTCTCCTTTTAAAGGTATGGTGACAAGTCCTCTTATGGCCAACAAGCTTCCTATGGCGGACAGGGACATGGAGGTGGTGGAGGAGGAGGCGGCGGCGGAGACAGTTATGGACAGGGCAGCGGCGGAGGTGGATATGGAAGATGGAGTGATGGTACAAATGCCTCGATTGTTTCTTGAGAAAGAGACATTGGCAGCAACAACTTCTATCACTCATTAAGTATTTTTCACTAGGTGAAAGTGGTGGTCAGGGTGGGAGATATGGACGTGACCAAGGAGACCGTTCTGAGGGAGGAGGGGGCTACAGAGGCCGTGGTCGTGGTGGCGGTGGCTATGACCGTGGCGGTTTTGATCGCAGTGGAGGATATGACCGCGGTGGATACGACCGTGGTGGAAGAGGAGGACCTCCTGGTATGGGGTAAGTTGCGTAGTGCCACTGCCCCCAAGGTACCTTGATACAATGTGAATTATAATACATGATCAACACATCGTCACTCATCAACTATAAACCATCTACGTAGATGATTCTTGCCACTCATTTTCTTTGTGCTTCAGATACACACACTGTGGTACTGTTTAGTTAAACTGGACTCATCAAAGATGCTGTGGATCACACATGAAATATTTGCCAACCCTCTGCATCGCACTCCAGGTGTCCCACCTGTGGCAGACTCGTTTTTTTCTAAATATTTTTGTTTTCACCAGAACCTGAAGTTTTTCTAAAAGTAGCTTTATGCTGGTGTGTGATTACCAGAGCTAACAAGATCTACCGTAACAATGGCTGGTTCTCTTGGTATAAGAGATGAGATTTCTATCTCTGGATCGACTTGTCACTAACGGGGTCTTAAAAGCGAAGCAATGGAGACTGAACATTCCTGCCCCCAGTATGAGCTTAAACGACATGGGAGAGTAGATGGTGCGGTGACAGAATAGTTGACTTTTTTCTGTCAAACTGGGAAACTACAGTTATTTTAAAGTGAGCTCTACCAAAACCCTCCCACTTCTCCATCTTAGCCATGTTTGTTGTTGTAAATGTTCCCTTTCGATCCCTTTTTTCCCCCTGGATCTTAAAAGACTTCATTATAGAAAAAAAAAAGTAGAACAGAAACATATTTTCAGGTAAATATTTATCCAAGAAATATTTAATTTTTTTTAACCCCTACAACAAAGATGAGCTGTCAATTTGGTCTTGCTGCAACAAAGTGAGTTTTTTTTTTTTGCTCTTTTTTTAATAGAAAAAAACAAACTACAGCGGGCAGAAGCTTTGTTTTAGTTTCTTAGGGACTTCATAGTCGTCTTACTCTGTGAACCCCACTGAAACAGTGCCTCTACACTCGGATCCACATCTTTCAGCTACTTCACATTCGACAGGTTTCATTCAAGTGTTGTTTGTTTGACAATGGCGAACATGTGTGTTGTGTTAACATGGATCTACATTTTATACTACAGGTGTTCAGAGTGATTGAACTAAAACTTGGACCTCAGTTAAAGGATCTCATAAACGCACTCAGTGGAAGATTGCTTTATCAGTTGCTACACCCCTTTGCACCAATCTGGCTTCTCAAATATATATATATATATATATTTTTTAAAAAGACGACAAACCAAAACAAATTCAGCTGTTTTTCCAGCTCTTGGTATGAAATTTGGCCAATCCAATCTGGTTTAAAAACGGCACTAAATTCTTTGTAATGATGATCCAGTGACGTCTCTTCACTCGTCTGCCTGATTGTTCAGTCAGCGCTTCCTAGTCGTTTGTTCATTGATCTCTAATGTCAAAGACTAATGCATTCCTCGTGTGAGACGTTTCCACCATAGTCTCACACCCTGGCAGGAGTGCATACTGATGGGATGTAGGGGAGCTTTGAGCTCTCAGTTGGGACAAAGGAAAAGCCATCATATCTCCAATTTTTCCTCTGCAGAGGTGGTGACCGTGGTGGCTACAAAAATTACGGTGGTAAGTGACGAGCATCAGAACTGTGTCGGTGGGGGAGGAAAGAAGTTGAGTTAGCAGAAAAGAAAAGATGGGTTAAAAAGAGAGGAAAAAAAAAAAAGTCAGTGAATGCCACCATTTTCATGTCCAGATCCCAAGGGGACTCCACCTATTATTCTTAGTAGGATTTCTGGTAAATGACTTGAGATTTGGTAAAGAACATGGAGCCTGAGATGTTAAATAATGGTACTGTTGCATGAAGACGAGGGATGATTGTAAATAACAAAGGTGCTCCCAGGACGAAGAAGGAAAAACTCTTAAAACTGGAGACATTTTGGTGGTTTTCATTTCTGGTGTAAGTTCAAGAAAACAAAGCAGAACAGTTCTGTTCTTGTTGCAAGGTGTTGGTATGTGCTGCAGCGGTATGAAAACACCCACCAGAGAGCTGTAAACATGGACATTGTTAAAATTTCTTGATCATTATGCATTGATAGTAATGGAGTAAAGGAATAATATGTGTGCATCAGCGTGGTCAGTTGATTCCTTGCTCAAGTGTTGTCTTCCATCCTCTCCTCTGTTTTACAGGATCTCGAGACTACGGCTCAAGGGATGAACCAGGTAAGACCATCCTCAATTATTGCATTTAGCCTCCTTGACATGCCCTTATAGAGATAAAGTGTGTCTGACGTCATCTTTGCTTTGTTCTCCACAGCTGGTGAGCAGGACAACTCCGACAACAACACCATTTTTGTCCAAGGACTTGGAGAAGAAGCAACAGTCCAGGAAGTTGGTGACTTCTTCAAGCAGATTGGTATTATTAAGGTAATGAGTTGATCTTTACACACACCAACTTCCTTCTGGTCATTCGAATGACATCCTATGTGTGTAAACCGTAGACTGTACATATAATGGACAGCGTCTGCCTCCTCGATGGGTGAAGGCACTCCGAGAACAGCACACTCAGGCGACGGGCTGCAGTATAGGTCATAAATCGCGCCTCCTACAGCAAAGCTTATGGAGCTGTGGACAAACTTTAGACATTTATTAAACGGAACATCATTTTTTTTCCCCTGTTTGCGATGTTGACATGTAGTTATTGTAAGACTGCTCAAGTCCTCTTTTTCTGTACAGCTCCGTTTTTAAAACTTAGTAGGGGGTTCATGTTTTTCTATGATTGACACTTGATACAGCCTATGGGCATAAAAAGATAGCTAAGCTCACCCGGGGGATATGCTGTTTGAGCCGAGCGTCATTTTTGCGACTCTCCCGCCGAGTGCGTACAACACTACTGTGCAAGTGGTGGTTTCAGGAAATGGAGAAAAAATGCAGAATTACAGAGAGCTTTTCAGCCTCTGGCGGAAGGCGGAACCAAGTTGTCCATAGTATATACAGTCTATGGTGTAAACAATGAATACACTCTTTAAGTGTCTTAGGTTCATGGTCATGCTTTCACACAACCATTGAAAATCATGTATTTTGTGCTTCCAGGTGAACAAGAAAACCGGCCAGCCAATGATCAACATTTACTCTGACAAGGTCACAGGTCGTCCAAAGGGAGAAGCCACAGTATCATTTGATGACCCTCCCTCAGCAAAAGCTGCGATTGATTGGTTTGACGGTAAGAACTCGGAAATCTCTTCAAAGTTTCTCCTCATATGCACTCTACCATTAATCACTCTTGTTATACTTACTGTACATAGCCTTTTATACTTTTATACCTTATATATGTCCTGTATGCTCTTATTATTTTCTATTCTAGTATTTTATATATTATTCTCTGCTTTAATGTTGCACCATCAAGCCGTAAAAAATTCCTAGTCAGTGAATCCTGTTCATTGACAATGGCAAAAAAAAAACCTTCTGGTTCCGATTCTGATTGTAACGGAGATGCTGTTTGAATTTCAGGTAAAGAATTCCACGGCAAACCAATCAAAGTCTCGTTCGCCACCCGCAGAGCAGAATTTACACAGAGAGGTGGTGGTGGAAGAGGAGGGCGAGGAGGTGGGTATCATGTGATGTCTTGAACTAAAGTAGCAGCTGTCATAAATGTCGGGTTTTGAAGTTGAACCAAGTAAATGTTCCTGTTCTGATATATTCCCTCATTCTTGACTGTCAGGTTTCAGAGGTCGTGGTGGTGGAGGACCTAACTTTGACATTAAAGGAGGAGACTGGCCTTGTCCCAATAGGTTTGTGTTGATCATTCAATAAGAGATGAACAAATGACAAATGGCTTACTGCCTTTGATTGGAGCTGGTTTTAAATTATTAACATTTGTTTTTCCGTCCTCAGCTCTTGTGGTAACATGAATTTTGCTCGGCGGCAAGAGTGCAACAAATGTGGGGCACCCAAGCCAGGAGATGCAGGATTTGGAGGTGGTAAGTCGCTTTTAGTGTTACAATGATACTGGAAGAAGTTAAAGTGTTTCAATACAGTCGTATAAATTACTGATAAAATACTGGATCTCACGTAAAGAAGTAAAACAATTTTACAAACACGACATATGTTTACACGAACAATTTTCAGATCGTGGAGGCAGGGGCGGTTACGGCGGTGACAGAGGTGGTGGTGGCGGTGGTTTCAGAGGACGTGGAGGTTTCCGTGGAGGAGATCGTGGCGGTTACGGTGGCGGAGATCGTGGAGGATATGGAGGGGGCTTCAAAATGGGAGGACGGTCAGTGAAGCCTTTTGGTTGTTGCCTTTCATACTTGAGCTGTTTGGTTTTATGCTGTTGAAATGTGAAATTACCAGAAGAGGGTGCTGCTTCGATAAAATCAGATATTTAAAGCCCTATTTGCAGAGAAGCCATATTGTAATCATCGGGGCTCTTTATTATTATTTAATAATAGTAGTAATAATAATAATAATAATAATAATAATAATAATAATAATAATAATAATAATAATAATAATAGTAGTAATAATAATATTATTATTATTCTTTTATTCTTTTTTTTTTTTTTGCGTCTTAAAATGCAAATTTGACCCCCTGAACGGCCTCGAAAACTCAAAAATTTGTAGGTAGGTTGGGCCCGGCTAAAATCGCAATGTTTTAAAGTAACCCAAAAAGTTGAGAAAAATGGCTCGCTAGCGCCCCCTACAGAGTGCCACAAACGTCAACTTTGTCCCATCTGCCCAAAATTTTACAGGTGTGTGTATCTTAATGAGATCTTTGATTTTGCACACTTAGACTTTTTTCTCAGATGCACGGTTAAAGAGTTATTTTGCTGTGTTTCCTTTTTGGCCATTTGCGTATCTCACGCCAAACACATCTTCGTTTTGTTTTGTACTCATATTTTTATCAATCTTCAGAATTTTCATAGAATTTGAAAAACTTACCATGGTTTACAGGAAGTTAATTTCTTTTTTACTGTACGAGGAGAATTTGTTGTTTTACACTGTTAAAGCTAAATCTATTTTTTTTTTGTTAAATAATTGTTGGTCCAAATACTCCTCAAATGACTATCTTTAAAAAGCATTTGTAACCCTCTCTCCTGTTATCCTTGGGAGGGTCTTTGATATTTGTAGGTCTGTTTATTGCAATGCTCGAGGGGGTTTGCTGTGATAAAAGCAGAGTCCCTTTTATTGAGGGGACATTTTTTGATTTACAGATCAAAAGAGGGTGGAAGGAGAAGTGAATAAAAAGCGGACTGTATATTCTATCCTCGTCTTTGTCGTTCAGATGATGAAGGTTAATTTGAAGGCAAACTGAATGCTGTCCTGGTAACTGATGTGTTTGTCCTTCCTCTGCAGAGGTGACCGTCGAGACGACAGGAGAGACCGGCCATACTAAGTGTTGAGCACATCGAAATCTCTACAGCCCTGCAGTTCACCACGGGGGGGAGGGGGGGTAATGGTCTTTTGGGGAGGGGGCTCGGCCAGGCTTTCTGATACGTCTACCTTTTTGTAGCCAATCTGTTCCAACCATCAACGCTCACCTGTGAGCTGGGGAGGGATTTATTTTGAGCTACTGTGAAAGGACTCTGGAGCTGAGTGGCACTGTTGGCATGTGGTCAAATGTTTGTTTGTTTTTTTTCTGCTTTTTGTTTTATTTCTTTGTACATCTTTTTAATTTTCTCTCAGATTCTAGCTGCGGATGTTTTGTGAGTTAGACTTGTACCATTGTTTTGTATCAACAGAATAAAATGTTTTACTTGGGTTTCTTTTTCCCACAATGATATTAAAAGCAGTGATCTTTTCCTTTGGGGTTTTTCATACGGTATCCACCCAGACATTAACATCGCAATCTTGGATGCACATCAGTATGTAGAGTGTGGAGGTATTGAGCCCTGAGCTACAGCCTCAGAGAGGGGCGGTGCCGGCCCTCCCCCCTGTAACACTCCCGCTGGCTCAGTTGATTCAGTCACTCCTCACCGTAGGGATGGAAATGTTAGACGAGCAGCAGCATGCTCCTAGACGCTTGACAGCTGGGAAGAAGTAAAAATGTTGAAAACATCGGTAGCTGTGGAGAAAGGCGCCGTGCACAGAGCGGTGTGAGTTGATCGCCGGGTCTTCCCACAATGAGCCACAGACCTCCGTACCGGTGTGGAGCAGCGCGCGGCGTGACAGCAGCCTGGATCCCGGCTGTGTGCACCCTGCTGACGGCTCTGACTGCTGGAGGCTCCCCGCTGGTCCCGGACCCCGAGGTAACCCTTGAGATTAGCGATTTATCGAAGGTGTTAGGAGAGGGAAGCCGCTGAAGGAATAAATGTTGGACGTTTTAGCGGAGAGAAACTGACGGGAAGCCTAAACCGAGACTGTACCAAAAAAGTTGACCAGAAAAAAAAAACCTCAGCTCAATGTGTTCTTGTTATTTTCATGACTTGAAGCTTAAGTCCATACATGAGGTGTTTGCAATTCACTATTTGGTGTTAAGCAACTGGAGCCAAAATGATCTTTTCTGAGAGAGTTGGGGATAATTTATACTTTCAGTTGACCATCAACATGTAGGGGAGACTGGGGTAAGTTGAGCCACCCCCTGTTGCTTGAAAATGGTAAAAGAAATTGATCATGTGACCAAATATTTATGAGATGGGCATCAATTCATGGAGTCTATGAAGGTTAGAAGTAAATGGGTGAAGGGGTTAGACATTTATTTCCCAACAAACAGTTTTTCAAACTATGATTGCCTTGATATTGTGATCCAAAAGTGATGAAAAATTGCTCATCTTACCCCACTCTCCCCTAAGCCACATCTGTGTGGGAAACTGTGTTTTTTAGTACATGCCAGTGAGAAATGGGAAGCTGCGTATTTTCCTGCCCTGAAAAATATAATCCACAAAGTGAGAAAAATGCAACTTGGCTCTTTGACCACAGATTGGGGTTAAACCTCTGATGCCCTTAAACCAGAAGAAAAAGACAAATCAGATGAGGACGTTTCCCCCTTTAAAACATTGTTACTGAATGTGTTTAGGAATTAGATAAGCCTAGATGAGCAATTTCTCCTGAGTTTGATTGACAAGTTACTTGAATATTAATAACAGCTTCCATAAACAGCTTCAGCTGCTTGTTGCTCTCAAAAGGAATCTCGGCTATTATTTCTTGGGGTAATTTGAGATGGTATGATTTATTTGCAGTAGTGTGGTTTCTAAATGCATTAGTTTAATTTGACAGCTGTCTTTGTTGGCTGTCCACATTTTCCTCACCAAACTACTGAGACCATCCAGTGTCTGTTTCTACAGTCCTACTCCAAAAGCGAAGCCCTGTGGCATGTTTCTGTGTCTCTGATGGGACAAAGGGACATTTTCTTCCTCGCTCTTCTTTGCAGAGGCGCATCTGTCATCTCCTTGATTTTGATTTCCATCCCACCTTCACCACACGTGTAATCAAAGATGTGCCTGCTGTTGTCTGAACATGAAATCTGCCAGAGCGAAGACTGAGAGACTCTAATATAAAACCATCAAAAAGGCCGATCTTGAACCACAATGCAACAACACCTGTTGTCATGCACCCGGTTGGTTCATTTTGACTTTACTGTATTTTATAGGCAGCAAACAGCTTTGCTATTCTCAGCTCGCATGTTTATGTGGAATTCTCAGAAAATAATAACCCTGAATTGTCAGAAACACCCCGGGGTTTCTTCGTCCTATGGGTGGTCCACATCTATACATCTTGATTCACAACCTACAGCAGCCACAGTACTTGTAAAATCATTGTACACTTTTATGTTTCCTTGTTTGCCTCATGGGCAAGTGTACGGGGGTTTACCAGATACTTTACATAAGAGGAGCAAACATACCTCTGTGTTTGTGAAAAACATAAGCTCTTTATCGACAGGAGGTACACACGGATGTAAAAATTATTGATGTGTCAGAATCAACATGTGATAAACTGCTTACAGGTTTTTCTGGAGAAGTATGGCTACCTCCATCAGGATAACCACATCCATGATGCAGCTGAGATGCAGTCAGCTATCAGGTAAGTGTTTCATCTTTAAAACTTTTACTTTTTAATAGAAGAATGTTTCGTTTATACGCAATGATGAGTTTTCAGCCTTCATCACAGGGAAGGGCTCAGTGCGAGACGAACTCCCTGGTGTGATCGTCAGTCCATGGCAGTAAAACACACCCTCACCTCTGCTTAACCTTCCCTGAACCATCAAGGAATTTCAAAAACCTTGCCCTCTGGCCCCGATACTGACTGTACTGTAACACAGACTGAGTGAAGAGCTCTGCTTGGGCTGAGTGTTAGTTTGTGAGAACATGTTCAACAGCAAACCTTATATTTGGCTCTATCTTGTCCTGTTTAATGAAAGTTACAAGACATATAGAAATGACAGAAGTAAAGGTCATATTCAGTGTGAATTCTTTTTACTTTTTTTTTATTACATTTGATTAAACCAATATAGCTTAATGGCACATGAATAATATCACTGACCTGCTCCACCCCTACATTCCTTGTAGATCACTCAGGTCCGCTGACCAGGGCTTGCTGGTTGTCCCTCAAACTCATCTAAAAACAAGAGGTGACCATGCTTTTGAAGTGGTGGCTCCAACACTGTGGAACAATTCACCTGCTAAAATTCATTCAGCTGTTTCCATTGTCACTTTTAAAAAGCTTTTAAAGACTCATTTATTTAAACAGGCCTTTATCTCCCCTTGTTCTAACTAATGCTCTATTTATGCTATTGTTTGTTATTGTTCTTTGATTTTACTTGATGTTTATGATTGTATTTTTAACTTTAAGCACTTTGTGAATCTTTCCTATGAAAGGTGCTATACTAAATAAATTTTACTCACTAACAAAAGTATGTCAAATAAATTACGCTGCATATTTGTTTTTATCAGCATTATGAAAAGGAAAACACACCGTGAACCCGGGGATGCATCTCCACAAACAAATTATCTCTCTCTTTACGTGCAGCGACTTCCAGTGGTTGTCCCGGCTCCCCATCACAGGTGAGCTCGACAGCGCCACCCTGAGGCAGATGGCAGAGCCCCGCTGTGGGGTGTCAGACGAGGTTAGCCAGCAGATCTGGGCCCACAGAGTGAACTCCATCCTCACTGGAAAGGGTTCTGCTGTGAGGCACCGCCGGAGACGCTCCGTCAAAGGTAACGTGTAAGAAAACATGTTTATACCCCAGTGTGTTTGTGAATATCTTCGCTAGAGAACCTTCAGGTTTATGGGAGCATTCGCTGCCTTGGGTGCACAAAGTCTTGTGTCCTCTTGTGGAGTGGTCATTAAATGGCAACAGTAAACTGGGAGGGTCCCACTCTGTAAACTCAAGCACTAAATAGAGCTGAGGGGTGTAATTAAAGCTGGTGGAGTGTCTGATGTTGCGTGCATCTGCCTTGATGATTCCTGCTTTTAGATGCCATTGCACAAGTCTGTTTAGTTTAATGACAACTTTACTGAAATAAAACCTCAACTTAAGTTTAATTCCTGGTAACTTATCTCTGTTGTAGGAGTTTCCCTCACTGTGTTAAGGAGCCGTGAGAATCACTGAGGCCAAAAAGACATCTTCAATAGAAGGATAGAGGTTTAGAAGTATTACAGCGAAATACTCTCAGCCTTGTAGAGTTTTCAGTTATTCCCAAAGCTCTGTGGGACTGAACTATGTCCTTTTGAATAACTGTGGTCCTGAGCAGCACTGTCATTTTTTCCTTTTAAAGATTGTCCTGGTTTCCTGTTTAAAATTCGGCTATTAAGGCTTTCATGATGAGCAGATCACTGCAATTTGAGCTGGCTAAAGACTCCAGGATTTAAAGCATTTAACGGTGGTTACAAGTGCAGCTGAGTTTAGTCAAATTTTATGCAGGCAGCTTGAAGTAATTGAGCAAAATGTCCTTTTCTTCTTGATTAGAGTACTTCACAGAAAACCCATAAGAATTACCTAAAGGTGTAATTTCACCAGTTTCACAAACATGCCATGGGAGAAACTGGAAAAAGTGCTCATCTGGTTTCCTTTCTGACCTCTCAGACCACTAAACTGGGTTTGCACATTTTGACTGTTTTTATTTTTTTATTCCTTGTGTATCATTAGAGGAGATTCTTAAATCTTGAGTGGCTCCTACCTTTTTTTTTATCAGTTTGTTTTCATTGCACCCTTTTTTTCCGGTTTATGTTGACTTATGTTTTCACCGTTTTGTTGTTGCTGTCTGTCTTTGGTCATTTGTCACCCATGTGAATGAGCGTCAGCAGCAGCAGCCGCTCGGTGCCTCCAGCCTCACCTTGTGTGAAGCTTCTGCATTCCTTCGTGTCACTGACAAGGTTGGCTAATGTTCAGGGAATGCAGCGGTGGCTGATGTTTGCTGCTGCCTCTTCATGTCAGTACCTGACATATTCCCTCTGGTAAACACATCCATAACTGACTGACTGACTGGATTACATGGTTTGCCTGGTTGGTTTGTCTTCTTAACGGCCTGATATTGTACTGCTAAATGAGTGGATGTCTTGCTGAGTGACTGACTGTTGAACGGGATTACAGCCTGTTCTTGATGAAAAAAACAACTCTTTGTTATCGTCCTAGTCCCAGACATGACTCATATGACAGGTAGCTGTATCATTACACAGAGAGCAGCAGCATTAATGGGGGATACTTTTACACCCTCACACCAAACTTCTTTAACACCTGGCTTCATATTTCCAGTGATTCGATGTTATAATTTCACTGAGAGTAGGTTGTGTAACCATTGCTTTGCTTTGCCATACAGAACAAGCACATATTTCTCCACCTGTGGCCTGAAGAACACTTTTTAAAGAATTTAGATCTTCATTTTTACCTTAATACTAGCAAAATCTACCTGAATCAGGTGAACTTGAATTACCCAACACTTATTAATGGCAGTTTTGAAGTCTGAAGAGTTGAGACAGTCTTTAGTTTCTGCCATAGAAAGAGATTTAATTCCCCCAGAGAATGACTACAGCTGCATAAAGCAATTAGTTTAGAGTTATGGTTATGGTTGTGACTAAAAGTTTGGCAACAATTGGAAAGATTTACCTGATGTAGTACACCCATTCATGTTGCTCTAAAGATTTATTATGATGACCAGAAAAATACTTGGCTGGATTCATAAATTTTTTTTGGTTTTATTTCACCCAATTCTTTGGTGTGTTTCAAATACCTGTAACACTGCTGTATGGTATGTTTAGTGCTAGGGTTGCAAAATTCTTGGAATTTTCAAAGTTGGAAACTTTCCATAGAAATTAATGGGAATCAACAGGAACAAATCTCAAATTTACCAAATTGAAGGCTGGCCCTTAACAGGGAACTTAAATATAGTTGTTGAAAATATATTGTAGCATAATCTTGGCTAAAACAACCAGATTTAACCCAAGTACACTCCTCAATCACATGCACACAGCACACTGTTTACTACCAGGCTATTGAGGCCCCACCCCCTTTTTTGGAGGGAGGGGGCTCCTTTCATTTAACATTTTAAATAGGACTTTTTTTCATGTGTTTGTGGCTTAAAATAATTGATTGTTCATACAAGAATTAAAACTAAAGTTCTACTCAAGTAAATCTGTTGTAATTTCATGTTTTTTAATTGCATTATTTTGCATGGATGTCTGCTTATGACAAGACAAAAATATTTACATTTTGGTTTGGATATGATATAGTTTGTTTAAATAACCCCCAATTTCCAATCAACTTTCATAAATTCCCAATAATTCCCATAAATTCCCATGGACAGTTTCAGATTTGGAATATTTCCCAAATTCTCCATCTTAATTTAACTTAAGCTAGCATTTCAATTGACAAGCTTGTTTGCTCTTTAAAACTCTTATAGGGAGTTTTTTTTTTTTACAGATATGAAAAAGGCTGAAATTCATATTGAAGCCATTCCATGACATCCATAAGGAAAAAAGACCATCAGCAACAATACTGACGGTTTTATGTGGTCGTTTGTAAGTTGACCCTCGAGCCAAGTTTTCAGAGAGTTGAACTTAACGCTTAACTCTTTAAGCTGTTCATTTATGACAGCTGCCTCTGTCTACTGAGCTGAGCCTGCAGGCTATAGCAACATGCAGATTTGTCATCTTCACCATCAGCTGTAGAGGGATGTGATTCTGTTTGAAGTGAACATGGCTGGTCGTAAGCTTCCCCGTCACTGAAAACAGACTCTAACTTGTGATGGACTCTGGTGGTTCCCACTGATATTTACAGAGCTGACATTCCACCCAACATGTTGGAGATAAGCACCATTAGTGTGTGTGTGTGTGTGTGTGTGTGTGTGTGTGTGTGTGTGTGTGTGTGTGTGTGTGTGTGTGTGTGTGTCTGAGGTATGCTCTCGTGGATTAGTGCTCTACCCAGGAAACTGTGAACCTCTTCAGCACCATTTCATTTATACCAATTTAACACAATTTCAGTGGGACGCAGATGTCACTTATTTTCTCTAACAGAGATAATTGCTGCTCGATTTGTAAATTTTTGTTTAATGACAGACGGTTGTGTGTCATAATATTGTCGAAGTCATTCCCAGCTAGACTAATGGAGGCAGCTGTAGCTCAGTTGGTCGTTTGGAGGTTCAACTGTATGTTCCTCTGCCAACATGCTGTGGTGTCCTCGGGCAAGACGCTTGACCCCACCCAACCCTGTTGACTGCGCTCAGTGGTGTGTGTGAACGGCATCAGTGAAAAACTGATGGCGTTTTACATAGCAGCCTCTACCATCAGTGTGTGAATGTGTTGTGAATGGGTGAATGTGGCATGATGTAGAGGTAAGATTAGATATACCTTTATTAGTCCCAGAAGGGGAAATTCCGAAAGTGCTTTGAGTGGTCAGTAGACTAGCCCTTTAATACCTGAAACCACAAATTATGGCCAAAAAAAAAAAAATTTTTTTTGGAGCTGAAATGTTTACTTCACTTACTACTGAAAACCAAACAAAATCAAAATGTCCTTAAAATTTAACAAATATATTTATCTTGTTTGATACATTAGATCTTTTTGGAAACTGATAAACCATGAGAGGAGTTTTTTTTAACAACTTATTGGACTGTATTCAGATGTATTTTGGTTATTTGTTGATCATATTAATTTGATAGAATTATCATAAAAGTCAGTATTAAAAGTGATATAAAAGGGCTAGAGAAAGCACTCCATAAATTAAGTCAATTTACCATGTAATAAATTCAGGAGGCCAAAACAAAAGGCTAAATTTTTTTAAATAAATGAGCAACTGAACTAACGACTGATTGTTGAAATCCAGAGGAGAAAATGGCCCTATTACAAGACACTGCAGAGGGACATTATGACAGCAGCTAAGCTCCCTCCCCAGAGTGTGACGTTAGAGAAAAATAATCAGTCGATCATTTACTATTGAATTTTGACTGGACAGAACAAGTCATGCAATTGTGTCATTGAGTTTGCCTCACTGCCCTGATGTGTGAACACCAACCTCAGTTAGGTCAGTGTCTACATTTTAGCTCACTAAAAACATAAATATACTTAAAGGTCATTTGCCATGAAAGGCTGAACACACAATATGCTTCCTAGACAATTACAGGAGGGATGGGGCAAATCTATGGGCCTCTATCAACTTATTTTGATTACTAGACCCGTGAAAACATCAGGCAAATATCTTATTTTTTACAGTACAATAGATATGACCAAATACACATAATAAAAATCAATAACATGCTCTTCAGCCTCAGCTGTAGTTCGAAAGCTGGTTGGCCAACACTGAGTTGGAGCGCCATGGGAAAAGAAACAGATCAACACAATAACCCAAGCATGTATTCTGTTCAACTGCCTCCAAGTTCACACACACAGTTTTTCTATCACTCCACAAACAATAACTTGAGCAATCAGCTGATCTTTGTCACTACATAATGTTTGTGATAACCCAGCCTCCCCACAATGCTGCTTTAGTGGGCATCATGCTAATTGCTTCCATAAGGGAAGTTGGGGAATGTCTTGTGTATCTGACTTCCTGGCTTTTCTGCCGTCCTCGGGGACCTCTTACGCTGCGGCAGTCTGGGACGGAGAGTAGGCGCCTGTGCCGTGTGGAGAGTACAAATTTACACGAATCATGTGGCAACAGGCTTTGTGTGTATTCATTTGGGAGTGACAAATGAAGCCGTGTTGGGAAATTCTGGGGGTGTGTTCCTGCTGGCTGTCTGACTGAGAGATAATCACTCACAGAATTATGTTTGAAATCTGTGACCTCTCTAGGACAGTGTAGGTGAAAATGACAGTGCTGTTGCTCCTCAGGTTGAAATCTATCCTCATCTGTTTATTTGGATTCTCAGTGAAGGTACACCAGTGAAATGACCGCTTTTCAATCCTTCACTGTTGAAAAATTCAAGACCCAGTTGCTTCCCCCTCTCACTGTGCTTCCTAAATCCTGAATCCTAAAACCCCAAGGATCAGCTCTTAATCCAGATTTGCGTTTAATTACCACTAAAGCAAAACAACAGTCATCACCCAAACAGAAATATGCTTTTATTTCTGCAAAGTTTGGGTCTTAATGGCTCCATCCAATATTTTCATCTTTCCGCCATGTTTTCTAGCTTTCGTTTCACACATACCTCTCGTTTATCTGTCTAATCTCTCGCTTAACTCTCAGCTGTATTATTTAACCGAGCACAAACAGCATTAAAATAACTCACTAGTCCATGCTCTCTAACACAGACTGCCTCACAGTGTTTTCGAGCATAGGTGTGTGTTGCATGCGCATGTGCAGGACCTCCCACTCACATTTTGCCTCCGTGCTGGGCAAACACTCGTCGACCACATCTTTAAATATTTTGACAACTGTGAGTGTTCTTGAGTTATCTCACCACTCTGGGGAACCGCAAATATGAAAGTATGTGTAAATGTCTGAATCCTGGCCTGTAAGTCATTTTAGGTATATTGCCTAACATGCTGTCTATGTTGTCATGTAAACCTATTTTTCTGTAATATGAGAAACATTTGAAACACTGGAATAAATAGACTTTCTTTTAAACCTGCATAACTACCTGCTTTTTTCTCTCCATTTGGTTTCAAGCATTTTTTTCTGTACTGTAAAATGTACGTTGAGTTTAGAATTATTATTATTTTTTGTTGAATTTACTAACCAACTCTAAAAACTTTTCAAAATATTTCTTTTTCCTTTTCCAAATGTGGTTAGGAGCTCTGTGCGCTTCCAGTGAGTCCAGCTGCCTCTCCCCAAAGGTTCACATTATCTAATGACAGTTTCCTGTCTGCTTGTTGTGAGTGTGCGCTGTCTCCTTAGAAGAGGAGACGGTGTATGTTTGCTTTGTCTCAGAATTAGCACACTCTATAATCCAAGCAATTTGGTCATTAAAGAGCAGCTGATTTTACAACCTTATTCTCCATATCCCTGAACAAATGTGAGATGTTGAAGTCTGCCGCACATGTAATTACATTCATGCCGAGAAACCACAGGCACACGTTGGAGTAAATTGTTTAGTCAAACATGCTGGTGGTGCTTGTTAGTTTATCCAGCTGTAAGCTAACATAGTTTACACCCTATCATTTAGACCATGACTGTCAGATGTGGAGAAGATCTACCTCAAAATGCCACAACTGAACATACAATATCAAAGCTATTACCTATTTACAGTACAGATACACAACATGTAAAGCTTGTCCAGTGGGTCGGCTTTTATAAACAGTTTGTGAAATCTATGAAAAAGTCCTTAAAAGGCCAAAACATAACCAATACAAATACCAGGCATGGATTTAAAGAAGCAGACAGGCGATGATTTTCTGTTGGAAAATTTGTAAAAGTATATCTCTGCTACAATACTACATTCATGCAAAAAATAAACAGATTAATAAATATATGAAAGTAAAAGTTTTAAGCCTTTATTTCTAAAATAAAGAGAAAAAATAATTCTACCGAAATAGATGGGAATGATGCTTTTTGCAAGTATAACATAAATATGATAAAAATGTGCATTCTACTTGTTTTCAGCCCAGGAAATAGTGCTGCACAGACATGTTTGTGTTTCTTTAGTAGCTACAGAGTAAATGTTGAACTATGAATGACATTATAAAGGTTCAGTTGTGTACAGATGTGCCGTGTTGCCAGAGATACTGCGCATTATAATGGTTAGAAATCTTGAATCTCCAGAGATGTTTTCTTAAACATTGTTGTCATTAAATGCCACTTTGGGCTTTTTGAAAATGTATTCAGCACAAAGTTGACTGTCTTCCTTGTAACGAGGGAAATGTTAAACTTTCTCTATTAGCCAAATCACCAGTGTGTTTTTTTTTGGGGGGGGGTTTCTGTCAAAAATGAAACAAACAAAAAGATGACAAGGATGCAGACAGAAATAAAAAGGTGTTAACACATGGTGAAACTAAAGAAAAAGACACTTTTTGGGAACAAACAGTTTCCCTGTCATCAGTAACTGGTGACTTATATTGAATATCTTCTGAACATGTTTTCTCTCTCTGAACTAACAGAAAAATACACTATACTGCTCTATATATATAACAGCACTATACAAACTATGTTGATTCATTAAAATGTTTTGACCATAACTGTGGTTTATCAGAAAGTTAAAGCCAATAAGTACATTTTTTATTGATTTTTATAGGTTTTCATGAAGTCGATAGAAAAGCAGGTACCACAGGAAACTGGGAATAGTTGATAAGTGAGTTTTTAAGTTTGTCTCATAATATCTTTGTACGTGTTCGTGTGTTTTCCAGCTGAAAAATGGTACAAACGCCACCTGACCTACCAGATAGTGAACTGGCCTCGCCACCTCTCTGTGTCCTCTGTGCGGCTGGCGGTGCAGGCTGCCTTCCAGCTTTGGAGTAACGTGTCAGGCCTGGTCTTCCAGGAGGCCCTTGAAGGTCCTGCAGATATCCGACTGGCGTTCTACGATGGGGATCACAATGATGGGTCCAGTAATGCCTTTGACGGACCAGGTTGAAAACATTATTTCTTTATCAAGTCATCCCTCTGATCTCTAGTATCCTTGTCTGGGGTTCTGGCACTTTAAACAAAGGTATAGGTAAGGTAGGTACAGGTGGATTTAACAGCCTCTGTTTCCCTGCACCTTGACTTCCAGGTGGGACTCTGGCTCACGCCTTCTTACCTCGGAGAGGTGAAGCCCACTTCGACATAGCCGAGAGGTGGACACTAAATGGGCACAAAGGCCACAACCTCTTCATAGTTACTGCCCATGAGATCGGACACACTCTTGGACTGGAGCACTCTCCTGTCCGTCACGCTCTGATGTCGCCGTACTACAGGAAACTGGGCCGCAGTCTGGTGCTGAGCTGGGATGACATTATCGCCGTGCAGCAGCTGTATGGTGAGATAAGGACTCTTTTTATTTGACCGATTCCACCCTTTAAAATTCTAACTCGATTTAAACATCTAAAAGAAATGTTCAAGACGCTTCTATGTGATCACAGAAATGTGTGGTCCCAAAGTCAGGAGGAGTGTTGAACCTAGCACCTTTCTGAGACACACACACACAGACTTTTACTACTTTCCTCTCTGGTTTAAAGCTTGAAAGGTTGAGGGAAAAACACTTCAGTGAATTGATTACAAACGTCTCACTGTCTGGCCTCAGAACGACTGGGCTAAAGATGTCGAAATTAGTTGCTGTTCACCATGAGCTATTATTAAAACGCTTACAGCCCATTACATGAATTACTGACTCGTTATGTCTTTGAGGAAACGCAGAGCTGGGGGTTATTTTTGCTTGACTGCCAATTAAATCCAGAGTTGTGGCACTGAGCTGTGAAAAGGCCACTGAGGCTGCTTTGGAGGCCACCAGCTGCAAACACAGAAAGAGGAAAAGTAGAAAAGAGGGCAAGTTGAGAGTTTTGAGAAACACAAAAAACCTGCAGCTGACAGAGAAGACATCAGAACAATTTTAAAATCATCATTATGTTTGTTTTTCGGACATTGTTGAAGAATGAAACACATCCAGAGGTTTTGTTGACAGGAGGGAGTCTGTTTTATCTTGTTCGGTTCTGTTGCTTCTTAGGTGCTCGGAGAAGAAGGTTTAGACTGAGGGCAGAGATGGTGGTGTGGATGTGAAAATAACACACACACACGTGCGCACACTTAGCTTCTCAGAGCTCCACTTAGTCTTAACTTTAGAGTTTGTTGTTGTGGTTGCTGCTGTTGTTGTTGCAGAGATTAGGAGCACAGTCTTTAAAACTACAGATGTACTCGTTTCTGTTTGTTGAAACTATGTTACCTCTCCTGGCATGTGTGAGGCAGGTTTGTGCATGCGCAGAGCTTTCTCTTCACCTTTGATTATTTTGATCTCACCGCCTGGAAATTAAAAATCAGTGCAGCAGTTTGCATAAGACGTCTTTCTAAACCCGTTTGAAGCACATGTAGCTTCTGCACCTCCTTGACCCTCCTCTGTAATGAATTAGTACTTGGATGCGGACAGTGCTTGAAGTTTTCCCCCCTTGCTTTGACCCTGAAAGAAAGTCCAAAACAGCTGCAAGTGAAGCTTTGTACAGGAATGTTTGCCTGGCTGCAGGACAGTCTCACAATCATTTGGGTAATTCAACTCTGAACTTGAGATTCAGCTGAGCAGAAGCTTGAAGGCATGTTCCTCCTTCAATTAACATCTGAGGAGTCCCATCTGCTCAGCCTCTGGAGACATCATGACCTCAGCTCCTTATTTACCAGCTTATTCTCTTCAGGGGGCTCCTTTTTCATCCCAGGGTTTAAGAAAATATGACTGACCACCATTTAGACACGGGTTATTGAATTAATTAGCTTTATCCATTCATTTAATCTTCATATTTTTGTTTCTCGTTGGTTTGTGGGGGTATTTTTTGGGCAAAGGGCTTTACCTGGAAAGATGTGCACACAAATAATTCTTGTAACTGCTTCACAAAAGTTGGATGTGGTCCAGCTGGAGTTCATCAAAGCAAAGCTTGATTTCAGGCGCGCTTATCAACCTGCTCTCCCCTCACGGCAATCATTTCTACAGACTGCAGCTGCTCCCACGTAAATGTCAAGCAGCCCCAGAAACAGACAAGGACACGAAGCGTAACTGACAGCACTGCAGGCACTAAAAACTCTACACCTGAAGGCAGTGTGTGTGTGTGTCCTGATTCCTCTGTGACAGGTATTAAATAGCATTTTATTTGAATGAATACACCCACTGTGATATTGTATTCATTGTGAGTAATGAACATGGATGTCATCAGAGAAAGCTTTGAAATCCATCACTGTGGTAGAAGTCGTACCTGCCTAATGTGAAGCCTCTATGAATCAATTTCATACATCTAAAAAGGTTACACAAGTTCAAGAAAACTCTTCTTTAAGTATCAGAAATGTGAAATATATTTATACAATGTTGATGGTTGATGTTATTGAGTCATTCATGAGTAATTGGTCATGTCATTTCTCTGTTCGGATTTGTTAGTAATGGAATTTCCCACTGGGACAATATATACTTCATCAATGGACTGTACAATGAAGTTAATGTATTAACTTTCAGGAGCAGGACCACGCCCTCACCACACCTCCAATCACTGACTAGCCTCCATATACACATCCATCCCACTACATTAACACTTCCACCAACTCTCCAGGTCCGCCTCTCTGTGATCTCAACCCATTTTCAGGTACAGTCTGAGTTGGACTAAGCTCGGGCAGAACTACGCCTGAGACGGAGCCCCCATGTTGAGTCTCTTCCAGACTAACCAGACATTCAACACTCCTCATTAACCTCATCATCCATCACAACAAACACACAACTGACAAGACATACACATTCACAAATTCATATTAAATATTCAAAATGTAAATCATTGTGGCGTGGTTATGCTAGTAAAAATCTCTTTATATGAGAGCGTACAGTTAGTTTAAAATGTATGAGACGTGGATAATGTTACTTTTGTTCCCCTTTTTTGATGAGACTTATCTTTAGGCGTTGAATTAACTTATAACTTTGCACAGAAAATACAAACCTTCAAATACAAATTCAAATTCAAATACTCCTTGATGTACTTCTGCCTCACTTATGTATTTTAACTGAATATATTACACGTGATTGTCTTATCTAATATGTTGCATTTTTGATAATGCTACCAAACTGTACGTGATTTTGATTAAAAAAAGAACTGTCTGGATCAGCCGTGATGTGTTCGAGTCTCTAACATGGTCATATTTGGAAAACATCATCCTGAACATAACCAACCTGTAATTTAAACAACGTAAGTGGATCATATCAAAACTATAAAACTACAATGTTTTCACTAACACTCTGTTACATTTTGTTCTTAAGTTTCATGTGTAGCTCTCGCACCAGTGGTGAATGTAAACAGTGAAGTCATATGTCCTTATCTTACACACACACTCACGCACACACACATACAGTGGGGGCATTAATTGGCAGCCGTCCATGTGTTATCCACTGTGGTGTGTGTATCTTTTTTTCTGCTGCTTCCTCCAGGTCTTGGGTGTTCAGATTTTATCCTCCTCTTACACAAATGTTTGTTCAGCTCCTTACAAACAAGAAAAATGGCTGTAAAACACCCTCATTTGCCCTTTATCTTCTTTTCTATTGTGCTTTTTTGGACTTTGGTTAGCTTTGATTCTTTTCCTCTTATTTATTCATTTTATCTGGTAAGGAAGATGTCAGTCTTCAGGGCTGGATAGGTTCAAAAACAAATTTAAGAACTCTAAAAGTTTGTAGAGGTCTCAGTCTACTCTCTATCTGGACTCTGGTGTTTATTTCCTTTGCAGTAAAATGCCATCCATCTGTATACATCTACTCAGCCACATCCTGTAAAGGATAATTTAAACATTACCAAGTCCTGCGTTTGTCCATCTTTTCGCTCGTTCCCATGCAGTCCAGATACTCCTACTGTCTTTAGCGAGCATGAAATGAACACTGACCTGCTCAGTATCTATTTTACTAAATAATTTATGTTCATTTTAGTATCTTGTCCTGCAAGTTCCTGGAAATAGTCTGCATACTTTGACCATTACTATTAAGACTGAAACTGTAAATCTGCATGAGACATTTTTGTTGTTTGTATTTTTTTATATCCATCTCTCTCTCTTTCTCCATCTCCCTCTATCCTCTTTCCAATCCCAACATGGTAGAGGCACATGGTTGTTTAAAATAAATCCTGTTCTGCTCAAGGTATCACCTTAACTTGCTAATGCTGCACAGTGCTCTGCTCATGGTGAATTAAGATAGGATGAGACTGATTTTTGGGGCTCAATCTGACCCTGTTGTGATGTTTGGTCTTTATGAATAATATAATTTAAACAAGGTCTAGACTTCTTTTGGTGCACTATCTTGTGATTTTTGCAGTTATTTGGCACAAAATTAATAAAGATTAATCAAACATTCTGTTTTTGCTCTCAGGTAAGCCATCAGGTGACCGCCCTGTCAGGTTGCCTGGCCAGGTTCTGCATGCCACGCTGCATGAGTGGGAGTCCACAGAGCTTCACAGTGGGCATCAGACAGCAGGGCAGCCGCTCTACTGCCAGGGTGTCTTTGATGCAATCACTATGGGTGAGGCCCTGATGAAAATATCATGAGAAATGACACTGAGTCACATTTAATTACAAGAATGCCTTCAAGAAGCTTAAAAAACATCGTGTGTATGTCTCCAGACCACAACAAGACAGTTCTAGTGTTTCGAGGTAGTGTGTACTGGACAGTATCGGCTGAAAATGGTGTGAAAGGCCCACTTCCTCTTCGCCAGCGCTGGTCCGACCTTCCACCAGCCATAGAAGCTGCTGCTTTTTCCCCGCTGGACTCCAAGTGGTATTTTTTCAAAGGTACTGCTTTTAGTGAGCCTTTTGTGACTCACAACTCTTTTATAAGACATTCCCTAACCTACTGCCTAATTTCACATATCTGTTAAAAGCCTGGAAATAGATTATACTGTGCCTCTTAAATGGGAAAGTGCTTTTAAAATACTGCACTGAAGCCTCAGCTGCAGTTTTACAGTCCCGTCATCCTTACTGTTATGACCGAGTTTAACTTTACAGTCGCAAACCTGGCGGTCATCCAGGTTCACTGATCCTAACAGTTTGATGTAAACTGAGACACCGTCCTGTGACACTTATTACACTGCCTGGCCAAATCATCATCTTTTTCCTCTGTCCTTTACTCTCTAGGATTTTTAAAGCCTTTAAAATTAATTTATGCAGTTAAAACAAGCTTTTGTATTTTTGATCAAATCTATGTTTTAAGAGCAAGCTGCAAAGTGAGGTAGATCTGTCACTGTTACCGTTTCAAGAGAGTGTTTTAATAATATATGATCACCTAAATCTTTTCTGTGGTAATTATTTCAGAGTATATATAATTTTTTTTTGATGACAAAGTTTGACACTTGATTGTATTTCCTGATATGCAGGGAAGAGGATGTGGCGATATACAGGCAGCGTGCTGGATCCCAGCTTCCCAAGGAAGAGCAGTGAGCTCGGTCTACCTCACCACCCTGACTGTGCCTTCTTTTACGCTCCTCTGGGTCACATGGTGGTATTCAAGGGCTCCCGCTACTCTGTGCTGAACCTTCAAACTCTGCATCAAGAGCCCTACTACCCCCGCAGGCTGACAGACTGGACTGGTGTACCTCAGGGGACAAACGGAGCACTGACCCGTCCAGACGGGCGCCTCTACCTGTTCAGAGAGCAGCGGTTCTGGAGGTTTGATCCCATCAAGGTGCGTGTCACCAGGGAAGGCCAATGGGCCAAAGATCTGAGCTGGACTGGTTGCAGCAATGCTCCTCAGGGCAATAACATCCTTTGACCAGCAGAGGGAGCCATACACCTCTCACACATGCACTGTGGGGACACATACTTCAAATACAAAGTTGCTTTTATGTGTCAGCAACAGTGAGAATAAAAGATCCTGACAGAGCCAAGAACTGAAAACTCGTGCTATGAAGGGATTCAAGAAAATTTGACACAATAGGTCAATCTGTTTGAAAACACCTGCAGGATTTGAACTGTGTGGATAATACTGAATATGGATTTGCAGTCAGAGCTTCCGAATCTAGACGTCAAAGCAACGTGCAAAATGGATCCAAGATTTAGACGTCGTTATTGGACCTCTTTGAGACGTTGAACAGACGTTCACATTTTTACCTCATCTGGATGTCTGTCAAGGACCAAATCTAGACGCTGAAGCAACTTGCAAAATAGATCCAAGATTTGACATCATTATAGGACCTCTTTTAGACGTTGAACTGATGTTCACATTATCACATAATCTGGATGTAATGTCCTCCACTGAATCTGGATTTTGAAGCAACGTGCAAAATAAGTCCAAGATTGAAATTGAGATGTTTCAGATGTCAAAATCATATTTGGAAGAGTGTGGTTAATGGAGTTGACAACAAATCAAATAAAACATGTTTAATGACCATCATATTGGTTTTGTTATATTTTTTTAAAAAGTAAATGAGGACACATTTAGATTTTTTTGGTCCCTGTAGGAGAAATTTGTCTTCAGTGACTGCATACAAAAAGGACAGATATCTCACATCACAGGACAGACAACATTTACAACATATGAAGAGGACATCACGGTTGTATACTCCGATCAGCAGGGCCTGCTGTTCAGGGCGGCTATTGCTAGAGGAAAACAAAATAAAAATGATAAATCTGCCATTTAAGACCAGCTTTCTAGTTTTCAGCTTCTTTCCCATTTTTTAACTCTGCTGTGTTGAAATACAGAATAATGTCACTTTAATGTCTGTTCATCTGTGCTAAGTACATCTTAAATAAGCCTGGTGGAGCCAAAGAGAATTTATTTAACTTTAATAAACATAAGCACGGAGTCTTGGCTCTTTTAGATCATGTTGAAACCTTCATTGTGATACTATTGAGGCTGTAGAGAGGTTTCTCTAATAGTGTCAGATCATTTTCTCCACACTTAAACTAGAACAAAAGGAGCCTAAAAAAACAGCTAAACTCTCAGCTGTTAAATCTCAGCGCTGAAAAATGAAACTACAGCTGTGATACAAAGAAAATCCTCTTACCTTAGAGCTTCAGCTCAGGGGAGATGACCACTCTGTCCCTCTTCTTCCAGCGACTAAAACAACAACTTCAGCCACAGAAAATTCACTGTAGCTGGATTACAGCTCCAAAATATTAAAAGAGATTAAGATGAGAGATGAGAGAGATTGTTTTTCTACTCATGTTTGTATGTGAACAGGTGCAGTAGATGGCTAGTAGAGGAAGTGACGTACGTTTCGCACAGTACATATTTGGTTTCCAGTCAAACCAAAAGTAATGTGTTTATATCATTCCTTCTTCAATGTAACTATGTAATATATTGTTTAAAAATCTTTTACATACTTTGGCCTGTAGCTGTGTGTTTCCTTTATACCTGCTTGCTTGTGGTAGGCAAATTTTCTGATTCACATCTTTCAAATAACAAAGACGGCACAATCATCCAGTGTTTGGGACAACATTAATCAGAAGGTGCAGGAGGGCACTTGAAGGTGGGTGTGCTGTGTATCATGATAACTGATGGACTCGATGTTATTGTAAAGCTAAGAGAAGAGTTGTGAGGGCAAAGGATTCAACTGTAACCAACAAAGCTTTCAGAAAGGAAGTTTAGTCGACAAGTTTGAGCACAGTGGGATGCAGCATCATTCACCTTTGACCGTGTATGTTATCATCTGCAGGGAGAGTGGTTTTTCCATCACTGCAAGTGGAGCACTCTACATCAGTCAATGATTACTCAGCTCATTATCCAACACACTTCTCCCACAGTCAATTCAACAGCAGTGGACACATACACACACAGTAAACCTCCAACATCTACCCACAACAGAATGCAGTTTATTAATTTATCTATTAATACCAAGTCTTCAGATATGTCTTTGTACCACTGAACATTTGAACCTTCAAGAAGCCTCACTGTTGCTCTTCCCTGACTGAGCATGCTTGTTTTTTCAAGTAAAGGTCTGTAAAAACACGAACCAGGAGCTGCTCTCATTCTAAAACCAAAACTTAAGTGCATCTGATGAAATGCCATCGCGGGCGTTTTATCAACCCATGGATTATATAAGAAATCTGTAAGTCAAAGTTTGTTAATCAGGAGAAGATGTAAACTAATCAGTGCTGTGCAAGAGACTAGTCTAGACTAGAAACAGAGAGCAGAGAGAAAAGAAAAAATACTGTAATGAAGCAAAATCTATGTTTATCATAAGCACAGCGAAGAAGTTTTGTTTGACGATCTTCTGTTGGAGCTGATCGATACTAAACAGTAAAACTAGAACGGTTTTCTCATTCCTCCTGTGGAAACTGTGACCACACAGTTATTATCATTTTCAGGGCTCTCAGGCTGACTCTCAGGAAACACTAGTGGCTGTTTTGTTACCTTGTGGTTATTTTTATCAAGTATATATTAAGTACAAAGTTTGTTGCTCAAGTCCAAAAGTTTTCTTTAAGTGGTCATTAAGACAATCCTTGTTAAATCTAAACTATCCGAGGAAGAAATCCTCTCCGATACAGTGCATTAGAACTCAAAATGACCAAAATAGAGAGTATCAGACAGAGGGGCATTTTGACCAATAAATTAAAAGATTCTTGGCTAAACTTACAACACAGACTTACTCTTATGTGGGCGCAGTTTGACTTATGATTTCTAAATCAAAGAATCAACTTCAGGCAAAAATCATCTGTATCAAAAGAAGACATCCTAACTGGTAAATAATACAGAAACCTAGACCTCGACTGGTCCTATAACCCTGGCAGTAGCTCCTTTTACAGAGCACTTGCTCCCTGATTTACATGTTACATGTATTTTATCATAATAGCTGCACAAATCGACGTACAACAGCATTTTTAACACCTTCACTCCCTAAGAATCTCACTGACCTTAAATCTCTCTGTCAGCAAGTTGCAGCAAGATTAGGACAAATGTGCTTTATGTTAGGAGAACTTTGGGAGGGGTCAGACCATTTTTAGAGTTAGTGACTTCTGAGTGAAAGGTGTCATCTGCAGAGAAACTACTGGGTTATTGTGGTGCTCTCTTCCATGACTCCATACCCTGCTTAAAGGGTTTTCTGTTTTCTGCCCGCTTCAGTGTATGATGATCACCACAGCATGGAGGGATTTAGATGAAGAACTCGTCAATAGATTCATCGTTGCATGTGCGTGCTGACAGCCGATCTGCAGTAGTCCTATCCTCCACCACAGGCCCTTTGGAGGGACTCTGTCCTGCTGCCTTAGTCCTGCTTGCACAGCCCTGCCTGACAGTATCCTGACAACCTGTAGAGCCCCATGTCTTTGAGGGGCCCAGTGGGTGGGTATGCTTCAGTGGCAGACGTTCAGTCAGCTCCTGGGTTAGACTGTCACCACACGAAGCCCCAACAGCTGCGGGTCTCTCAGAGCTGAGAGTATTTAATAGATCCATAGAAGAAGAATGAGTGATTGTTGTAACTGTAGAGTCGGAGCGAGGAGTGACAGCAACTCCAGTGTCCACGTTGGTCTCCGGCTCCTCCTCCTCCTCCTCCTCTTCCAGAAGGAGATGGGAGAGGGAGCGGGTGATGGAGGGGCGTAGAGGAGACTCGGGGTGATTGGTGGTTGACGGGCTGCTGCGCTGGGATGAGTAACAGGAGCTGCCTGGAGGGGTGCTGCAGCAGCTCCCTGATCCCAGACTCTCGGCTCCCCCACTTCCATGAAGCTTCTCACTGCGCGGCCTCTGACCTGTTGTAGCAAAAAAGACAGTCAGCCAGGTCAATTATGGATATTTTAAATTTCTCAGTTCTCAACTATTAAATTTTGTATTTATGAGTTTAAAGTCAGATTCTTGTGCTCTGTTTTTGTCACTCTATTATATTGATAATTCAAACACAAAAGGAAAGTAACTCATAGCCAAAGACTCCACCAGATAATTTTTAAATTTGACACTTATTTGGATACCTTAAAGGGATATTCCGGCATAAAATTAAGTTAGGGTCAAACACAGAGTTAGACACCCCCTCGAGAGATGAATGTTGCCGACCTCTTGCTTCTCTAGTTATACCAACTTTAGTAATGAATGCAGATAGCAATACAGAGAGCACTGCTGGAATAGAGTGGGTGAGTAATGTGTTTAGTCTCTTTCAACAGAAATTAGGGCAGGTTAGCCACCAAACATCTGTTTGGTGGCTGATTTGTTATGGCTGGGACCATATATGATCATTTCTTTATCGTTTCCTTTAAGTAATAATCATCATATTAATCATTTTGCACTGCAGACGAGGTAGTTCTTCTGCCTTAGCGTCTCGGTCTGATTGCATCTCCATGCAGAAATGATCATAAATGTTCTTCCTTGAGCTGCGTCACCCCACTGCAGACTGTAATGGACTGGCCTGAGGTCTCGCTACAAACAAGCGGCTGCTGGAAGAGAGTGGGTACAGTGTGTTTGACCCTAACTTAATTTTACGCCGGAATATCCCTTTAAGCTCGTCATCGTAACCCATTTCTTGTCTGTAGACTCACCTTGCCTGTGTGTCTGCCAGGACAGGGCTGGAAGGCTGCAGGGCATAAGGCTGTGGCTCTGCCCCGAGCTCCTGAGCTGCATTCCTCTTGGGGACACGCTTGGACAGGTCGGGGGGAAAGCACAGGTCAGAGGTCGCTGAGGTTGAGCCGAGGTTTTCACCTGCAGCACAGAAGGACGGGGGGGGGGGGCGGATTATGATTTACACCCGGACTGGAAAGATTTAAGCAAGATAAGTTACTTTGACAGAATTAAGATACACGCAGTCGACATATGGCTCGTGTCACAGTTCTAAGCTCACTCTGTGAAGGAGCTAAACGCCTTTTTGATTCCAACATACAGTATATTTATCAAAAAAGCTTTTCCAACTGTAATTTTTTTAATTAACAGGGGAAAAATGATCTAATCCATCCATCCATTTAACTGAGCAGAAGCTTGTATTTTTTGTATTCATTTGTATTCTTAGATAAGAGAGGACATAAAATGTAGAAAGCTGATACTGATGAGTCTGCTCTATAAATAGGAATAATAGTTCTTGGCCTAAAATAACTGCTAAAATAAAAGACTGTTTCATGTCTGTTAATGTTGAAAATTCAGTTTGCTAAAAAACTAAATCTAATGCTTTATCTTTTCAAGATTTCTTATGGCTAAACTCTAAAAATCCTGCCCTGCACTGTACTTCAAAATGACCCAAAATAACTTTTTTTTTCTCTTTGGAAGGTTTGTAATCTGTTTATGGAGACAATAGTGATTCGAAGAGAAGCTTCTTCTAAACTTATCCCTTCATCATCACCATTTGTTTGCCAAACCCTCACATAAATGGCACAACCACCCATACATTAAGGACAAACAAACTGTGACCTCCGCTAAAAGCAAGTTTGTCATTCTCTCAAAGGATTTGGCAAGTACAAACTTTTCATTCTGAGAATAACATTTTCGCTGGTCAGTGAGCTCAGATCCTGCTCTTTGGACTCTGTGTTTTGTGAGATAATTAGAGAGTTAAACCTTCTAGCAAACTACTGTAGGCCAACACTCTACTGTTGTTTTACAAACCACATGATTTGACCTGACATAAATCTGGTAGAAGCTTTCTCTTTTCATACAAGTACCATAAGAGAAAAAGGAACCGACTAAAATACACAAAAAATAAGAAAACAACAAAAATTTAGTTATTCAGCTGTTGGGGAAAACCTGCAATTCAAAGCAGGAAATGAAGGAGTTCATATATTCTGCATCGAAAGTGTGAACTTATTCTAATATAGAAACACCAGTGTCAAACCTTTCAATGATCTTTACTGAAAAGGACAGTATGATGTACATGTGTCAGATGCACTTACCTGGAAGAGAACCTTGTTGCCATCAAGGTCTTCTGTCTGCCAGCGTGTTGTGCTGATTGGGGTGCAGGGGTTTGGCATCAGAGGCACTAGCTGTCCAATTTCATCCACACTAAACTGGAGCACAGCAGAGCTGCATGGCTCCACCCGGACCCCTGGTGACAGTTGTTTTATAGCCAGCTGCATGCACAGCCCGGGTTCTGCATGGGAGGCCCAATTAAAGAGACAAATGTGAGACGTATGAGAACAAAACCAATCAATGGAAATGTAATTAGGAGTAGAGCCCGACTGATTTATTGGCGAGACGATTAAATCGGCCAATTTTAGCCTGTTTGAGATGAATCGGCCAAAAGTAGTTGACAATGCTTTTTTGGTCCGAGTTTGACCAGTCGGTCTTCCTGTCGGCCTGAAGAGCAGTAGCCTACAGTATATCTACAGTATATAGTATACTGTAGATATCTACAGCATATAAATATTTATAACTTCATAAAAAAATTAAAAAGAATCTGTGATTAATCGGTAACCCCCAATCAATCGGCCGATTAAGCTTTAAATCCAAACTCTTGAAAATCAGTAAAAGTTTTTATTGTTTAAAAACTCAAAAGGTAAAAACTTCAAAGACAAACCTGAGTGGAGAGTAAACCAGCAGAAACCTGTCTTCTGCTCCTCTGCCTGACGCTGCAACACTGTTTCATAGAGCCGCACAGCATCCTCATAGTTGTCATATCCGCTGTAGATCGTCACACGTAGTATCTCCCCTCCACAGTGCACTGGCCGAACCCCCCACACTGGCATCCCTGCACCCAAGCTGTAAAAGTCTCTACTGGGCAGGAGGTATGGCCGCAGCAGGGCGTTCGTAGGGGAGCTGCTGGAGGTGATGTGGATCCCTCCAGTTCGTCTGCTGCAGCTCTCTGTGTGGTGGTACTGCCATGGCGGACGCTGGAAGAAGTCCAACACTTTGAGGATTCGCTCCTCTCCATATGCCTCATGGAGGAAGAAAGTGATGGCCAGAGAAGGGTAGCCTGAAACATTTTAAAAACGATACAGTTCCAGTAAACGTTGAATAAAAACAGATGTGGTCCTAGCTTGAAATGGTAAAATTAGATTCCACACAAATTTAATGTTGTATTTAGTTAAGAGTAGAACACTTCAGGGGGTCACTGCCATGACTAAAATGTCAAAATGCTCTCAATTTCTGTGCACATTTGTTGTTCTGACATCTGGAGACTGTCTACTCATTCCAGAGAGAGAAAATTCATATGATGTGATTAAGTTAGATGCAGAAGCACAGCAAGGTTTTTTATCCCTGCAGATGAACAACCTTGATTCTTGACAGTATAAACAAGATATACTGCGTATGTTTAAAGGTTAGGGATCTTCACCTGCCACGGGACGACAGCGCTCAAAACTTCTGAATGGGGAGGCCCGCTCTGACACATGGAAAATTCTGAGGCTAGGGCAGAGCCAGCAGAGGAGGCGATCCAGGGTGTGCTGAAGTAGCAGGGAGTCTCCAGGGTTGGCCAGCAGATGCAAGTTCATCAGAAGGAGTGGCTGCTGTCGCCGCTGCTGCCTTGTCCTACTGGTCATGAGCTCAACTTGGGTTACACAAACAAACAATGCATGTGAGTGAGCAAGACATCTTGAAAGGCGCAGATAGATAGATGTTACAAGGGTTGTCCTTCTCAACAGTGTTAAACATCAAATAGGGGAGAGTGGGGTAAGATGAGCCACTTTTCATATTTCTGATCTCTACATCAAGGCAATCATTTTTGTCTCTAACTAGTGTATCTGCAAACCAACAGATTGAGTGTAAACATAACTGTCTTGATAATATAGCATGCCAAAAAAAAGTGGTCTCCTATGGTCAACTTACCCCGTGTATGAGGTAAGTTGACCATAGGAGCACGCTAAGTTGAGCCGTATCCCTACAACCCCCCAAACAGCTGTATTTTTGAAAAGAAAAAGTAACACAAGTCAACAATCTGAACTGAAACTCTGATCCTCTCATCAGACTTATTTACTTTCTCAGTTGAGTCACTGGCTCAACTTACCCCTGAACTACTATGATGACTTTATGAGTCCTCTGAGCTAAAGTGGTGGACTTTTATGCTGGGGTTTTGACCTCATGTTGTAGCTCATAGATACCACAGTTGATGCATAAAACAAATTTAAAATGATCTTTTTGGTCTGAACACAATTTTAATAAAACTTATGACAGACTATATTCACTTTCAAGAGTGAAAAATGGTAAATAAATGTCTAACCTCTTCACCCATGTGCTTCTAACCTTCACAGACTTCATGAATTGATGCCCATCTCCTAAATACTTGGTCACATGATCAACTTCTTTCACCATTTTCCAAGCAACAGGGGGTGGCTCAACTTACCCCACCCTCCCCTACTTTGAGTGTAACGTTCTCACAAGTCTGTCAGATAAATTTAGGCAGCATTTACTACACAGAGATGGTCCAAATAACTTTCAAAATGCAACTGCATTTCGACTATTCTTCACTTGTGTTTTTTACACACCTTTGACCGTACTTGTACACTTTAAATCTGATGCAAAAGAGACTGAACACTTACTGCCAGATGATGACATCCTGCTAGAGTCAGACCTGAACAACACACAAAAACAAAGGTTAAGGATTTCTTTGAAAACATTGTTTCTTGAAGCTTGAATAGTCTGAATGAAAGATAAAAGTCTGTCTCCATCTTGTGGTGGTTGGTTTGGAAACCTGCCCTGTCGCTTTGGTCACCATGACAACACATTATCTGTTACAAAGCTAACAGAAGCGTTAAAGCTAGTTTACGAGGAAAAAAAGCATTACATGTTTACAATAATGAACATGCTCTATTATAAGCACGAAAGGAGTATGATGTGAGAAAAGTTGCTATTTTGAAACGTCAAACCCTTCACAGTTGACTTTCTTGAATAAAATCCATCTCTATTGTGACTACAGCTAAGTAAAGGCGAAGGTGTGCTAGCTAGCATTAGCCCGGAGCTAACGCAGAGAAGAAGAGTTGACTCACTCGGCAGTTTCAGCCCCAGAGTCCACGTTTTCATCCTCTGCCGTCTTTAGCACCGCTGCTCTTCGAAACATAGTCCACTAGACCTTTCACATTTGGCCAAGCCTGTGGCACAGAGGGTTTGAACAGGTCGAATGGAAAAGCATCCTGTGTGATTTTCAGCCCCAGTCCAAAAACTGGGACTCTTGCTGGGACGCTGACGTCACCAGGCAACCATACACCGTTAGGTTAAAACATGAGAAAACACACTTAACTGTGTCAGTCCCTCATTTTAACTGAGAGGAAAAACGCGTGCTGTGATGTGTTGAAGAAGTAAGTGAGACAGAAGTCCAGGCGAAAGGGAGCAGCAGAAGTTTGGCTCCTTAAATCCAAAGCCGCCTGTAATAACACGGAGCAGATGGCGTGCGTCTAACAATATGAGAGGACAAAGGGGAGCGTCCAGACGGACTGTGCAGATTTAAAGAGCTGAGGATGTATGGAGGAGAGGCTTTACACTCTCAAAATTAAACACTGTGTTTGGTAAGAGTATTACTCTACTAAACAACTTGATTTTGAAGCAAGACAAAAAGATTAATAGAGAAAACAGCCACTAATACCGTCAAAGGATTTTTAACGCTGTATGAGTGTTACACATACAAATATGCTCATAAACACCATTATACACATACAGAAACTAGGGCTATGTAATGGGTAAATGGGTGAACCAGGTGATCAACAGTAAAATTACCTAATTTGAGCTCTTCTGAACAGGGTTGATCACCCTGACTGTAAAAACTGGATTTATATAGTGTCATGTTTCTGCATTCAAAATATGTGGTCATAATGGGAGTCAATGGGGCAAAAACAGCCACTAAAACCATAAAAGGAAGTTTTTGTGAAAATCTGTTGCTGCACGAAATGCATCAAAGCCAATTACATTACAAATCTTTGACATATCAAACACTGTGATAGCAGGTAAAAAATGTTCGTAGTCCAATTACTTTTTATATTGAAAAAAGCTCATTTCGTGTGTATTTTTCCCATATCAGTGACTTTCTTTTTTAAAATTGGCATTCAAAGGGTTAAAAAAAATTGAAATGTTGAAAAGTTTTGATCAAGACTGAGGTTGATTAACAGATTTATGCAAAAAAAAAAAAAAAAAAAATTACCTGATATATTTTTAAAGTAGTCAAAGTTAGTGGCTAAAAACAGCCACTAATACTGCTAAAGGGTAGTAAATTTGCAGACAGCGTGCTATTGACCTTTTGAAATTTTTAAATCATACTTCAAATTATATGAAAAAATACGTTTTTTCAGCAAAAATCATGCCATTTGCTGCAATACAGTGAAAGTTACGGTCAATTTAAGAGGAAAAAGTGACCCTTAGTTGATGTTTTTGTCACCAATACTGCATAAGGGTTAAATCCATGTATGAAATCATATGACTATGTGTCATGAACCTTGAAATATTTAAACCTAGTTCTTTGTGATAAGATGCTTTAACTTTGTCTGTTTTTTCCTTACAGCCTTTTTAAAAAAGTGATTTTTCCAGTATCGCCCAGTCTGAATGAGCTGACTGTTCTGTAAGGACATTAAAGCTATGAAACACAAATAACCTGAAATACATTCAAAGTATCAGAACAAAACCTCATCTCAGAAAAACTGGTACTGAACTTAAAAGTTTTTTTCAGAGGTTATTACCTTACCTACATATTTTCATGCAATGTGTGATGACATTCTTTCATATTTTTTATGATATGGAGTGGACCACTATGAGGTTTTGACATTTACATCCTCTTTGTGCTGTTTTATACAGGTGATTAAATATTTCTTTTGTAAATAAGAGGTCATAAAGCTTGTCATCTGACGTGGGTCTGTAGATATACCTGTCCTTTGATAGGGACATTATATCCAAGCTGAAAAAATACAAATCCTTTCACAGAATGTGAAATGAAAAATTCACTTTCCAGGATGAAAATATTTTTCCTAGTTACTCTGTGAAGCAAAGCCTGTAGAGACAATAACTCAACAGCATACTTTAAGATACTCCCAGCACTGTCGTTGGCACATGGCAGAGCATCACAGGTCAACAGGTGATGCTTTGTGCTGAAGCTGGCACAATGTAAACAATACAGCATATTCTTTACAGAGAAAATTAGCCTCATACGTAACTTTGTATTCTTATTGTCCAGATGAGTTAATTTCATTCATTGCCACATCTATAATTGATATTTCTTACATATGAAACATCAATTTGAGGCCTCATCCTCTCAATTTGTTTCCACTAACTTTATATCAAAAGCTAAATATTCAAACACCTCTCAATGTTTTATCACCAGTGCAACCTATACAGTAGACTCTGAACAGAACAGTGCACAGAATGTAGAGATTAAAGATGCACCACAGTTGGATAGTGGCTGCCCATCAACAGTGAATTTACATGATGGTCAAGGCTAGCTTTCCAAGGTCTTTCCTTGATCAAAGTTAAAAGACAAGGCACCCCATCCCTTCTTTTTTTTATTCTACATTTAATATGATGAAAACAAGGCCCTGTACAATCCACCTTTGCAGTGAGTACAATTATTATTTTACAATTTGTACACTTTAGACCACGGTGCTGGACTAGTTTAATCCATTTAAAATGCAGTCGAGAATGAGCAAGACTCCTCTCTGAAACCACAAGAGAACCTTCCATTCAAAGAGAGGAGACACATTTATTGGCCAATCATACAACAGGCCTAAGGTGAGAAATGTGTCATGAGAGACCAAACACTGTTTATGGAGCTTTTGTGTGTCGTTTTCCCCGGATCGATCCGCCAGATAAAAACATGCTGTGAAGCTACAGCTCTTAATCTCTCTATGTACTAGTACAGACCCGGCTAAAACATTGAAATTTGCATTAAATATTGAAGCGACGTGAGGTGCACTTAGTTTGTATCGGATATAAAAAGGAAAACCTCAAAAAACAGAAAACTGCAACATAAGTTAAGCACTCTTGATGATTTCCCAAGTACTCAAAATGTGTTTGTACAGCTGTTCTAAACCAGGTCTGCACCAGTCTCTACTTTCTTCCTCTTCTTCTTTCAATTGAGAACACGTTTGGGAAGAAAAGGCCAAGAGTGTCTGCCCACCTGTACAGCCATCTATGTGCCAGCGAAAAAAAAAAAGAAAATAAAAAAAGGGAAAATAAACAGAACACAGTGACATCAACATTTAAAACAGGGGAGTGATTCAAATGTTTTCTTGGTCGCCAGGTAGCCGCACATTTGCTTGAACATGTTCACTCTCATTCTCGACGGAATATAGTTAATTGTCAGACAGGCTTCCCAAATTCTTTCCAAAGGCCACATATAACATAATTTGTACAAAACTAGATCCACTCCTTTCTTTTTTTTTTTTTCTCAGCAGTAACCTAACAATGCCAGACAACTTCACCAGCTTTTGCATGTTTTTTTTTTTCTTTTTTTTACACATTTTTATGGAAGAAAAGTTAAGCTTCCCAGTGTTTCCCAGAATCAATGATGAAAGCGCTTCCAAGTTCTTTCAAACCCATGGCAGTCCACAAAAAACAAGGCTCTCAGTTGCTCTTAACTCCATGTTAACTTTCATTGAATTTTTATGCTACGTAGGTGTACACTTTTCGGTCCTCTGGTGTTCGTGCCAAATATTCCCGCTCAATGAGTCCTTCGATGCGCTTCTTGATAACAACAGGACTAGGGAGAAATCGTGCTCGCAACTGCTGCGTTACCTGTAGAGACAGAAACACAAAAATCAGCCTTTTTTCTCCATCCTGTTATTGTTTACATCTACATTTTTTTGCTTTTTCTGGGGGACAAAATTCAAAATTAGAATCATTTCAGCTAACGTACCTCTGCTACTAGGACATTATGTTGCATCTTCTTCCTGGATTTCATGATGCGAACGATGGCAGCCTCAATCTCATGCTTTCTGTCATCGTCCACTTTCTGTCGTGTCTCCTTCCTCTCTGGGTCTGACTCGCCCTGTTTAGCAGCCACTGGGTTGTGCACAAAACAGAAAAATAGATGAAAAACAGAACAATGTGACCGAGGTAAAACACATTCGCTTTCAAGTAAATGCTCTTAATAAACTCTTTCATGAGCTCAAAAGGTGATATTCACAACCTTTGTTTTTTTTTACTGTAAAATGAGACATGATATGACACCAGGATTAGACAATACCAAAGGAGTTTTTCTCAATATTCTGTGAGCCCAAGCTCTACATATACAGCAAAGATTTATCAGAAATTCAGTCAGGGGAAAATACGATTTAAACTTTATGATTTGATGTACCTGTCTGGATCTTGACACGGTGCAGTTTGGAGGTAAACTGGTCATTGACTGTAAACACATGGCCATTCTCTATCTCCTTTGATTTGGGCTCCTTGGTCAGAACTCTCTGAGTGGGTTTCCCACAGGCCAAAGACTGCAATGCTCGAACCAGCTCCCTCTCTGGGATGTCTGTCTCCTGCTGAATCTCCTACAGAGTTTGGAGATCAGATTTCGGGGCACAATGGTCAATCAAATACTTTTTTTCTTTTCTTTTTTGGAGATCAAATTATTTTGAAGTTAAAATAGGAAGATTAGATTAGGCAGCGTTTTGAAGATTGAAATATTGTACCTCAAAGGTGGACTTCTCTCTGTTGTTAAAAAGCATGAGGATGGTCATCTGGAAGGTGGAGACCTGCAGGATGTGCTTCCTGGTGTTGGATCCTGTTACCTGAGCTCCTCCTACCCCAACTTCTGAGCCGTCCTCCTGTTGGCATGTTGAGATGAAATATAAAAGATCCTCAAAACACACATCCCGGTTCCCACATCATTAATATTACTTTTGAAAGCCATGTGAAAAGAAATCTTATTCTCATGAGAAATTGTCACAACTACTGACTATGTTGAGAGCTGGAAAAAAGTAACACTTTTCATTAAAAGGCACAATAATTCCATTGATAATATTAATGTCACAGAAATAACATGGGGGAACCGAATTGTACCACCGATGTGTCTCTGCATCAGACATGATTAGAGAAGCCATGACAGGATTACTGTCAGCCAGCAGAGAAAGGCAGGGAAGAACAGCGCTGTGTATGTGAACGTGTGGCTACATGAAGCTCTGCTCCGAGTTAAAATGCTGCAACCCGAGTACTGACCAGAGGCAGGAGACGAGAGCACATCTGTCCTGTATTAGTTACTCTACACTGGCATCCCATTAAATTGAGTAGGATTTATAATTCTTCTTCTGTTCTTTGAGGCTCCTCATGGTCAGGAAGCATCATATCTAAAAGAGCTCATAGTTCCATTTAACCCCACCAGAGCATTGCTGTCCCAATATGCTAGCCTGGCTGAGCCATCCTGTTGCGTGAGTCACTTGACGTTCCTTCCCACAACAGGGAACTGGGAAGGAACGTCAAGTGACTCACGCAACAGGATGGCTCAGCCAGGCTACCAATATGCAGGCCTGCTCATTGTGCCTAAAGTCTTAAATAAGTAGTCTGGGTGGTGGAGCTTTCAGTTATCAGGCCCCTCTCCTCTGGAATCATCTACCAGTCCAGGTGCAAGGGGCAGACACCTTCTGCATGAGTAGGCTTAACACTTTCCTTTTTGATAAAGTTTATATTTAGAGCTGGTTCAGGCCTGGGTCAGTTCTTCATTATGTTACTGTAAATTGAAAGGTTAAGCACCTTTCTCTATCCTCTTTCTGTCCTAGTCATTAACTTTAAATCATCATGTCCCATAAGAGTCATGAACCATGGTCTTTTCTGAGAGTCCCTGTGCTCCATCATGCCATGGTTTCAACTTTGTGCATTAAACAAATACATCACCCTCTATCCCCTCTCTAAACCCAATGCAGTAGCAGCAGATGACTGTCTTACATGAGTCTCTCTGCTCAAGGTTTCTGCCTGTTTAAAGGAAGTTTTTTTCACCTCCACTGTAACTTGCTAAATTGCTACACTTGTGGTTGAAGATGGGATGGGAGTGGGTCTGATCTTATTAGATGGGGCTCAATCTTGTCCCACCTTTACATTGGGTCTTTTAAAATAGAGTATGGTCTAGACCCGCTTTTTTGCGAAGCATCTTGAGATAACCCTGCTCAAAGGTGTGATGACAATGGAGCTGTCTTGCAGCACTGTTGCAGATTTGTATCTACCATTTAACAAAACTAGTCCTCGATGTATTTAATCACACCTTGAACTGTGCATTGTTCTTTGTATTCTAACAATGTTACAACGCTTTTAAGCCTTTATGAGTCAAGTATTTGCAGCATATCCTTGAGAATCATTAGCAGAATCGCAGTATAGCATGATTACATCACACAGTATTTTAAGAAATGCTGATATTCTGCTTTCTGGCAAAGAGTACCTTTTTGATGGGGCCGTAGAAAGTGGCATTAAGATCTGCAGAGCCCATGTGGTGTTGCAGTGTGAGTTGTCTGCCGCTGTGCTTGCCAAGATAAAACCTGCAAGTAGGGAGGAAATATTACAAAACCTTTTTGGAATCACACACAGAGAGAGATTTCAGAAACTAAACCGCATAACTTTTGTTTTCTCTGCAAAGGTTGAAGACTAACAAACCTTCTAAAGACTTCAAATGCATGTCGTGGTGAAGGGGGGATATTGCACTTGGGTGTTGCTGATTGTGTAGGCCAGTATCCTGTAGTCAGGACCCTCACAGTGAGATCGACCCCTCCAAGTGATACCTAGGGTTAGGAAAAACACGAGACTCACGATCAGGTTTTAGTCTAAGCAGATGATTTTGAAATGGAATCTTGCAGCTCACTGCTAACACACCATTTTTAATGCTGCTCTTAAACAGAACCTACTCCAATAGAGAGCACGGACACATTTGTTTAAGATAATTACAGCATGTGTGCATGTTCTGTGAATTTATTTTCTTCTAATCAAGATTTGCACTCACTTCAGGAAATTAAAATGAAAAAATTCAGTCTCTGTTGACAAAAAGCTGTGTGACAGAGCAGCGCAAGCCAGAAATTAGCACCATGTATCCATGAGTTACGGATAGTTAGGTGTGTAATTATTGTTACGTAACAGAGCGATGCGGCGTTGCTCGGGCGGTTAAGAAGCCGTTCGCTGATTAAAGAGAACAAGTTTGCTCATTAGTTTGACAAAATGAGTCGTGGCGTGTGGCGTTTCCTCACCCCTGTGGTCTGTAGATGTTGTCTAAACTCATCCATGGTGGTATTGGAGATGCTCATATCCCTGAACATGCCCTCCAGCTTCGAGGTGAACTGACAGCCACACTCCGTCTGAGTAATGAAGACCAGAAGGAAGATCAAATTCAGTTTCTCAAAAGTTGTCTAGAAAAGAAATCTGAGCTCATATGGTGGTTGGATTATCTTCATCAATTTACTAAAGCATCAAATGGGAAAATAACTCCTCACTTTAAGTCTCCTCTGGACTTATTTTGTCACTACAGCAACTGTTAAATACTTTTTCCACACAAAGGTGTCTCTTCAAGTAAGGTAACACCTTTTTTGTTAGCGGACTGTGAAGAGAAGGTATCAAGGATCGAATGGGCAGATTTTCAACACAGTTGGGAAATAAACTGCATAAAACCACTGATCCCAAGCAAACTTTCATTACTTCGCTAAAAAGAATGAAACTTAGTTTTAACAAACTCCGTCTCACCTTGAGCTTTGAGATCATGTTTTTCTCCGAGTCGTCCGAGACACTCTTGTTGGTGAGCAGCCTGCGGGCCAGGTGCTGCTTGTAGTACCTCTCAAATACGTCCTTCTCCTGCATGAAGCGGAACAGCACCATGGCCTTGTCAAGTATTGACTCCACCTCCTGCTCCGTCAACTACATAAAAACAACAACATCATGTGCATTCAATTATTAAACGTCTTTCAATTGACTTTGACACCCAGGGAGCGACAGCAGGCCGCACATGAGAAGAATACTGTGTTTCAAACTTTGTGAATAATACAGATTTATTTGCTTATTTAATTTATTCATGTAGGGACTGTGTGCAGATTAAACATAAATGTTTCCATTTGAGCTAATTTACATCCACAGTCCCTTGACAGGTTGCAATTACACTGTACTTCTTTCATTAGAAGGACAAAGATGGTTACCCCTTTGACTCCCTTCTTCAGCTTATCATCAATAAAGAGTGAGAGATACTCCGGGGAGCGAGAGTTGAGGTTAAGGAAGCACTCGAAGTCTCCTGCGATAGTTTGTTTGAAGAGCCGGTCATTATTGAATGACTCCTGGAGGAAACGGTCGAAACGTGACTTTAGGTCCAGCAAACCCTGCAGGGAGGAGCCAAAGTAACAGAGATGAGAAGGGGTAACACAGAGGCAGGTTTACTAGGCAGTAGCTTATCAGAGTGTCTACAGCTCCAACAGAGGCTTCAGTCGAGGAAAACAACACTCATCAGAAATGAAATTGGAAAACTGTCAGTGAGAAGGAAGCCAGAACATGAGCGTAGGAGTGGAAGTGCAAAACCGCACCAACTATTTTACACCGAAGCTTTAGAAAAGCTGAAAAATGAACATGAAGAGATTTTCTGTAAAGCGCCTTCTGTCTAGCTGCTGGAATGACCTCACATGTTATTCACTTAAGTGCAACAACACAGTGTGGTTGAGGGCAGGGATCGTTGTAGCCACAGACGCTGGGGGTCAGAGCAGTTAACACTCTTCTGGGAGGTTGTGAAAGCACATTTTTGTCAAAGCTGTGCGCCCAATACTGAGCTAAAGCATCCTGTGGCAACAGAAATGACTGCCTAATCTCTACAGATACGGCGGTAGAACTAGTTTTCTCTAACATTCACCTCGAAAATTAAAAGTTGGGTTTAAAGAGAACATGACAACTACAAAAGGTGCCTCCTACTCTTGCAGCAAAATTAATTTAACACTGGAGATCCAAAAGAAAACAACATCACTCACATATGAACTCTGATGTGTCGTCTTACCTGGATGTAGTCCACAGGGTTCTTCCCCTCTCCCTCCTCTGACACCAAGGCCTTGCCTTGCTCCCGTAGGTATGAGCTCATGCACTCACACATGGTCTTTAGCCCATTAGGAACTCTGCTGAACAGCTTGTACATGCACGCCAAGTCTGTGGTGGGTAAGTAAAAACACACATATGAGAAAAGGTCAGAGCGGCTGCGATCAGCTGAGGAGGAGAATGATTTTACGTGGAGTGAACCAAAATATCTCTGATGCACTGGAGGTGTTATTTTCTCCGTGCACGCATAAAGGTTGAAGCTTCAACACTGCAGTCTCTGTATCATCGAAATCTAATCCTCTGAATTACATCCCTCTAGTCCTCATATTTGAGACATCATAGAGGGAAAGACTGTGATCATAAAAATGAGCCAGTAAATTATTAATATTTATATGCTTCATTGAACACCCCTTCACATCTGTCTGACCTTGTTAAATTGCGCCAGTCCTCCAGAGCCCTGAGGTCAGCAAATCAGGTGGTTTTAGACGTTCCTCGATCCTTTTTAAAATCTAGAGGAGATCGAGCATTTTCTGTCGTGGCTCCCACTTTGTGGAGTGCTTTACCCCTGACAGTGCGTACTGAGAACAGCCTTTCCACAATTAAAAACCCTTCTGAAGAGGAACCTGTTGACTTTAGCTTTTGGGGAAGCATAGCTTCTTTTATTGGGTATTTTATTTAATCGCTATGTTTATCTACATTGTTGTTTTATGCTTTTATTTGTTTTATGCTTTTATTGTTTTTGGCTATTTTACTGTGGAGCACTTTGGTAGGCCACTGGCTGTTTTTAAATGTGCTGTATAAATAAAGCTGACATTGACATTGACATTTGAGTGAAAGGTACACTTTGACTGTACATTGCACAGGTTCCTTAACCAGTATGAGAAGAAAAACAAACTCCGGTCTCACCACACAAACTGAGGACATGCAGCTTAAATAACACCAGCCTGCAGCAGTCTTACCATCCGTTTTGCCATTTTTAAGCATGTGCACCAGGCCCGAGTTCTCCATCTCTACGATGGTCTTCATGTGTTTGGAAATGAGCTCACGCTCCACCACCTTGACGATTGGCTCCTCTGTGGATTTGTCCAGGCAGTGCATCACTCGCTCAATCTCTTCATTGATTCTGGCTTCCACCTTCTTTATGTACACACTGGCGCTGTTTTCCGCCAGGAACTTTTGGCTCTCCATCTGTGTGAAATCAAGAAACGCTTAGGAGCTTTTAAATGACGCAGCTACTCCTGAAATTGATTTTCAATATTTTTAATATCATAGATTTAAGATTAATATCTTTTTGCACCACCTACAACTGATGAGCAACTAATTTAACCTTAATAATGAACAGACATTTGAATGACATTCTCGGACAAACCTGGAAAAATTCTGCAGACATTTCTAGGAAAGGCGCCTCAAAATCTTCCTCATAAACAGATCTCCCTTCAAGGCCGAGTATCATTAACATTTGGCAAGCATTTCTAATAGCCCCCCTGGAGAAGCAGAGCGATTATTACCACATGATCAATCAAAACTGGAAGAATAAAAAAAACTTTTATTCTAGACACAAAAAACTAAATATCTGGATTTTTGATCAAAACACAAACTTTGAAATTCAAACACAGAAAGCTGAGGGAATAATACTAATCAGCGCTTTGAAGTGTTACCTGTCCACCACCTCTCCCTTCCTTTCTCGTGCGATCATGTCCAGCAGGGTCTGCCGCAGGTGGTCTCTGATGCAGCCATAGCGAACCACCTGGTCCCTAAAAATAATAAGACCTAGGTTGTAGACATTCTCTACGTTGTTCTGCTGTACATACACGCGGTCCTGTGGGACACACAGAAAAGAGTAGAGTCAATGATCAAGGCAACATTGGGTACCAAACAGACGGTTTCTTTAATGCACTTGAATTCATGTTTAATGATGTGTGATGTGTTGTCATGTCGTTAGTTAGGTGTCAGCAACAGTTCCTACCCAAGCTTTTACCTCACATGATTTGACATCACAACAGGTATTTAGATAAAATCACTCCAAGATGAGAGTCATTTCTATTGCAGACTTGCGTCCGTCATTTTCTATGGAGGTGATTTAACGAGAAGAACGCCTCAGAGTGAAAATAATACAGCATGTTTTCAAAGCCATTCCTCAAACTAGCATCAAGCAAAGTTAAGTGATTATTGAGCCGTAGGTGCGGTCTGATGACGAGGCAGGGGCTATCGATTTGTGTGAACAGAGGTTTATAATGTCACAGTCACGCAGCACCACATTTGACCGGGTTTCCAAAACATTAGTTTTTCCCAAATCCTAAGCATTCATGCTAAGTTCAAGTAGCTAAAAGTCTTTTAATTGTATTCACACTGGGTGGTTTTTGTACAGGTGCTCTCAATAAATTATAATATCAAGAAGTTAATATATTTCAGGAATTCAGTTCAAAAAGTGATACCCAAATATAAAGATTTATAAGACACAGACTGATAGATTTCAAGTGTTTATTTCTTTTCATTTTGATGATTGTAACGTAAAGCTAAGTCCAGTTTGCTCTGATAGCGGCCCTCAGCTCTTCTGCGTTAAGGTTTGATGAGTTTGCTGGTCAGTCAATCACAGGAATACCATGGTTCTTAAAACAGGTATTGGTACTTTTGGCAGTGTGGGCAGGTGCCAAGTCCTGCTTGAAAATGAGATCAGCAGCTCCATAAGGCTGGTCAGCAGAGGGAAGCATGAAGTGCTCTGAAACGTAACTGGGAAACTTTACACTAGACCTGAAGCACCTTGGATTCTGTGCCTCTCCTCTCTTCCTTCAGACTCTGGGACCTTGATTTCCAAAAGAAATGTAAGATTGACTTTCATCTGGAAAGAGGTCTTAGGACCACTGAGCAACAGTCCAGTTCTGACGTTGTCTTTGTTTCAGGGGTAGTTTGACACAAGGAATGTGATAGTTGAAGTCCATGTCCTGTATCCGTCTGCGTGTGGTGGCTCTGGAAGCACTGACTCAAAAAGCAGTCAGCTTCTTGTAAATCTTCTTCAAAATCTTGAATGAACTTCATTTTACAATCCTCTCAAGGCTGCAGTTATCTCTGTTGCTTGTGCCCCTTTTTCTACCATATTTTTTAATTCCATTTAACTTTCCATGGATGTGTTTGGATACAGCACTCTGTGAACAGCCAGCTTCTTTATCAATGAACTTCTGTGTCTGACCCTCCTTTTGCTGGGTGTTGACAATAATCTTGTGGAAAACTGTCAAGTCTGCAGCCTTCCCTATAATTGTGTGGCCAACTGATCCCAACTGACAGACCATTTAACGGCCCAGGTGACTGCTGCAGGTGTTTTGAGTTAATCATCTAATTAGGGTGTGACATCATGAGTCTCAAATACTGAACTTCTTCATAATATTCTAATCTTTGGAGATACTGAATTTGGGGTTTTTATTAACTCTAAGTTATAATCTTTAAAATGAAAAGAAATAAACACTTAAAAAATATCAGTCTGTGTCTGATGAATACTGAAATAAAACAAATTTTGATGATAGCATTATTCATTGAGATGCACCTGTATTCCTTAAATTGTTGGCACTCAGCCTTGATATGCAAATTACTCCATTTATGCACCAGAAACTCTGAAGATGACATCATGTTTTATTCAAATAGATAAAAGGAATAATGAGTGTATCTAGTGTACAATCCAAAAGTCACTTTTGTATCTTGGCTCTCTTCTCCTCACTGATGTGTGCTTCCATTAAGCTGTGTCACACACACGTGCGTTTCATGTGACTCACCATATACATCAGGATGTCTCTGATCATCACCATGGCTGTCTGATGGTCATTCCAGGCTTGATTTAGTGTTTGGAGGAAGTTATTGTTTAGAGAGTTGAGGACATCTTCTCGAACCTTTTAAGAAGACAAACACACGAGCATGAGACACTACAATGGGTTCTGCAATGTGGTGACTGAGTAGAGAAAAAGGAAAAAGTCTCCCAGATTGATCGGACACTTACACTTTGGATTTGTTATTCAAGTACTCTCATTGTGATTCTACTTTGCTGCTTCTTTAACACCTTTTCTCAGCTAGCCAGGCATAAAACAGCCTGATAAAAGTCACACTGCAGTGTGACTCAGCACTACTAATGTCACTGTGGAGTTAGACTCATAAGGTCATATCAACCTCCCCTTTCATATACTACTGGACAGATAGGATGAATTATCATATCTGCTTCTACTCACACTGGGAAGGACTTGTGGGGATGTGTATTTTGCCGTTTTTCAGAGTTACTGACTGACCATAAGAAGAATTTAAATTGACCATAGAAGCAAGAAGTTTTCTGCATTTGATGAACTGTGTGCACCACCTCTTACAAGTGTCGCCTCTAAACGCTCTTACAGCAATAGAAGATACAAAGGTCCCTGAGGAGAAAGCCAAAAGTACATCTGTGTTGTCCAACAAGACGCAGAGAGAAACTATCTTTGAGTAGTTTTCCATCTTTTAGTCTGAAGTGTCTGAGGACAGTTTGTAGATTTGAGCAGGATGAAGCTTTCTTCTCATCAAAGTGATCACTTGTTCAGTGCTTGCTCATAAAAACACACTCAGGTATCACATCGCTCTCTCTGAGCTGTTACTTGTTGACGTATCCTGAATGCTAATTCGTTAAGCCTTGCCAAGTTGATTATGTGAAGTCAATTAATATGTAAAACTCTCCTGGCAGATACTCAACAGCAGGCGGATGATGTATTGCATAGATGCATTTACAACTGATTTCAAGGCCAAACTTAATTTGCTACTGATGATGTGCAACAAAAACATGTCAACTATTAAAGATACGTGTCCATCACTTCTCAGATGGAATTGGAAAACAAATAGTGCTTGAGTTATAGAGCTAATTCAAGTTGTAAGTTATGTCACTTAAAAACACATCGTTTCACTCCTTTAACAGGCAAGGTAAAACCTGTTTTTCTATATGATAGTAAGTAGCTGATAACCCTGAACGAAATCACAACTCACAGACCTGCCCACCAACACAGACCAGGTACGGCCGAGCACAAATAAAGAACCCAGTTAGGAGTAAGTCTAAAGGGAAGGTAAGCAAATTTGACATTTTCAAGACTTACTTTACATCCCTAAGGTGATATTCTCCAGCTGTCTGATAGAGATAACATTGTGTTTTTAATACATTTTTTGCATAGTGAGGTATATGCAAAGCAGTTAGATGAATATAAAAACTTGCTTAACCCTTGCAGACTTTAGACGATGGACAACCCAGCTTTAATTAAACACAATCCAAAAATCTCCAGTTACAGAGCTGATATTTCCTGCCTTAAGCATGGTCATAAAGAGGAGAACTTTAATTTAAAGAAGAAACGTGAGTATCGAGCATGTTTGAATGATACTCTAAGAAATGACTCACTGCCTAAACTTTAATACAAATGCCTGACTGCAGGTACCAAATTGAACAAGCTCAATAGGAGCACTTTTCATTTTGATATAACTTACTTTGATAGGGGGAAGAAGCACAGTTGCCTGCAGTGGTACATAATTGAATTTATTAAAAATAATCTAGCTTTATTTAAAGGATCCGCATGAAATTTCAATACCCCTGCAGCAAAGTAAGGTGTGTTTATCACAGAGGTTCATATATTTTCATGAAAGTACTGTACGTGTTACCCTAAAAATTCACTTGGAGTTTTTCTCACCACCGTGATCTGTGTGAGTCTTACTTTGTTGATAAGGTGTTCAGTGACGACCTCCCGCAGGCCCGTGTACAGCTTCTCTCCGTGTTTGTGGAGCACCATTGTGTAGGCGTTCCTGTACAGTTCCTCAAAGCTCAGGCCGCTGTTGTTCTTCCGCTGAATCTCCTGGATGGCATTCTTCAGAAGGTCCCAGATATTGTTGACGTACTTTTCATCCATCGTCATCTGAAAATTGAGCCACAGATTGGTCGAATTAGAGGATTATTTTGACCAAAACTAACAACTCAGGGTCTTCTTCCAAGGTTAAGTAGCTAACGCAGTTAGACCTCCACCCGGTGGGGAAGAAACACTATTCCTCATAGCTGTCCATTAATCACAACAGGTTCAGCAAATGTCCACACTGAATCTTTATCCTAAATGCTCAATATTTAATCATTTATTTGACCTGATTAAGAATAAACCACTGAGGAAACATCATGCTTTATCTGAAATGGCAGATTACCAATGCCTCAAACACTATATTCTCCAAAAAAACTCCCACATCTTTGCTCTCTGATCACACGTCTTACTAAAACTGATAATATCTTGGAGGAGAACGTTTTGACCTGATATGATGTTCGAATGAAACGTGGAAATAAACAGGCACAGACAGAGATACAGAGATAGCAGGTATGTTTAAAGGCTAAACACATTCTCTGTCTCATCTAGGTGCAGTGAGAGGCCAAGAGTCAGGTAAAGAGTCAACACATCACTGTCAGCATTTACTAAAACAATCTACCTCTCCCTCTAGTTTTTGTGCAGCTTGTTTACTACTTTTAGTGAGTGGAGGTGTCTCCGTCCTCATTCACAATAAGTACCCAGGCGGAGCTGTGACTGTTTCAAATCCTGCAATGATCGGAGGCATTAAATTTCTTTTAGCTTTTGCTCATCTCACTCACGGCTTGCTGTGAGGATATATGAAAAAGTTGTAAACAAAAAGGCTCACCGTACGCCCTTAAAAATCTCAACATGTTCGACTGTTCGTGTTGTTCACTCTGGTTGATGTTAGGGTTTGCTGTTTCAATCAAATTGGGTTTTCCAGCTTCAAACTAGCAATTTTCTGCTTCTCACCCAAAGGTCAACATTAAAGCTATTGTATCAGATAGAGCTGGGAGATATGGGAAAAGTTTATCACCATATATATTTTTTTCCATATCAGTCAATATTGATATCGATATCGCGATATAAAAAATTCAATTTAACAGTGTTTATTGGAAGCATGTCTTTTACAATACAATAAGCTACTGCATCTGTGAGGTCTTTGTGTCTCTTCGATGTTTTGTTGTAAGGTGTTGTGATTGAGAAAGCGGACTGAATGGTCGGCTGTTTGGGCTCCTTGCTCCGCTCGAGGTTTGTAATCTTTAGCATAGCTGCAGCCTGCTACTACGCAGTTGTTTGCTACTTGGTTCTAATTCAGCACATGATTGGTTCAGCGCGAAGCGGACCCGGAGCAACTCCCCTTTACATTGGCTATTGGTACAGTCTACCAAAACATAGCAGAATGCCAACTAGTGAAAAGCAAATTGACCATTTTTTATATTGATATTGAGGGAAATTGATGTTTGATATATATCGTTAACGTTTTATCGCCCAGCCCTATTATCAGCTACAAGACACATCTTTACCCTCACTGTGTATTTTGAATGCTGATGTTTGCAAAACAAATCTTTAATCCTCTACTAAATAAAACTGACTGTTTAGCTGAAACATATTAAACAATTTCGTTATTTCATTCCAACAGAGGGTTTCGAAACAAGAGATATTTCTTAATTCCTTGAAATATCCTGAGGTGTGTAAGCATCCCAGGTCTGTTTGGTTGCGTCCACCTGCTTCATCTCTCTCATCTTTGAAAATTTCTCCACAACTCAGTTTTTGCTATAATAGTTTACTATTATGTACAGAGAGGAAATAACAAGAAACATCAAATAAGAAAAATATTGTTGAAGAAAATATCCAACCCCATAGATTTCTCTAAACTCCATCTTAATTAACACTAAAACTAAGGCAGTATCAGTGAAATTCACTGACCAGCCATGACATTATTAAAACTGAGTAATCCAATACAAGAGTTCTACCATAAAGTCTACTTTTAGGAAGTCTCTACATTTCAGACGGGTGGTTGTTGTACTCGACAAACACTTAAGATGTATGTAGGTGAGAAGTAGGTGGTGATAGTGTGGTGGACAGTGTTATATCTGAAGTTGTTCCTTATATTTAAATGCATTCAATACTGCACTACAGTACACCATCAACACCCACTACAACTTCAACAATTAATTTAAAAACCAATCACCTGTCTGATCATGTCATCAAAACTGAAAATGCAAAAGCAGTGTAAAAGCAGAGTTTAGGATAGGACTGTTGTATAAGGTTACAATGATTGCCAAGGTGTTCGATTAAATTAACACTCATGGACTGAACACACACACACACACTCACAACCACTGAACTAACACTTACAACTATCTACAATTACCTGCACTTTATTTCTGTAAACCAACTTCAAACCTCATTTGCACAACTGTAAATACATCCAATATTGCACTACTACATAATTTATCTGTCATATACTTATATTTATAGTCTGTTTATGGCCTTCATATTTATAACCATGTGTATAATCTGTTCATAGCCTGTACATACACTACTACAGCCTATATACTTATAATTATAGCACATTCACAACAATATTATATACATGTGATATACTCATGTATCTCCTTTATACCATGTACATTGGTTAATAAATTTATACTTGCTAAGCACTTCTAGATGGATGCAAACTGCATTCCATTGCACTGCATGTGCAATGGCAATAACGTTGAATCATATTCTATTCTATGTTGTGACTGGTCAGCACACTCTTAAGGTGGGGTTCAGTTAGACAGGATACTGTGAATTACTATGAAATGTGGTTTTTCAAGTTTACTAACCACAGCTAACAGTGTGTGTGAAAATCATGTAGTTCTGCACAGCACTTAGCTGCTGCTGTGCTTTTCTAATAAAACTGTTAAAGACCGAATATTGAAGCAGTTCAACCTTGGCATATTTGTGGACTCAGAACTTAATTAATAACACCACAAGTGGGGAGGAACAGTGTGTGCTGCTTTCTCAGTAGACAAGCCCAAACACATGCATGTCAAGATGCTGCTTCCAGCAAGCCACTATCAGGACTGGGCCACATTCAACAGGCTCTCATAGGTAAGAAATGGCCTCCATGATACAACTCATGTAAGCTGGTGGCACCACAGTAGAAATGAATCAACAGGATAAAGTAAAAAGCCCATATTGATGATGAACCTCCACTCCCTCACAGCAGGCTGAAATATCCGTTAAAGCAGAATGAGGTCAGTTCTTAAATGAGGTCTTTCAATGACTTTCAGACAAAAAGGAGCTTCAGGTGGAGATCAGACTCCTGAATCATAGTTACTGCATCGAAATACAAAGAGAAACGGGGGTTAAACCTCTAATTTAAAGCCGTTGTTCCAGATAAACCATCGATAGAAAAGGTAGGTTGTTTTTTGTTAGCATCTGTCTAAAGCTGCAGTCACGCTGGTGCTACTTGCAAAGAAAAGCTTACCAGCATTTCAGCGCACAAATGTCAGTAATATTGAGAAGATAAGACGTTAAAACAACAGGTTTTTCACACAGAGACACATAAGCTTTCAAAACAACAAGTGTCAACGGCCAGGGCTAACGTTAGCATCGGCTATGTCGACATCTCCAGGTAGCTGATGTCTGAGGAGTTGAGAGGTGTTGTCACGTTGTGAATTATCAAAGTGATAAATTAACATTAGCGATGAAATTATATTACTACAGAGCAGTTAGATAAACCGGGTTTTTAACAGATAGTCTGTGTTTACGTAAAGGAAAGTCATCTCTGCTGCTCAGCTGGTTAGCCTGCTAGCATGTAGCACAGCAGACCGCGGGGTCGAGTCAACGTCTGCCGGGCACACGGCGCACCTACAGCGGCGTACACTTACAGGAAAGGCCCGTATCCTCATTTTGGTGTCCTTCTTGGTGCCGCCTTTGCTGAGATTGGACATGGTTGCCTCGTCCGTGGGCTCTGTATTCACATGAAAGTAATTTCCACGGAGGGACGGGGGTGACCAACGGTTACAGGAGCAGCCGACGAGCTTTCACTCGACCTCGCAGCCCCGCTCCAGCACCGCAAGTTTATTGTTGACAGCCAAACGCCAAATCCGAGACTTCTTCATTCAGCAATGGCGGACTACCTGCAGTTCTCATTGCGCAGAGCTCACGCACTCCAACTCACGCGAGATATCAATAACTTGGAGCAGAACTCAATTTCACTCAGACATGTGTCAAAAAAAAATACTTGTCTCTTAAAAATGAAGACACTTCTTTGAAAAAAAATATTTATTAATTTTTATTTGTAGGGAAAGTTGCGGCAGCCAAGAACTGCCACTGCAGCAAATAAAAAAGAATGCAAAAAAAAAAAAAAAAAAAGAAGCCACATTGGAAGTTATCAATGCAAAAAAAGTTACTGCAAAAATCAAAGGCTGCAAATTAAAAAAGCCACAACAGAAGTGAGCTGCCGGGGACCAATATTGATGATGCACCGGTGTTTTACGATCTAGCCACAGAAGACGACAGGGAGAAGACGAGGAAAGAAGTAAGTGGAAAGGTTATTGTTTAATTTTGTTTTGTGTACTTTTTAATGTGTCATTTGGTTAGGCCATGTTGTGCCTGAGTTGATATGAAGTTGAACTGGAGGAAACCGGTGTAGTGTTAGTTTTGGCTAACATGGGAGACCCATTAAGTCCCAAAAGACCGCCCACGAGAGGAGAATCAAGTGTGGTAGCAGTACGGTTCGATTGCTTTACTCATAGAAATAAGTACACTGACCCCTCGCTATTTTTTGTTATTGGTCCCCAGCAGCTCACTTCCTTTTATTTTCGCAGTACGGAAATGTATTTATTTATGTATTCATTTATTTTATTTTGCATTGCCACTTTTTTTTTTGCGTCGTTAACTTTCGTTGTGGCCTTTTTTAAAAATCTGCACTGTTTCTTATTTTTTTATTATTTGCAGCGGGCTTCAGTTTCTTTTTTTTTTTTCATCAATAACTTCCGTTGTGGTGTCTTTTTTTTTTCCTTTTGCATTCTTTTTTTTTTGCAGTAGTGGCGGTTCTCGGCCACCGTAGAAAGTTACCTATGCAAAAAAGGAAACCGAAGGCTGCTGCAAATAAAAAAAGAAACGGTGCAGATAAAAAAAAGAAGCAATGAAAGTTAACGACGCAAAAAAGAGGTGGCAACGGAAAAAAAAAGTTAGTTACTGTGAAAAAAGCTCCATGGGTGTCACCTAAATAACTGAATCAGCAATGTCGTCAAGAGATCTTTTTGAAACAAATGAAGAATAAATGCAATATAAAAGCTGTCTGAAACTCAAAGATTGAGTCTCTGTCCACAATCCTGCAAACTTTTCTCTGCCCCAGTCAAATTCCCATCACCTGTGATAACCTGAATATTTCTTAAAAACAAATTGTGTTAATACCCATGTCCACTGAGGAATAGATCCCAGATTTGGTCAATTCTGTACATCAGTGTCTAAGGAGGGTATACTGTACAATCCTGATTAATTAGAGACAGATAATCAGGGAGAGTACATTTCTTTAATTTTAAAGTTCTTTTACTTATTAGTACATCAAAGTAGATTTTTTGATATTACTTGGAAGCATTATCAAATTTTTCTCGGCATTTAATTTGTAACAGCCGTTAAACCCAATGGAAATACAGCTGTGATTAAAGTTGCAGTGAAATTATTTAAACAACAATTCTGTTAAAAGGATGTTTATATTTCTGCCTTTTTGAAAAAAGTAAAAACTTTTGACTGGTTATGGCAGGGGTCTGCATTTCTAATGTTATTAGTGTACGATTTGCAGTCAAATGCATAGTTTCATTGAGGAAGTTTTGCTCTTCTCAAAGAGCCCAACAAAACTCTAAAAAAACTCTGATAAACTGTAAATTTTGAATAAGATGTGACTCAAACTATTACTTATGATTCTGAAAACTGAAACACCATTTCAATCAGGTTAATTTCAATAAAACAAAATACGTACCACATCAAGCATTGCTTTAAAAGGTCCATAGAGGATCCTGGGCCCCCCACTTAAAGGTTAGTAAGGCACAGTTGCAAAAACATTTCTGCATCATTAATTTTTAAATCCGGTGGTTCCAGAATTTTTTTTTTCCCAGGCATGTCCTCACTTTAACCGTGGCTTAAAACATACTGTACAAATGAATTGGGATCAATTACCTTTACCCAAGCACAACAAGGATTATACGATTTTTTTGAATGAGAGGAAAGAAGTGATCTGTGTTCATTAATCCTAGCCTGTTGATAGAGATGATCAATAGAGCTGCTTATGAGAAGACTAAAACTGTGCATGGGCTGCAATGTGTAATGATCAAAAATATTACATATTTTGTTTATGATCTACTTTTAGAAACATCAAACAAGGAGCCTTTCACAAGATTTATTCCAAGAAAGAAAAAAAGATTCATCCATTTGTCTTCTTGTCAAAAATGTCCTTGTTCATTACATCTGAAAAAGAACAAGACCACCAGCACTCAAATCCCAACAAAACAAATAATTAACAGATGGCTAGTTTTAGTCCTAATGTGTACACTTCAGATTAGTCTGGGTTCCCATTCGTGGTACAGTATCATATGTATATCCAAAATACACAGATACACAGAGTTTTCTTTTTTTACCCACAGTTTGAAAGTTTTTGAGAGAGGTTGTTCAAAAATTGCATTAAAAAAGAGAAGAGTTTGCCACCACTTTAAATACATGACAGAATTCAAATACTTCTCATTGTAATAATGACAGACAATCAAGTAACATTTTCTTTTAAAACTTTGATATTTACAGCAATTATATTTTTGCCACTTTTAACAGCTATATCACAGGTGATCATTACAATGATATTACATCACAGGTCCCGCTGCTCTGTGATGATGAGAAATATAGATTCGATTCATACTTCCTGAATGAGCCACAATTTCATATCTGGTCATAATGTATCAGAAAAGTTTCTTGTGAATGCAGCCCTCAACTTCACACACACAAAAGAAAACGGAAAATAATTACAAGTTAAGTTTTTCACTTTGCAGCTTTGCCAGGAAGGAGACGACATTTGCTTGGCACATGTACCCATGACTCTAAAACAAACATAAAGGGACAAATACACACTCAGTATACAAAACTGTCCTAGGTCTTGACTCTCCAAAGCAGTGCAGGATTAAAAATACCACAGATGTTTGATGTTGTTTTTTTCCAATGGAAACATCTTGAATACACTCCAATGCTTTCGGGGACTCAAAAGTAAAATAATAATTTAACAAGAGGCATAGGTATTTACATAGGAATCAATGCAACGTCACAGAGGCAGACACTTCATATTGCACATGAAAAAGGCAGGTACGAATGAAAACAGCTGAATAATAATAACAGAAATAGAAAAACCACGTGTGAAAGAGAGAGCAGGAGGAAGAAAGAGAGCGACAGAGAGAGTCTTTACTTCCAACTGTTTTTGAAATTAAAATAAATTCCGTTCATGAAACCCACTTAGGCTGATCAGTCGATTTTCTCCAGCTGTGCTAATGCATATCCTTATAAAACTATTACACATACATTAAACCACTTTGCAAACAAATTTATTTTCTCTACTCATGCACTCTACTGAGACCATGGAAAATTATTTATTTGAATACTCTTTAAATTAAATATTTTTGAGTTGCATCTAGTTTGGCTGTCGTTATCAAAGCTCTTTAAAAGTGACAATAATTGAAGAAATTGTAGCAGATCTGCATAATTTTAACGAACAACCGCTTTGAAAGACATTTCAATGCCTACTTATATCCCCCTGTCTGTTTTTCTTTTCCTCTCTTATCCTCACCCCATCCATCCATCTACTCACTCACTCTCTCTCTATCTCTCTCTCTCTCTCTCATTCCTGCTTTCTTTTCAGTGGTTTTCATTATAAAAAATTCTCATGGAACTATTCTGTTCATCTAATCCTAATTCTGCAGCTGTTTTAAATTTTGTAATGTAAAAAAAAAAAAGCAAATTTCAACATAAAACTCCTTCGCCACAAAAATGGTTTCTTTTTTACATGAGGCACAATCTGAGAACTTAACTCAAACCTTCTGGACATTTACTTTGGGATGCAGCGAAAAAAAAAAAACCCAGTTGATACTTTCAGGAAAGAATAATTTCTAAAATGGCTACATCTCTTGTTCCTTCTTAAAACACTTTTTTTTTTCACAACTAAAATAAGCTGTTGTGTCTGCCCAAATGTCTACCTGATGATTTTGTACATAATTTAAAATATAAAGCAGAGAAAAGACATGACATCTGAGATCTTCACACAGGAATATCACAAATATACATCTTCTGTGCGTGGACATCATTCAGTCAACACTTTGATACTGAAACTACATATGTCTATAACAGATATACAACATACATACTAAACAGACTCTTTATTTCAATGTTCATATATTAAAAGCTCTAAGAAAGGCAGCAAAGATGCGCAATAAGGCAGATCCATATCCAGTGACGCACTCCATATAGCACACTCTACTCTGGCACATTTACACTGACAGATGGGATGGATCTCTTAAAGGGCTTCGGTTAATCTCTATCTATAGTTGTTTATGAGGAAATCTGTAAAGACAAACCAAAAACAATCAAAGAAGTAAGAGCGGTGCAAAGAAGTGGGACAGGTGGCTGAGCAGATGAAAGAAAGTTCGTGTTTTTTGGTTGTGAGAGGAAGTGGTTCTGAAGGAATGGAGTAAATATGTGAAGGTATGTGTCTCATGTTTTCTGTTATGGCTGGCTGTCATTGATAAGTGATTGTCAAATTGTTCCTCAATTCTGCATGAAATGAGGTGAAGTCTGACTATACAGATGAGGGATATGCTGCAATGAAAGTGAAGGAATTAACTCCCCTGCTATAAACCACATTTTAATGAATGAACCAAATAGCATTAAATACAAAATCCTTCTGATGGTATAAAACTCTACTGCATTAATATCTTCACTGTGGAGAAACCAATAATGATGAAGAGGAGGAGGAGGAGGAATAATATGAGGTGTCAATACAGCATGCATTCAAAAACATCAGGTGAGGGACTTTGGCAGCCGCTCATGTGTGAACAATGCTGAGCTGTTTAAATCAATTGAACCTATATGAAACATTTTACACAAGCACTTTATCTCACTGTTACATGTTGTTGTAG